ACTAGATGCTACTATTTAATAAAGTGAGCCAAAGCCCAGGTATACTAGAACGCTTGGGGACAGCCGTCTAGAATGTCTTCTTAGGTAGACCTGTTCCAGTGTCATTTATAACTTCTAGAAGTCAAACGTAGGCACCCATCTGTGTTTGCTGGGCATGTGCTATGTCCCCAGAACTGTGCTGTAGCTTTTGGGGGGACAATAGGTTTGGTGTGTATTTTCTGATGTGAGGCAGATAATCATGAAATGAAATGCAGATTTTTCCACATACTGCACAACTCACGATAAGAAGACATCCAGGGAGAAAGCGGCAGGGCTGAAATGAAAGCCTACTGGTGCATACGGCCAGAGGTTCAGAACTGCAGGCTACATATCCGCCTGGACAAAAATGCCAGCTTGCGCTCAGAAAAGTCTTTCTTAAATTAACAAAAATTAGGCCAGGTGAGGTGGCTCACACCTATAATCCTATCACTTTGGGAGGCCAAGGCGGGTGGATTGCCTGAGCTCAGGAGTTGGAGGCCAATCGGGGCATCATGGCAAAATTTCGTCTCTCCTACAAATACAAAAATTAGCCAGGCATGGTGGCAGACACCTGTAGTTTCATCTACTCAGGAGGCTGAGGCACGAGAATCACTTGAACCTGGGAGACAGAGGTTGCAGTGAGATAAGGTCGTGCCGCTGCATCCCAGCCTGGGCAACAGAGAGAGACTCCATCTCAAAAAAAAAAAAAAAAAAAAAAGTTATTCAAGTTACATATCTTAGGGGAGAGACATAATTACTCTCTCCCAAACCTTCATACAGACAATGAAAACCATGAAATCTGTAATTTGAGGAAATTACCCAGCTTATTGGAGACCCAGGCAAATTAAACTCTATCAGGAAATCTATCTTAAATAATATATTTTGGCAGTCGCAGTGGCTCACACCTGTAATCCCAGCACTTTGGGAGGCTGAGGCAGGCAGATCACCTGAGGTCGGGAGTTTGAGACCAGCCTGACCAACGTGGAGGAAGCTCATCTCTACTAAAAATACAAAAATTAGCTGGGTGTGATGGGGGCTGCCTGTAATCCCAGTTACTTGGGAGGCTGAAGCAGGAGAATCGCTTGAACCCAGGAGGCAGAGGTTGCTGTGAGCTGAGATGGTGCAACTGCACTCCGGCCTGGGCAACAGAAGCAACACTCCATCTCAAAAAAATAAAAATTATATATATATTTGAGGCTGGGTGCTGTGGCTCACTCCTGTAATTGGGAGGCCAAAGCAGGCAGATCACCTGACATCAAGAGTTCGAGACCAGCCCGGCCAACATGAAGAAACTCTGCCTCTACTAAAAATATGTGCATGTAATCCCAGCTGCTCTGGAGCTGAAGCAGGAGAATCCCTTGAACTGGGAGGCAGTGAGGTTGCAGTGAGCTGAGATCGCGCCATTGCACTCCAGTCTGGGCAACTAGAGTAAAACTACATCTTAATAATAATAATAATATAAATAAATAAACTATTTTTCGATTAGTGGTATTATGCTGCAGCTTTGCAAATGGTGCTTGTGAAGCACACTGAGGGAGATCCTTAGGGAGAAGTTAAGAGGTCTGAGGAGGGGCAGGTCCCAGCAAGTGAAGGAAGGTGATATGGTTTGGCTGTGTCCCCACCCAAATCTCACCTTGAATTATACTCCCATAGTTTCTACGTGTTGTGGGAAGGACCCAGTGCCAGCTAATTGAATCGTGGGGGCGGTTTTCCCCATACTGTTCTCACGGTAGTGAATAAGCCTCATGAGATCTGATGGTTTGATGAAGGGTTCCCCCTTTCACTTGGCTCTCATTCTGTCTTGTCTGCCATCATGTAAGACATGCCTTTCACCTTCCGCCATGATTGTGAGGCCTCCCCAGCCACGTGAAGGAACTGTGAGTCCATTAAACCTCTTTTTCTTTATCAATTACGCAGTCTCGAATATGTCCTTATCAGCAGCGTGAAAACGGACTAATACGGAACGTTTCCTAGGGAAGATACAGAGAAACTGAGCCTGTAGGATCTACAGGAATTTGCCTGATAGACAAAGGGCTCATCCAGGTAGAGAACAGTTACACTCATGTATGCAGAGAGGCTTCCTGGACCAGGATGACATGGGTACTTACAGCAGCGCAAGAACAGACTAATGCAGCCTCCCACCCTCTTTTACAGTGTGAGAGTTGTGGGAGGAAGTTTTTGGGAAAAGTGGTCAAGTTAGGAGCTACAGGCCACATAGGGGCCAGATTCTCACAGGCCAGCCTCAGAGGACTTCCTGCCAGCTGTGCAGGTCATTTAACATTGTAAGTAGGGGAAAAAACAAAAGCCAATTTGCTTGCTAAAAATATCCCAGTGGCAAAAAATGTAAGGGTGGCGGGTGACAGCTGAAACTATGTGTGATGTGCTGGGGATGGAAATATAAAGTTGAAAAGAATCCCGCCCTTCGCAGTGGGCAGTCTGGGAAGCGGAGGCCAACTTAAGTGAGTGAGTGAGTAACCCACGGTGTCTTAGATATGTCTCTGTATGGAAGCAGACGGAGCACCAGGCCCAGAGAAGCCAAGTGACTTGCTTGACGGTGCCCAGCTAAATATTTGCAGAGCAGCCGCTTGAAGTCCAGGTTCCAATGCCTCCAGGGCTGTTCCCAGGGCATTGTCATGATTAGGGGGCAGACTCTTATCAGAATATATGAACCGGGGAATAGGAACCTGGATCCCGCTACTCAACTGTGCCCGACACATATTAGGCAGACAGTAACTTTTTGTTAAATGAATGAACCAACGATGTGAAACAGGCAGCTCTTGCACAGATTGTTAACTTTCAAGATGGATGTCTGTGTCCATTATGAATAATTGCCTTTCAGCTCTGAACACACCCTTCAAAATATGCTCTGAGATAAACCATGGGGTTCCATTCAGAACTCCTCCTTGGAAGTGAGCACAGTGTCAGCTGTCTCAGGAGAGGGATCTGGGGCATGACAGGAGGGTTGGGTGGGGGGTCAGCAGTGAGGTCCATATGAGGACATCTGGTGGAACTGGCTCCAGTCACTGGCCAGGGCATGGTTCCTCTGACATCTTGCAGCCTCAGTGGGGAAATAACCTCTTGACAGCCATTTCCACAGGGAAATCAGAGTCCTGTGCACCCTGAAAACCACCCCATGGTTCAATTCACCTGTGATCTGGGGAGCACTCATTGCCTCCTGGCCAGCCCCCGACTTGCTCCCACCGGCACTTTGAAGGGTCGTCCATTGTTGGTCCATCAGCTCCAGGCCAGCCCAGGAAGTCTCTCTGATCTGGTGGCCAAACCACACTCTCTCCAAAAAGATCTGAACCCTTTCCAAGTTTGCCTTTTCTTGAACCAGTCACTGGCCAGGGCATGGTCAAAGGGCCAAAATTCCTAAAAGCCTCAACCCTCAGTCCCTCAGAATGTGACTCTATTTGGTGATAGGACCTTTACAGAGGTTATAAGGGTAGGCTGTGATCCAATCTGACTGATGTCCTGATTAGAAGAGATTAAGAAACATGCACACAGAGGGAAGAAGAAACAGAGAAGATGGACATTTATAAGTCAAGGAGAAAAGTCTCAGAAGAAAGCAACCCTGCTGACACCTTGATCTTGGCCTTCCAACCTTCAGAATCTTGAGGACAGAGCTTTCTGTTGTTTAAACCACTCAGTTTGTGGTACCTTGTTATAGCAGCCCTAACAACTAATGGATGTGGGCACTCTCCTTTAGCCCTAGGGAACCTTATGAGGTCTGGAATTCCTTTATGCCTTACAGTTACTCTTTTATCATCTTTAATAGTTCTTCATCTTAAACTTCCCTGTTTAACCTACTCTATGGCTTCTATCTCCTGATTAGGCCCAGGCTGCTACAATATCCTTCCAGTCCTTTTTCTCATGAATCTGCATAAATGTATGGAACCAATACTCTGAAAGAGCAAGATGTATCAAGTGCACTCAGAAGGCTGCTTTAGTTTTTCTGTCAACTGCCTGCAAACCTAATTAGTGGCACTGGCTCTATCCATGCCTCACAGCTTCACCACTCTCTCTTAAATTTGAAGAAATGTTGCAGTTACTTTAGTTACCAAAGCAAATGTCCAGTCCCATGAAATACGTTTTTAAAATGTTTAAAAACAAACCATCCTTGAATTCCATTCAAGGTTAGAGCTTCCCATTTCCCCAGCATGACAGAATGGATGTTTTTCCTTTATTTGCTCTGCCAGCTCCTCTCTCTGTTCTCAGACAAACCCCACCTGGAGTCACTCCACCATCAGCTCTGAGCCCACCCTCCCTCAAGACCCTCTAATGTTTCTTACACTACACACAGCTTTCTCTCTGACACCAGGATGGCAGCACCCCCCTCTACCCTGCTGCCACCAACTGCTAAGCCTTTTGCTCTGGAGATTTTCTGGAGCACATGCCAGACTCTAGCCTGACTCAAGGGCAGGGGAAAAGCCTCTGATATGGTTTAGGTCTGTGTTCCCACTCAAATCTCATGTCAAATTGCAATCCCCAGTGTTGGGGGTGGTGTCTGGTGGGAGGTGATTGGATCATGGGGGCAGAGTTCCCCTTTGATGCTGTTCTTGTGATAGTGAGTTACTGCTCGTGAGATCTGGTGGTTTAAACATGTGTGATGCCTCCCATGGCTCCCTCTTGCTCTGGCCACGTGAAGACGTGTCTGCTTCCCCTTCGCCTTCTGCCATGACTACAAGTTTCCTGAGGACTCCTCAGCCATGCTTCCTGTACAGCCTGCAGAACTGTGAGCCAGTTAAACTTCTTTTCTTCATAAATTACCCAGCCTTAGGGTAATTATAGCAGTGCAAGAATGGACTAATGCAGCCTCCCACCCTCTTTTAGAGTGAGAGTTGTGGGAGACTCCACACACTGTCTCGTCTGTCACCTCTAAAAAAAATTCTTCAGAGCCAAGCATCACAAAAATCAAACTTTAAGTAGTTGCCACCTGCCTTAGTCTGATCAAGCCAATGTAACAAAATACCATAGATGGGTGGTTTAAACAACAGAACTTTATTTTCACACAGTTCCAGAGACTGGAAGTCCTAGGTCAAGATGACAGCAGATTCAGTGTCTGGCGAGGTCTCCCTTCCTGGCTTGCAGATGGCCACCTTCTTGCTGTGTCTTCTGGTGGCCTTTCCTCAGGGGGCACGGGGGGGAGGGGGGCACAAATGAATCCTGTGTCTTGTCCTCTTCTTAGAAGGACACTAATCCCATCATGGGAGTGCCACTATTATGATGTCATCTAAATTTCATCAGATGAGGGCCCTGCCTCCAAATATTGTCACAGTGGGAATTAAAGATTCAACATATGAATTTTGGGGGACACAACATTCTGACTATAACAGCACCTTTGGATTGGATTTCAGCTAAAGCAGCCAGAGAGTGTCTACTATTAATATTTTATTAGTTAATATATAAAGTAATATATACATGATACTAATATATTATTATTAATATATAGGTATTAATATATCATCATATATAATAGGATCTCACTGCACTGTGTTTCGTACTCTGTTCATAGTGACCTCATATTTTGTTTTTTCATGTCATTAAATATTCCTTCACAAAAATTTTGCATGGCATTACAGAAATTTGTATCTTTGAACATACAGATGCTTCCAGGATTTTGCTGTGGTAAACAATGGCCTTGGGGAGAGTAAAACTTCTTCCACTGTTGTGTGTTAAGCGAAACTTTTACGTGTACTTTTGTTCTCAGTATTTGAATTCAGATTAAAAAAATGTCTAAAATAGGCTAGAGCAAAAATCTGTGTCAGGTAGTCTCAGGGATGCTGTTCTCTGGCTTCAGGCATGGGGTGAGGTGAGCATGCGTCAGGTGAGGGCAGATAGCGGTCATACCGCAGAAAGCAGGTGACTTACCTTTGCTGACTTCCTTGCTGATTAATTCAACTTTTCTTAGCTGGTCAGTTCTTTGGAGCCTGGGTCTCCTCCCCAGTCAAACAAATCAGAAAAACATCACACCCCAGTTCTGCAAACCTTCTCTGCAGTAATACACACCAAAAGCAGGAAGAAGCTGAGGGTGGATCCCAGAGCCCAGGGATGCTTTGAGATGGGAGTAAAAAGGCACAGCTCTGGCTCAGGTGTTTTCAATAGGCTGGGCGCAGAGGCTCAGACCTGTAATCCTAGCACTTCGGGAGGCCCAGAGGGGCGGATCACTTGAGGTCAGGTGTTTGAAAACCAGCGTGGCCAACAGGGCAAAACTCCGGTGGCAGGTGCCTGTAATCCCAGCTACTCAGGAGGCTGAGGCAGGAGAATCACTTGAACCTGGGAGGCAGTGGTTGCAGTGAGCCGAGATCATGCCACTGCACTCCAGCTTGGCAACAGAGTGAGACTCCATCTATCTACACACACACACACATACACACACGTTTTCACTAGAACGCCATTTGGGCAGATGGCTGAAATGTGTGAGGACAGCCTGGGTTCAACTCTTGTTCTAAGTAGAGGAGAAATCAAAATACAAAGAACACCCATGGCTCATGCATTAACCTAACAAGCAGGATGGATTTTAAGATTTTTGTGTTTATGCTCTGATAGGATTTGGATCTGTGTCCCCACCAAATGTCATGTTGAATTGTAATCCCCAGTGCTAGAGGTGGGGCATGGCAGTGGGTGACTGGATGTGGGGACAGAGTTCTCATCAATGGGTTAGCACCATTCCCTCGATGCTGTTCTCATGACAGTGAGTTATGAAATCTGGTAGTTTAAAAGTCTGTGATACCTCCTCTTTCTTTCTCTTGCTCTGGCCATATAAAGTCATGGCTCCCCCTCTGCCTTCCGCCATGATTGTAAGTTTCCTGAGGCCTCCCCAGAAGCAGAAGCTGCCGTGCTTCCTGTATAGCCTGCAGAACCAGGAGCCAGTGAAATCTCTTTTCTATATAAATAACCCGGTCTCAGGTATTTCTTTACAGTAATGTGAAAACAGACTAATACATACATATGCTGGAATATTTCCCATCATGTTTGGGCAGATATTTGGAAACATCTAGGGATTTATATATATATATATATATATATATATATATATATATATATTTTTTTTTTTTTTTTTTTGAGATGGAGTTTCGCTCTTGTTACCCAGGCTGGAGAGCAATGGTGCAATCTCGGCTCACAGCAACCTCCGCCTCCTGGGTTCAGGCAATTCTCCTGCCTCAGCCTCCTGAGTAGCTGGGATTACAGGCACACACCACCATGCCCAGCTAATTTTTTGTGTTTTTAGTAGAGACAGGGTTTCACCATGTTGACCAGGATGGTCTCGATCTCTTGACCTCATGATCCACCCGCCTCGGCCCCCCAAAGTGCTGGGATTACAGGCTTGAGCCACCGCGCCTGGCTGGGATTTATATATATTTGTATATGGAGCAGTCGGTGCTGATTTGAAGACTGGGCTGCCCTTTCCCAGGGACTGCTCAAAGTCTGGTGTGATTTTGTTGCAGGCACTTGACAGGGATTTTGCCCTTGTGATTTTCAGACAGGGCCTCTGACTGTTCCAAGGCAAAGTTAAGAATCACAACAGTCTGTCGTCAAGGTGGAAAAAGCAAATCTGTTTCCTGAGGCCCTGCCTGAATTGCCTCATTACATGTTTGATCTTCATCTGTGCCCTTTTCTGAGGCTACGCTTAGAAGAAAACCAATCTTACAGAAGCAATACAGATTATTCTAACATAGTGAGTCTCCAGACACCAGCCTAATTCTCCCTTTCAGAGAGCAGGATGGGCTGATTTCCCTCGAGTAGTGCCTGGTTTAATGCTTGATTATTTACCTCTCAGGTCAACATATCTTCTTCCCTTTAGTTCTGGGTTAGGAAGAACTGGTCACAGTTCACACTGACCTCTGCGGACATGCTGCTTCAATAGGATGGACTGTCATCTGCTTCTCTGAACATTGGAAGCAAGAGAACAAAGAGACATCACCAATCAATTTCTCTGTACAAATGTAGAAAATTCAAACTACAGATTGAACAAAACAACTCCACATAACTCTTTTTCTCTCATTCAGAGCAATCAATTTCAGGCCTAAACTTTAACTGAAACTTCAAATTCTTCCGCAGTTGATCAGTCCCATGGGCACGACACAAGTAGTGAAAGTAATTTTTAAACAACGGTACCAGAATGTGTACATCTGAATGAATTTCCATCAAGGTGGCCCCCAGGGGGAGGGACTACGCTTAAATGATTCTGCTGTTGCTCAATAACTTCTTGAACTGACATTGTTGGGTGGCCAGGACACATTCTTTGAAACATCTGTTGTGTGTATATCTTTTGAGGATGAATTTTCTTTTTGGAAATAGTTATGATTCACCCAGAAACAAGTGAGGTGAATGAAATGGGTAAGCTGATTGATACCATCTGGATGTCATAAATGAAATAATCTCACAACGTAGCAGAATTCTGTCTATGTGTGAGTCCTTGAAGGTAATTCCAAAAGAAGAATCCTATAAGTGTTTGATCAATTCATGTGTTTTAGTGAGAATTATATGATTCCATGGTAGAGAGAGGATGATTATTTTGAAGGTCACCTTTTACTTGGAATTTTAAGTTCTGGTACATTTACTGAGAATGTCAGTTTCTTTGCTGACTTGGTAAAAATTGGTTAACTAACAGAGTACCGGATGAAACAGAAGTTAGTTTCTCTCAGTCTACAGGGAGGCGGCTCCATGGAGTCCTTAGGAACTCGCATTCTTCCAGCTCATTGCTCTGCCATCCCCGGGATATGGCCACCGTCACCCTCACGTTGCAAGCCATGCTGTACCACATCCATGTTCAGGCAGCAACATGGAGTAAGGGGATAAGGACACACAGTGCTAGAAATCTAGCAATCCCTGGAGGGAGGCTCCTGCAAGCTGTCCTGTGAGGGCTCCACTCATATCTCATTGGTCAGAACCTTGTCACATGGTTCTCAGAAAAGGAGGCAAAAAAATGGAGTCTTTAACCCAGGCGGCCATGTGTTCGGATACGAGCAAGTTTCTATTACGACGGAAGCACACAAGGGCTGACCTTGTTGACAACTAGTAACCTATGCCACAATTCCTTTTTTTTGAGATGGAGTCTCACTTTGTCATCCAAGCTGGAGTGCAGTGGCTCAATCTCGGCTCACTGCAACCTCTGCCTCCCAAGTTCAAGTGATTCTCCTGCTTCAGCCTCCTGAGTAGCTGGGATTATAGGCATGAGCCACCATGCCTAATTTGTTTTTTTGTTTGGTATTTTTAGCAGAGATAGGGTTTCACCATGTTGGCCAGGCCGGTCTCCCACTCCTGACCTCAGTGATCCACCCGCCTTGGCCTCCCAAAGTGCTGAGATTACAGGCATGAGCCACCTCACCCCATAATTCCCTGTACTTCTATCTGATATTTCGGTGAGCTTGAAGGATGCAAAGGTATTACTTGCCACAAATCCTCTGAACAGAAACAGTTTTAGTTCTGTTTATAAATCATTTCATAAACATGGAACAAGAAATGATGCCATGTGCACTACATATACATATTTTAATTCTCCTAACATCTATAATTCCATACAAGTAGTACCTATTATATAGGAACTAATGTCCTCAGCTTACAAATGAGAAGATTTAGAGATCAGCCAGGAAACACCCACCTCCAGATCCTGGGTTCTTAACATTATTATTCCCTAATAAGGAAAAAACCTTTTTATTTTTTATTTTTTTGAGACTAAGTCTCACTCTGTCACCCAGGATGGAGTGCAGTGGTGCGATCTTGGCTTATTACAGCCTCAACCTCCTGGGTTGACCAGGCTGGTCTCAAACTCCTGAACACAAATTATCCTCTTGTCTTGACCTCCCAAAGTGCTGGGATTACAGACATGAGGCAGCAACACCCAGCCACATCTTGATTTTCTACTAGAACTCTGGAACCCAAACATTAGTACAATGAAGAATGGAGAAATGCTAAAACCGTTTATCTAACAAAACAGAAGTGCCTATTCTAAGCAGGAAGCCCGCAGAGTGGATGAATTTGTTAACTCCAAGTTAGGACGAGAATCCCCCAAGATGAAGTGCAGCCTGGCCATGTCGTCCAGAACCATTCCTTGTCACTCCGCTGCTGATGACTCATTCCCCTCATTCTGCCAGTATGGAACAAGAGGGGAAGGAAAGAAAAGAAGGAGGGAAGAGAGGGGAGAGGGAAGGAAGAGAAGAAAGAACTGGCAGGGAGGAGAAGGGAGGAGAGGAGAGGAGGTGGAGTTTCTATGGCTGGATCAGTTTCACTGTCAACCCAGCCTGGGGCTCCCTGTTGGGAAAACCAGACCAGGATGTCTCAACATTTCCAACACTGGAGAGTCACACCTCTTGTCCTTGGAGCGAAATATTCTCTCCAAGCACTCGAGTGAATCTTTAGAAAGAGGAAAAAGAACCGTATTCTCTTACCTGTTTTTTTCAACCGAACATGATGAAAGCGATTTTAGTCCAGAAAATGACTAGCGGCTGAGGATTGCCTTTTGGTCTGACAAAACTTAGACCCCACTTGTCTGAAGACACTGTGCTCTGTGAAACCTGTCACCTTATTTCTTGCTCAGTATCTAAGGATGACGACAAGGACTCAGACAAGTGTCAGTCTGGGAGAAGAGGCCTCTTAGGCACAGAGTTTGAAGCTGTTCCCTTAGATCCCTGGTAGAACTGACTTAGGTGCTGTAAGACCTCAAACCCTGCACTGTTTTTATGAAGGAAAAAGAGCGTTAATGTCTGCAGAAACCCTACAGAATAAAACTTCCAATCACATTTTCAGAAAGCATGTGTACTTTTACACTGTGAGGGTTGTCAAATAGATTGTGACTCTTGGGGAGAGTAGAACAATGAACAGGGGGTGGGCAAGGAAGGCTAAGAGAGTCAGAGGCTTCTTTCAAAAGCCCTTCAGCTGGCCGGACGCCGTGACTCACACCTGTAATCCCAGCACTTTGGGAGGCTGAGGCGGGTGGATCATGGTGTCAGGAGATTGAGACTAGCCTGGCTAACATGCTGAAACCCCATCTCTACTAAAAATACAAAAATTAGCTGGGCGTGATGGCGGGTGCCTGTAATCCCAGCTACTTGGGAGGCTGAGGCAGGAGAATTGCTTGAACCCGGGAGGCAGAGGTTGCAGTGAGCCGAGATTGCACCAGCGTACTCCAGACTGGGTGACAGAGCAAGACTCTATCTCAAAAAAAAAAAATCCTTAAGCTTAGGACAGACAGTCCAACCTCATTTCCCTTTCCCCAGGAATCCAGAGGTGCCTTTAAAAAGTCCACTGCTCTAGGGGACTGCATGAGTTTCTCAGCTTGGAGACAATGAGGAAAGATAAGAGAGCCAGCCTGGGGGGCTTTGCTGTCCCAGCCCCCATGGAGTGTAAATGCCAAGTTGCTGATGAGTATAAGGCACTGCATGCTCATGATTCTTTTGCGAGTACTGTGCCTTTACATTGTACCCTGTTTTGGATTTTTTGTTTCTGTTTTTTTCTTTTTTTTTTTTTTAATAGAGAAGGGGTTTCTCTATGTTAGTCAGGCTGGTCTCGAACTCCTGACTTCAGGTGATCCGCCCACCTCAGCCTCCCAAAGTACTGAGATTATAGGCGTGATCCACTGCGCCCAGCCTTTGACTTTGATTTTTGAGACAGCGTCTCACTCTGTGGCCCAGGGTGGAGTGCAGTGGCATGATCATAGCTCACTTCAGCCTTGAACTCCTGGCCTCAAGTGATCTTCCAGCCCCAGCCTCATGAGTGGTTAGGACTGCGGGCACACATCACCATGCCCAGGTAATTTTAACTTTTTTTTTTGGTAGAGATGGGGGTTTTGCTATGTTGCCCAGGCTGGTCTCAAACTTCTGGACTCAAAGTAATCCTTCCACCTTGGCCTCTCAGAGTTGGGATTAAAGGCATGGGCCACTGTGCCCAGCTCACTACATCTTGTTTTTAATGTTAAATTTTAGGGTTCAAGATCAACTCTTAGGAGTCCTCAGTTTTTCCTTCTATCTGTCAGGGGTGGTAGAGGGCAGAGTTGACCCCCTTTACTCAAATACCACTGTTCACCCTAGAGCCTCCACCTCCGCCTGTACGTAGATTACTCTCACTCTATTCATTCTTTCAGTGGTTTGCACATTCTCTCATTCATTTGCTCACAGTATTAGTGCTGGAAGCACTGCAAAAGTTCAGAAGAGGAGGAGGCTGGGGGTGGAAGACTGCATGTGAATGGGGGAGTAAGCAATTTCTGATGTGCTGGTTTAGCCCCTTCTGAATCCTGAACAGACCCTCACAGAAGGGGCTCAATGAATTCTCCTTAAACTATCATCCTCTAGTAATCCCTTTTGGCCGCACACGTAGGTGTCTAGAATAACCCAGCTTGGAGCATCTTGGCATCACGCAGTTGGCCTGGGATAAGACACTTGCAGACCCTAATTATGAGCTGTATGTCCTTTGCCCACCGCCGTAGACTACCACCAAGAAAAACTGTCGGACTGGAAAGTAGCTCCATAGCAACTTGCCGAACGTTCTGGAACTGGAGCCTGGAGAAGGGGCAGGTCCCCTCCTGGCCTGCCAGGTTCTACCCAGGTCCCAGAGAGGCTAAGTGTGTTTCCTGGTTTCCTGTTCCCTCTCCAGCCTCAGGCCACAAATATAGCCATCAGGAGGTGGCAAGAGTGCTTTTTCCTTTTTGCCACAGCCCCTGAGATGAGACTTTCTGCCCAGGAGAGACTCACTATTTCTACCTCACTGATCCAAGCCTGAGCAGACCTAGCCTAACTCCTGTAGAGTGGAAAGGGCCTCTCCACCTGAGCACTGCAGCCCAGTGCACATCCTCCTCAAAGCATCCAACTCTTGGGGTCTCTGAAGCTGTTCCACCAACGGCCCCTGGGAGGCACTGCATCCCTCCGGGGGCCCAGAAGTCCCTCCTGATACGTGGAGCCGCCCACAGCCCTCTCCTCTCCCTCCCATCCTTCAGGACTGTTCCTCTGAGCAGCACTAGGAGCCCGGTGAGCAGATGCATGGGGGTGGCGGGCACATAATTCCATTCACTGTTTCCTCTTAACAGACAATCACCCTAAACAGACCCCGTGGCCAGCTGCCTTGAGAATAAAACACTTCCTGGCTTCGCTGTTCTTTCCCAAAGTTATTGTTAATGGAAGATCTTCCCCATGGTAACAGCTGAGAGGCTGGAGGACAACCAAACACTCAGGGCCCTCGTTCCACAATACCCAGGGCTCCGTACTAATCCTCGGTGTTGCCTGACGTCAACGTCAAACTGACACTGAGATGCGTCTCCTCCTCCCGCAGATTCCATCGTCATCGCACTCTGGGTGAGCCTGGCTGCTTTCGTGATGCTCCTCTTCCTCATTCTGCTCTACATGTCCTGGTCGGGCTTCCCGCAGACGAAGTGAGTAAGAAGGGGTGTGGGTCTGTGGGTAACTCAGATGCTGTCCAGTGAGTTAACGGTGCAGGTCGAGTATCCCTCATCCAAAATGCTGGAGACCAGAAGTGTTTCAGATTTGGGATTTAAAAATATTTGCATTATACCTACTAGCTCAACATCTCAAATCCAAACATCCGAAATATTCCAGCGAGCATTTCCTTTGAGTGTCATGTCAGTACTCAGTAAGTTTCAGATTTTTGGATTTGGGATGCTCAACCTCTGTCCCTACAACGGCATAGTATTCAGCAATGAAAAGGGACAGAGTTCTGATCCGTGCTACAACATGGATGAACCTCAAAAACATCATGCTAAGTGGCCGGGCGCAGTGGCTCATGCCTGTAATCTCAGCACTTTGGGAGGCCGAGGCGGGCGGATCATGAGGTCAAGAGATCGAGACCATCCTGGTCAACGTGGTGAAACCCTGTCTCTATTAAAAATACAAAAAATTAGCTGGGCATGGTGGCGCGTGCCTGTAATCCCAGCTACTCAGGAGGCTGAGGCAGGAGAATTGCCTGAACCCAGGAGGCGGAGGTTGCGGTGAGCCGAGATCGCGCCATTGCACTCCAGCCTGGGTAACAAGAGCGAAACTCCGTCTCAAAACAAAAACGAAAACAAAAAAAAAACCATCATGCTAAGTGAAAGAAGACAGACACAGGGTGGTCCAGGAGGACGACTAGGGTTGGTTGCCATTATGGACTGTTAGGTCCCTTACGGACAGAACTCCATTCACACAAAACATCCAGAGCAGGCAGATCCAGAGAGAGAAAGCAGATTATCAGCTGCCTAAAGTGGTGGGGAGAACAGGGAATGGGAAATGACTACGGATGGGTTTCTTTTGGGGATGATAAAAATGTTCTAAAATTAAGCTGAGCATGGTGGCTCATGCCTATAATCCCAGCACTTTGGGAGGCTGAGGTGGGTGGATCACTTGAGGCCAGGAGTTCAAGACCAGCCTAGCCAACTTGGTGAAACCCCATCTCTACTAAAAATACAAAAATTAGCCAGGTGTGGTGGCACACACTTGTAATCCTAGCTACTCAGGAGGCTGAGGCAGAAGAGTCGCTGGAACCTGGGAGGCGGAGGTTGCAGTGAGCCAAGGTTGTGCCACTGTGCTCCAGTCTGGGCAATAGAGTGAGACTCCATCTGAAAAAAAAGTCCTTAAATTAAGTCAGGCACAGTGGCTCACACCTGTAATCCCAGCACCTTGGAAAGCCAAGGCAGGAGGATCACTTGATCCCAGGAGTTTGAGATCCTGTCTCCACAAACATATATTTAAAATTAGCTGGGCATGGCGGTGCGCACCTGTGGTCCCAGTTACTCGGGAGGCTAAGGCGGGAGGATTGCTACAGCCTAGCAGGTCAAGGCTGCAGAGAGCTGTGATCACACCACTGCACTCTAGCCTGGGTGATACCGCAAGACCCTGTCTCCAAAAAAATGTTCTAAAATTAGATAATGGTGATGGTTGCACAACTCTGTGGATGTGCTAAAGATCACTGAATTATACTCTTTAAGTGAGTCAACTTCATGAAATGAAAATATATCTCAGTACAGCTGTTCAAGAAGATGAAGCCAGCATGACAACCTGGGCTTTGAGTCCTGCTGGCCAGCTCGTCAGAAACATCAGAGCCTCACCTTTGGCCAGGCGTGGTGGCTCACACCTGTAATCCTAGCACTTTGGGAGGCCAAGGTGGGCGGATCACCGGTCAGGAGTTTAAGAACAGCCTGGCCAACATGGCGAAAACCCATCTCTACTAAAAATATCAAAAAAGTTAGCCAGGTGTGGTGGTGCACGCCTGTAATCCCAGCTACTCGACAGGCTGAGACAGGAGAATCCCTTGAACCCAGGAGGCAGAGGTTGCAGTGAACAGGGATTGCGCCACTGCACTCCAGTCTGAGCAAGAAGAGCAAAACTGTCTCAAAAGAAAAAGAAAGAACGATCCTTACCTTAAGCACCTCCGGTCATTATCTGTTATCAGAGGCCTGCTGTGTGCCACTAAATTGGAGGTGAAATCCAGGGCTCTAAGCACTGATTGGAACCTAGCTTGTTTTCTGTTAATTCCTGTTAGAGGATTGGCTGCCACCTCCAATGTTCCCTTCTAGGCTAAAGGGCCCCCACAGCTGCTGCTCTCCTAATGACTGTTCTTAAGAGGGACCCTATATCTTGCCATTGCTGACCCAAAGAGGGCCTGTCCAGTGGCTGCCCCATGCCCTTGGCAATGTGTGCCCCACAAAAGGGCTGGGGCCAGTCCGATTCTTGTCTTTGGAATTTGGAATCTAGAAGCTGAGAGACAAACCTGGTGGTTGTGAGGCTGCCCTGAGTAGTCCAGGAGGACTGGGGCTGGGTGCCACTGTGGACCATTACAGCCATTACAGACAGAAGTCTTGGGGACTGAAACCCTAAGTGTGGGAAGCTGGTCAGCAGAAACATGAGCCGAACTCTGAGGAAGAGCTGAGGGGCCTTGAAGCCCTGAGCCAATGAGTCCCACACCAGGTCCTATGAGGAGCCGTGGACACGAGCATTCACAGTGCCTTAGTGTTCCCTGTTGCTGTAACAGAATACCTGAGACTAGGTGATTTATAAACAAAAGAGGCATATTTAGCTCATGGTTCTGAAGGCTTAGAAGTCTAGGAAGCATGGCACCAACACCTGCTCAGCTTCTGGTGAGGGCCTCGTTTTGCAAAAAGAACTTACCTAATTCAGTCTAGAGAAAAAGAGATTCATCCATTGGAATGAACTCACTACCTCTTAAAGGCCCCACCTCCCAGTATTGCCACACTGAGGACCAGGCAACCACATGAGTTTTTGTGGGGACAACCACACCACAGCCCAGTTTCACCTCAAAGGGGCCTCTGATTCTCCTCCCCGCCCCCACCTGTGTCACCCACCAGGGCTACACTTGCCAGGCCATTTCTGCTCACCTTTGGTCACATATGGAAGGTAGCTTTAGAACAATAAATAAATTCATTCTCACTCTCGCTTTTTTTTTTAGACGGAGTTTCGCTCGTGACCCAGGCTGGAGTGCAATGGCTCGATCTCGGCTCACCGCAACCTCCGCCTCCTGGGTTCAGGCAATTCTCCTGCCTCAGCCTCCCGAGTAGCTGGGATTACAGGCACCCGCCACCATGCCCAGCTAATTTTTTGTATCTTTAGTAGAGACAGGGTCTCACCATGTTGACCAAGATGGTCTTGATCTCTTGACCTCATGATCCACCCGCCTCGGCCTCCCAAAGTGCTGGGATTACAGGCGTGAGCCACCGCGCCCGGCCTCTTTTTTTTTTAGACGGAGTCTTGCTCTATCGCCAGGCTGGAGTGCAGTGGCACAGTCTTGGCTCACTGCAACCTCCACCTCCTGGGTTCAAGCGATTCTTCCGCCTCAGCCTCCCAAGTAGCTGGGACTACAGGCGTATGCCAAATGCCTGGCTAATTTTTGTATTTTTAGTAGAGACGGGGTTTCACCATGTTGGCCAGGATGATCTCGACCTCTTGACCTCGCGATCCACCTGCCTCGGCCTCCCAAAGTGTTACGATTACAGGCGTAAGCCACCATGCCCAGCCCATTTTAAACACATTTTTACACCCGAGACACATCTGAGGGATAATTGGGTGATGTCATCTTTCTTTTCTACTCTTGTGAGGTGACCTGCAGCCGCCCTGTGCCAGGAAGTGTGCAAGGATCGTCAGTAATCCTCCTGGTGCCAAGTTCCCCAGTCTGGTCCAGGAAGCCCAGGGGCTGCCCTCTCCATGCCCAGTTCCCACGGGAGGGATACAGGCCTTCTGAGCTATTCACAGGGGCAAATTGATGACACTGGGTATCCTGACCACAGTGCTTACTAAAGAAAATGCTCTCAAGGTACTTAGTAACAGACCCGGAATGCGCAGGGCAGCAAAGTGGATCCTTAGCAAGATTTAGGAGTCACTTCCTGAGGAGCTGACCTTCCCATGAGGAAGGGAATGAAGGAGGCCATCTGAAAAGAGGACCTCTGCCCAGCGGGCTCATCACCTGGTACTTTTCATTCATATCAGCACTGTAACCGCATTTAAAGTCATTTTATACAGCATCTTATTTCATCCTGAGGATATCTGTGAGGCAGTATTGTCCTATTTTATGGATGACATTGAAGGCAGCTGGGAATTGATGGCAGGGGCTCACTCCAGGCAGCCATGTCCACTGCCCCGGCACCTCCCCAGCAGGAGAATCCACCCAGGGAGGACACATTTCTAGCCAAGTGTATTAGTCTGTTCTCAGCTGCTAATAAAGACATACCCGAGGCTGGGTAATTTATAACAGAAAGAGGGTTAATGGACTTACAGTTTCACAAGGCTGGAGAGGCCTCACAATCATGGCAGAAGGCAAAGAAGAGCAAAGCCATGTCTTACATGGTGGCAGGCAAGAGGGCGTGTGCAGAGAAACTCCCCTTTCTAAAACCGCCAGATCTCACGAGACTTATTCACTATCACGAGAACAGCAAGGGAAAAACCTGCCCCATGATTTCATTACCTTCCACTGGGTACCTCCCACGACACCTGGGGATTATTACAATTCAAGGTGAGATTTATGTGGGGACACAGCCAGATCATATCACCAAGATACAAGTTGCCTTGGGGTATGGATATAAAATGAGCTACACTCAGATACAGGGCTGGATGGGAGGTCAGCCTGCGCCCCCGCCTGATCCTAAATGAATATAGAAAGAAGTGGCCTCCAGCGAAAGACCTGAGGCCTAGTTCCCAACAAAGCACTTTCTCTCTTCTGAGATTTCTCTAGAATGGCACCTTTGTGAGCTGGCTCACCCTTCTCAGGAATTTGCCTGTGTGGCCTTCTCTATGGGGTCTGGACCGATGGCAGGTATAGCAGGAAAACCCCCAGCCCTGCGGTATGGGCTGTTCTGCAGCAATTTTGACGCCTGCCTCCCACTCTGCTCTGTTCACAGGAACAGCCCCAAGCACCACCAAACATGCCCCTGGAGTCACAGCCTCAACCTTCACCTCTGCATCCCGAAGTGCCTGCCGTGCCGCTACCGCAGGGAACCCCAGGGGACCTCACAGGCTCTGGTGCACTCAGTGGAGCCAGGGAGCAGAACTGGCTCTGACCAGCCGCTAAGACAGGAGAGCTCCTCCACCTTGCCCCCAGGGGTCTTCCAGACGCACCCCACTCTCCTCTGGGAAATGACCCTCGATGGGGCTCCTCTCGTCAGGAGCAAGCCCAGCAAGCCTCCCCCTGGAGACAGGAACTCTCAATTGCAGAACTGATGTCAGTGAATCAGGGCCATAGCTGCGAGAACTGGTGAAATCAAACCAACCTGGATACATACATCTTCGTTCTTGGAGGCTGTTTGCATGTAGCAGAAAGGGCACCTAGGTCAAGTGCAACTGGAGCAGGGGCATCCTATGCCTTTGACAAAGACTGCAGTGGCCCCTCGAGCGCAGAGATCATCCCAGGTGTTGCTGATTTTATTGAGCATACTTAGCCTGCTTGTTTATGGCTTATGTTTGTTTAGGGAATAAGAAAATAAAATATATGCAAATCAAGAGGAAAGGCTGTTTGCTTACTAATCTTTACCATGTCACTTTACCATTACTGTGCAATGTGTTATCAGCCCTGAGTTCACCTGCTCCATCTGGACCTTTGTCAAGATGCTGGGTAGGTTCCCATCCAACCTCCACCGACACCCTCTGGCTCCCAGATGTGATGGCACCTGCCCCGCCAGGTCAGCTTGCTGTAGTCGGGGGACCTGAGTCGCAGCTTCAGCCTCCCCATAGCTTTCAAAGACAGAGCCCGAGGAAGTTGTCTCCCCTGGAGGGCAGGCAGCCAATCGCTGTCAGCAGCCAGACCTGGTAGGCAGGGCCTATGCCCAAATGCTGTCACAGAACATGAAGAGCCTTGGAAGCTGGCAGCAAGGGTTTCCTTCTGGATGTGACTCTGTGGGGTCCCTGAAAGATCTAGTCTTCTAGTGCCCAGCAGCCTTGGCCCTGGAGAGGAGACAGCATCACATTGCAAATCCCAGAAAACTCACGTGTCCCCTACAGCTTTAAGGCAGGGAGGGAGTTGGTGGGCTTTATTTTAAAATAACTGTTCCCCCCCTCCTTTTTTTTTTTTTTAACCATACCATTTACAATATTTATAATTTAGCATTTTCTATTTCAAGTCAGGTGAAGACCATGTACAATCTATTCTCCATGGGGGGAGATTCCCTTCCTCCACACTAAGTGACTGGAAAATACACCAACAAGGTCAGGGCAGTGGATTTGGAAGGGAGAACAGAAAAGCAGGACTGATGAGCTCCAGAGACGCGGAAACGAGGGTGAGCTGCTGAAAACCGGTCCTCACTTGACTGAGCTGGGACTCGGCTTCAGAGTCCTGGTCGCCGCCTGAGGTTGCATGTATTTGACTTGCTGGGTTCTAAGAACCTGGGAGGCAGCTCGGGCCTGGAGCTGGGGATGAAGCTGTGAAATCCACCCAGCCTGCTCGCTGCCCCTCTCTGTGACCCCAGAGGCATGGGGTTCAGGGATATTCCCCAGACAATGTTTTTCAGGCCAATGCCCTCTGGATAAATGAGCAGAGGTCCCTGTGACTAAAGGAGTCCCCATAGGCCACGGAGAGGTGGGTAAAGATAAAAGGGAACCAGGAGAGAAGGCTTCGCTGGAGCAGTGCTTGCCTGAGTCCGGCTCGGACCTAAGTGTGGAATTTCAACTTCAGGATAGTCTCAAAGAATAGTGTTGTAAGGTTTATTTGGGTAGGAAAGGGGACAGGGGAGGCAACTGACCCTTGCTTTGCAGACAATGAGCCCTATTTGTGGGGAAGGGGCTGTATGCTGATAAGCATTACTCATGCTTTGGTTAAAACTTTAAGTCACCAGCTGGGCGCGATGGCTCACGCCGGTTATCCCAGCACTTTGGGAGGCCAAGGCGAGTGGATCATCTGAGGTCAGAAGTTTGAGACCAGCCTGGCCAATCTAGTGAAACCTTGTCTTTACTAAAAACACAGAAATTAGCTAGGCATGGTGGCAGGTGCCTGTAATCCCAGCTACTCTGGAGGCTGAGGCAGGAGAATCGTTTGAACCTGGGAGGCAGAGGTTGCAGTGAGCCAAGATCGCACCACTGCACTCCAGCCTGGGCAATAGAGTGAGACTCCGTATCAAAAAAACATTTTTAAGTCACCTAAAACAGAAACTATTGTCAAGAACCCTGGTGGAAAAGTGTAACTGTTTCAGACAAAACCGAGCAAATACAGCCAGCACTCTGTATGCTATATGGCAAACAAAAGCACCGCATCCTAGGCTGCAGAATAGACCCTGAGCCCCAGCTGCGCGAGAGTTAGAAAGGAACAGACAGAAATTTTAACTGAAAAACACAAAATTTCATGATTTTTGTCAGCTGCAATACCAACTAATATATGATCATTAACAGTAAAATTCTGACCTTTAAAATAAACGCAGAACATTTGTGGAACAAAAATAGCCCCTTAACATCAATTAAAGGAAAACACAAAAACCTTACAAAAATAGACATTTATTAAAGCAGTTATAAAATTCAAAACCCCCACTTTGAAGTATAGCTTTAAAAATTACAGGCTGTCTTCTCAAAGCAGAGGTCAAATTACTTTTACACTTTACGGATTCAGTGTGACATCCTTTTATTTAATAAAATAATTAACAACCACTGGCAGAAATTAACTTACTCAAAAAGTCAAACTAAACTTTGTTGTGACTTTTTATAGAAAAATAAGTTTTATTTTATTTATTTTTTTGAGATGGAGTCTTGCTCTGTCACCCAGGCTGGAGTGCAGTGGTGCGATCTCGGCTCACTGCAGCCTCTTACCTCCTAGGTTCAAGCGATTCTCCTACCTCAGCCTCCCCAGTAGCTGGGATTATAGGCATGCACCACTAGGCCTGGCTAATTTTTGTATTTTCAGTAGAGACAAGGTTTCACCAAGTTGGCGAGGCTGGTCTGGAACTCCTAATCTCAGGTGGACCACCCGCCTTGGCCTCCCAAAGTGCTGGGATAACAGGTGTAAGCCACAGCGCCTGGCTGAAAAATAAACCGTAAACATCTCTCTTCATTTTCATCAAAAAATATCTGACACCTTAAGACAGTTCAGCTTTAACATGCATGAATCTCTTCAGCATTCAGAAGTGCTGCCTCAACTTGAACTATTTCCGGTGGATGAGCTCCAAGCCCCTAGAGAGGAACGGCTGGCCTGACAAGGCACTGGAGGGGCCTCATGGCCTGGAAGTCCCCACATTCCCTCCCTGCAACTCACACAGGAACGAGTTTATAATTTACTGGCCAGTTCAATAAAGTCCTTCCTGTGCCTTCTCTGGAAACCCTTGACTCAACAAAACTTCTAGAAGCTGGTGCCGTGCTCGAGGCTCTGGTCATCAGGGCGTAAGGCGCCGGCTGGCAGGGGTCAAGCATCCAAGGCTGCACTGGCAATGTCCTTGCACAGCACGACGATGGCCTCCACTTCACTGCTCAGGGCATCGTCTGTGGCCTCACACACCATCCGGATGTGGGTTAAGAGAGTATCCGGCCGCTGGGGCCCTAGCCAGACATCCTTTACATAGAGGGACACCAGGAATGCTGCGGAGGCTGAACAGGAGCAGGGGATAGGCTGTTAGGATGCACACATGCTCAGCTGGAAAACGGGTCATCCTGCCCATGACATACTGGCTTTGCCAAGTGCCCAAATGAACCGCGCCACCAGCCTGTGCAACCCAAGTGAGCTGACCGAGATGACAACTCATTCTGCCTTTGCTTAACTTTCGTGTTATCTTTTTTATTCACTTTAACATTTTTCTTTTCTTTTCTTTTTTTCAGACAGGGTCTCGCTCTGTCACCCAGACTGGAGTGCAGCAGTATGATCTCAGCTCGTTGCAGCCTCGACTGCCTGGGCTCAAGTGATCCTCCCACCTCAGCCTCCAGAGTGGCTGGGACTACAGGCGCATGCCACCATGCCCAGCTAATTTTTGTAGAGACAGCGTTTCACCATGTTGCCCAGGCTGGTCTAAGGTCATGTGCCTACCTCAACCTCCCCAAGTGCTAGGATTACAGGTGTGAGCCACCATGCCTGGCAAAAATCTATCTTTCTTCTGACGAATGTGTATGGATCCCCTCAAAAGCTGTTACAAGACAAGTCTCTTCCTGTTTCTGACTGCCAATGCCAAGAATGAGACTGAAGTTTGAGAAGAATTTGCCAGAATCGTTTCATACCATTTCTTCAGTGGCATGAATGAGGAGGAAGAGAAAGCTTTGCAGGCAAAAAGACTCAATTCCCCAACTGCGGCCAGACCAGAGGACGAGGTCGCCCCTGCTACCCGGTGAGCCCACCTGCTAGGCTGTGAGCCCCTCCCTCCCCTGCACCCCCACATTCCTCCATGAGAGGACAGCCCTCTGGGTCACCACACCCGGCCTCCCTGGAGCTAACAGCCCCCTGGAGCTTGTGGTGTTCATTTATTCACCCAACTCACTCATTCACAGTTAGGCTCCTAGAGACTGCCAAGTACATAAACTCCCCATGTGCATTTGTACGCATGTGCGCGCACACACACACGCACACACACACAGCTGGCCATATGTGAAACAGAACTCATCAGGTGGCCAATGGTCAGAAGCCCACTGCCCTGCAGGGTGGAGGGACGCCAAGGTTCTGAGGGGGACCTCTCTGCACCGTCAACGTGACCAGCACCAAGGGTGTCACCTGCAAGCGAAAGCAAACACCTCCTTCCTTCCACATTCACTGCCCAGTGGCAAGCTCTCTGCAACCCCAGAACCGTGGTGAGGGGCCGTCTAAACAGACACAACACCCAGCTGAGGAAGGCGGCAGAAACCTAGGCGTTCCAAGCACAGAAGTCACTCCTACCCTCAAGCCCACTCCTGCATCTATTTCTTCAGCCTCTAACAAAAGAAGCAGCCTTACCTCGTGTGGCTTCATCCTTCTCGCTCAGAGAAGACAGGCAGAGGGCCTCCATGGCCAGATGGAAGGGGCTCCCTGCCCAGCCCTGGGCGGCCACCAGCTGCAGCATGACCGTGTTGAACAGGCAGGCCACCTCCTGCACAGGCCCTGTCAGCCCCTCAGCCCCACAGAGCTGGCTATACAGCCTGAATATGCTGCTCCTCAGGGCACCGTCCCTAACGAGGTCAGCCACGACCACAGGGTGCGGCAAAATGTGGCTCTGAAGCCAGCCAACGAGTCCTGCAGCCTCTGCTCTGCTGAGCGGGTGCTCGGCCACCGACCGCAGCACCCAACTGACTGCCAGGGAAGCGGCAGCGCACTCGGGGCCACACTCGGGGCCGCGCACAGCGCTCTCAGGGCTGGCTGAGTCCACGGGCTCCTGAGCGGGGTCAGGACCCGGGATCACTGGTCCCCAGTAGGTCAAGATGGACCTCAGGAGGCCCTTGCATGTCTCCAAGGTAGACGCCATCAGCTCAGGGTCGGCCAGCTCCTCTGCCTCCCCAGGCCTCCTCTTTCGGCCCCGTGGGCCTTTAGCTCGGGCTGCCATGACAGGCTTGTTCTTATCCTTGAGCATTTCTGTGAAATGCACAAAAAGAAGGTGGTGAGACTGAGGTCTCTCCTGCCACACAGATCCAGATGTGGGGAGCTGTCAATGGGGGAGAGGAGGGGCAGTGTGCATGTCCCGAGCACCCGGCCCTGCTCCCGTGTCAAGAGCCTGGTGAGTGCTCGATGTTTCGCTGTGACTGTCATCACTGTTATTATAACCAACTCATTAATCCTCGCACCATGAGGCAGGCGCCATTATCGTCCTCTTTAAACACAGGGAATCAGGGCAGCATCAGGCTTCAGTCGAGGAGGCCTGGCTCCAGCCTACTCCTTAACCCTGCACTACAGGATGGGGTGGGGGCAGGCAGCTCACGTCCGCCCAAGCCTCTTTACAGGTGAGCACCCTGATACTAAGGTAGGTGAAGTGACTTCTCCGAAGACAGAGAGCTGGAAAGCAGCCAGGCTGAAAGTCAAAGGCAGGGCTGCCCGGCTCCCTCTCCAGGCTCGGAGACACATGCGCCCTACTCTGAGCCTCATTAACTTTGGAAATGTGGCTGAGACACACACAGAGAGGAGGGGGAAACAGAGAGGTGCTGGCTGCTCTGGGCCAGTCCTGGGTTCCAATACTCACTTATGAGCTCCCGGGCTTGGCCCTTCTCAATGGCTGCTCTCAGGTCTTCTTGGAGCTTGAGGTCTCTCTCGATGAGGCTCCACTTGTGCAAGAGGACAAGGACATCCTTGGTGGAAAGCACTGTCTCATTTACAGTGAATCTGTTCATGTCCTTGAAGGCCTGTATGACGGTGGCCCGGTACCTCAGCACGGAGTCAAGTGTCCCAAAGAAGTTGGTCAGCTGGGCAGGAGCCAAGGTGGGCCTGTTTGGGAGCCAATGTTACCAACAGCCAAGGCCGCCTCCCCAGCCTGGCAGCCAGCACGAGGTGCACACTGTCTCTCCAGGAACCAGGTTTTCCTGCAGAGCAGACATTTAGCATGGGCCGCCGGGACACAGAGAAGGAAAAAATGAGCCACTTACTAAGCCACAAAGGGGACCTGGAGTCTGACCTGCACCCCAGAGGCACAGACCTCCTGAAATCCTGGCTAAACGGAGTAGCCAAACAGACAGCTTGAGGGCCAGGGTGCCAGAGCCTGCGAGGGCTCCACTCTGGGCCTGCCAATTTCTCTCGCCTCATGGACCACCAGTCTCAAGTGAGAAAAACCCAGGGATGCCCTGGGACAATGTCACCACTTACAGCCAAAACCTGACCGATGGCCTCCAGGAGAAAAAAGAGCTCCCTGAATTCCAAGAAAGTGGAACCCTGTAACATCGGTTCCACACACCGTAAACCAGTATTTTAAATAGCAATTGGCTGCGGTCTTCTTAGACACCGGCATGTCTTCTGACAGCCCTACATAGGAAATGTGACTATCCACTACAGATTTCACAAATTAGTTTTGAACTATACAAAACAAAAGGCCTTCTTATCAAGAAATTTTTCCTTCTGAGGTGACAATCCACTTGATATCAGCCTTCTGGTTCCAGTTAGCACACCCTGGCTCCCGAATCAGAAAGAATGGGTACACAGCGTGTTTCCTGCAGCATGGTAGAACTGGAGGGACATTTAGCTCTTCTAAGGAAACCAAAAGCATACTCTAAGGAATTGAATGAAAATACAAAATATTCAGGAAAATTCATGGACAATGAATCTTCATAGGCTAACGAAGGTAGAGGCAAGTTTGGGAACACCCCATATTATGTGAGAGTCACAGGAAATATTTTCCATCTACAAAACATCACTTTATTCAAGTGTTTGAATCACAACATCAAGGTAGATGACTTGCCTGCTGAGAATGACCTCATATGATGTGTATTAGGTTTTTAAGTGTGTTACGTTCTTGGGCCTTGATAATAAGCCTTATAGAGTCGAAGGGGAAAGAAAGAGCTAATAAAATAGATGTTCTGATGCTCCCTACACGTGACAATGGTACTCTGCCCCAATCCACAGCAGGCCATGGACGAGTGTCCCCCGGGACAGCCATGGAGTTGTGACCGAGACATGGTGACCGCATGTGGCAGACCAACACAGCATCCAAGAGGCCAGAAGTCCCCCCATGGCGGGGGCAGGACTCACCTCAGGTGCTTCATGAGCACGATGAGAACGTAAAGGAACTCATTGACCAGGTGCAGGGCAAGCCGCTTGGGGGGCTCCCGGGAGCTGGGCTGGCAAGGGCGCTGGCTCTCCCACTCCACTGCCTTGTCCCCCAGGTTGGTCACCCACAGTGTGTGCAGCAAGGCGATCACATTAGACAGCAGCGGAGTCGCCAGAAACCTGAAAGTGAGCACAGGAGCCTTCAATCTGCCACATCCTGTCCTTTCAGCAGGATCAGACTATCCCCCTCCACAATCCTATCTGCTCAACCCCTTAGATAAGCACAGCCTCCAAGTGGAAACAGGGCGCTTGCTATACAAACGCAGCTTCGACACAGGATAAGGCACCCAGGCTCCTTCCTAACAGAAGATTGCCCTAAGTCCCTCCAAGAATTCAGGAGCTACTGAGGCACACAATAAAAACCATCCTGTTCATGACAACAACTCAGTTCCTAAAATAAGAAATTAACAGCCAGGAACATTAGCTTAGCTAATTATGCCTTTTGTAAACCTGACACAGTCTTGAAGTTGATGTCCGAAGACACATTCTAGATTTCAGACGTTACTTTCTTCCCCCTATCCCCGCTTTTTTTTTTGTTTGTTTACAGATGTACTTGGATATATTACTTTCTTTTAAAGAAATTTCAGGAAATACTTTTTAAAAATGCACAAAAGGGCCTGCATTCTCTCAGGCTTATTATAGTAGTTAGCTCTTCGTAAGACAGAGCCCTCCCACCAAGTGCTGTCTGCTGTGACAGGGTCTTCCTCTCTGCATGTGACAGTCTCAAGCAGCAGGATAATCAGGAATCACAGTCAATCATCCAGATTCAAGCAGCAGCCCTTGGTGCTGCTCCTCTAACACGGGCTTGTCACTGAGGACCAAGACCCTGCACTGACAGCACAGTCCTGTAACCCATCAGCCCTGCTCTCCTGCCACCAGAGGGATGCAGTTGCTAAAGCCTTAGAGAACAAGACCCTGCTATAGAGCACGGAAGGCTGCTGGGACACCATGGGAGGAGTCTGACCCGAGCAGAACACAGCCAGACAGGCTGGCGGAGACTCTGCCAGATGTGAACAGCAGCTGGTGTCTGCTGTCCCTTGGCAGACGAGACACTCAAGAGAAAGCGGTGAATGGAGGAAAGACATTTTGGAACTGCCAGGAGCAGGACTGCCAGGCATATGGTAGCACTGGAGGACACCGCATTTCAGAAAGCATGGATTCTACTGGACATTTCCAACCAGGATCAGAGCTGGCAGCAGACATCCTCACTTCTGTTCCTTTCCTTCCCACCTGACACACACCGCTCATGCAAAAGGGACTTACTTGCTTTCAAGGATGTGTAAAATCCATGTTAAAAGGCTGTAGTCTCGTATGATTTCATAGGCAGACCTGGCAACCTGGGCAGCGTTCTGTAGAATTTCCAGAATCCAGTTCTGAAAACCCCAAACAAGAAGTTACTCTTCAGTGAGAAAACCCAATTTACCTGATTAAACAAACCGTTTTAAAAATGTGCTGGTATGCTGCCATTCCAGGCGGTGGCTGCAAATGAGGCCTGCTTTGCTGAGTCTGTCAGAGTGGTGGCCGCGTATGAATGCGCCCTTCCCCGCAAGTGACAGCCAGAGGCCACAGACTTCCCCAGCAATCTCTGAGCCCCGGGGATCCTCACTTCCACTAATCCATCATCTGGAAACTACCCACAAGCAAAGCTGCACCACAGAAACCAAATGGCCCAGACGCGCAGCAGCCTGCACAGGGAGCAGGTGAGGGACCGCCTCCAGGCCAGCCGCCAGCCACACAGCCCTGTGTTTACCACCTGGAAGAGAGGACATAAAAATGGGACTGTTCCCTGACTTGTTCATGGGGTGCTTGAGAAGTCTCACACGCCACAAAAAAAAAAAAAGCTACCACACTCGAATTCAGTTTATTCAAATGGGCTTCTTAAGAAAAGCCCTATTTACCCACATTGTACATACGAGAAACAAAAGCCGACGAAACAGAAATTAATGAAAATACCAAAGGCTTTTCCTATATCCTTCTACACCTACCTATAGTATTTAGAAGGCACACACACCAGCTCTCTCTTCCTGACTGGCTAGGTCAGGCTGTCTGCTTCAACACAACTCCTGCTTTCTAAATGAGTTCTAGGACCCCCAACTTCTGTAGTAGGTGAAAGTGCCTCAGAATACCTCAGTCACTGACAAGGCGTCTCTAGATTTTTTGACCAATCCGAAGTCTCATGATTATTGATCAGTATCCCCCCTTGATGGCCTTCGCATATATGCCAAGGGCCATATATATAGTAGGAGGCCTCAGTAAAGAGTATTCAGAGGACAAACAACACTAGGGGTCTCAACACTGCAGCCTCAAGTGACTCCACCTGTTCCACACGCAGGGAACAGGACGGGCGCTAACAGTGTCTCCCCTTCCCTGAGAGCCAGGAACAGGCTGGGAACAGAATTCACATGAACTTGACTTCCCAATAAAACCGTAAGAAGGGGCACAGGCCTCTTACTCTCAAATGAGCTGTGGGAACCACGTACCTGCGCCGCCTCGTCACACAGCGGGCTGCAGAAGAAGGACAGGATGATGTGGAAGATGCCACGCCGGGCACACAGCTCATAGCAGTGCTTGTCACGGATCCCCTGCCGCAGAAGGCCAAACACCCACTCCTGCTCCGTTTTTTGCTATAACCAGGCACACGAAAAACCGTTGTTAAGTGAGTGAAAGTCTTTGCATCTGACAACTGTTCCAACATCACTATTTTTAAGTGGTGGCAGAGGCTGTAACACAGCAGCCCTGACCTCCATGTCTGATTATAAAAAATCCTTGATCTCATCTTTGATTTCATTTCTTCAGGTCGGAAACAGAGGATCAAGTCAAGTTTAAACACTGAACTTAAGTCATATAGATCTCCTATAAAAGAATATTTAATATGAATATCTAATAAAGGAGTTTAGTATTTAACCCAGTGATTCACCAAAAAAAATACGATGAGATTGGGATAAAATGCAGGACTCTGCAGCAGAGTTTTTTTTTTTTTTGAGACAGAGTTTCGCTCTTGTTACCCAGACTGGAGTGCAATGGCATAATCCTGGCTCACTGCAACCTCCGCCTTCTGGGTTCAAGCAATTCTCCTGCCTCAGCCTCCTGAGTAGCTGGGATTACAGACGCGCACCACCATGCCCAGCTAATTTTTGTATTTTTAGTAGGGACGGGGTTTCACCTTGTTGACCAGGATGGTCTCGATCTCTTGACCTTGTGATCCACCCACCTCGGCCTCCCAAAGTGCTGGGATTATAGGCGTGAGCCACTGCGCCCGGCCGGCAGCAGAGTTTTTAAGGTTTGAGGCACCTTGTAGAAGTGAGCTCACAGCACGGGGACCTCCCTGAATGCGGGCCTGCGTGGTCTCGGTGCTCGCACAACCGTGTTGGCCAGCAGCACACAGTGTTGGTGTGGAAAATGTCCGAATGACAACGGCGGCTGCATAAGTAATGCGGGGGCCTGTGGAAGGCCTGGAGGACTCTGGAAGCGCACGCACCTCAAAGTCGGAGCTGTAGAAGAACTGGTAGAAGCCAGGCACTTTGTCCATGTTCAGGTACTCGTGCGACAACAGGAAGTTGCTGACTTTCAGGTACATGTGCTCCTCTGAGAACACAGGCAGACAGTCAGCCACGGCAGGCCCCAGCAGGACACCCCCTGGGCTGGCAGCACCGAGAAGCAGGTGTTGTGGGTATCAGACATAAATCCCCTCCCAGGAACTTCCGTATCCTGACCCAGATGACTGGCTCTCGAGAATGAGAACACAGCTAGACACCTCAGCGCCACACTGCACACAGGCTTGCTCTCCTGGCTCAGAAGCCACTGCTGGATGTTGAGTCCTGCAGGGACCTTGTCCCTCCCCCTCCCCAGCTCCTGTCCTATAGCACAGGCTCAAACCAGCAGGTGGGAAGGGTGAACTTGGTCACACATCCCACAGATCAGGGCTGACACCACAACCAGCTGCTGTACCTGCTTCTAGCTTCTCGCTGAAAGGAACCATCACAGCAGGGGAGGCTCAGACACTACTGAGTGCCTCTGGAATGCACTAAGGCAGAGACGACAGACACGCTAGCTCCTGCCACCTCTGCCCTCGGATTACCATGAGTCTCCCCCATGACCACTGCTGCCCAGCACACACTCCACCCTGACATGTACACCGGTGTGGGACAGGGCCACACCCAGGACCGAAAACATCATGGTCTCTGCCAATTATTTCATTTCCTTCCCAAATCTCCAAGGGAAGTAAAACCCATGGAATAAAAATGAAATGGGAGTGGATGAAAATCAGATCTGAATTCTAACAGCAAGTTGATTATGAACTAATGGTGGAGCCTTGGACAAGCTATCTAACCTTGGGAGCCTCAGTGAGTGAGTATGCGGGGTAGGGGTGGAAATAGGGTGAGTGGGGGGCGCTGTTTCCTCATCTGAAATAGAGCCATGTTATACTAAAAGCACACTGTGGTCCCTGATGGTACCAACTTTCTATGATTTTTCTCTCAGTAACCAAAAAAAATCTCAGAATGAGCTAACTTCTAGTCACACTATCTTAGCAGTGGTACCCCATTCCTGTAACAAAAAGGAGCCTTATTCTAATACTGTGGGTTACACATATATAGTACTCACACACCGAAGCTCTCTAGCTAAGGACCGTGAGCCTAAGCATGAATCAATGATTCATGAATCAGTGGTGGTGATGGTGACAGAGCTATCACCGATGGGTTTTACTATGCCAGGCACTTCCACGTGCGCTCGTGTGTATGATCCGGGCCGGGTGTGATGGCTCACACCTGTAATCCCAGCACTTTGGGAAGCTGAGGCAGGCAGATCGCTTGAGCCCAGGAGTTTGAGATCAGCCTGGGCAACATAATGAAACCCTGTCTCTATATAAAATTAGCCAGGTATGGTGGCATTCACTGTAGTTCCAGCTACTCGGGAGGCTGACTGAGGTGAGAGGATCATCTGAGCCTGGGAGGCTGAGGCCGCTGTAAGCCGAGTTCATATCACTGTACTCCAGCGTGGGTGACAGAGCGAGACCATGTCTCAAAACAAAAGCACCAAAAAACAGAAAAAGTATGTGATCCTCATCACCCTCACAGCAATCCGAGAGGCAGTGGGTCCTATCATCACCACCTGATAGGAAGAAACGGGCATGGGGAAGTCCAGGACGGTCTGGCTGTGTCCACACTTTTAGCCCCTGGATTCCAATCCCTATGATGTGATCAGCCCACATTTTAACATCAGTGTTATCTGCTCTCACCAGTTTTCTGTAACTATAAGCAAATATGAATATATATACTATTTCCCTCCATTATAAAAATGCTGTTCTGCACTGTGCTATTTCACCTCATTTTTTCTGAATTCCACCCCATGCGGGTCCATGAAGAGCTTCCTCACAACCATCACCTATGCACTGTCCAGTGCTGATGGGTACTTCAGTGGCTCCTCATCTTCCACGATCATGAGCACGAGTGGCCCTGAACACAGATGTGTGACCCACTATACCTGTGGGACTAACCCCTCAAAGTGGACTTGCTCAGCCTCAACTTTTCAATTCCCCTCAACCTCATTATGTCAGTGGTACCTGGTTTCAAAATTTGCATGGCTGCTTTGGCAATGAAGAGAGCCAAGGTAAAAGTGAGTCTCATGTCCTGAGTTCGAATCCCGTTCCGGACTACATCCAACAGGTAAAGTAGCTTGAAAACAGAACAGAAAAAGAAAAAATAAGATGAGTGTGTTCGGAGCCACGGTCAGTCTTATCCAGTGCAGCTGAACCGGGACTCGGCAGGATGTGCCTGCTCCTCACATCCCAGGGACCGCCAAAGATGAAGCTCCCAGGAGCAGACACATTACCTGCCAGCATCTCAGGAACGTTTTCCGTTTTTATTTTAGGCGTCATCAGCACAGAGAAGTCTGGCACCATGCCCTGAAAATCTCATCTGCTCTTGTTCCGCCAGCACCACGGGGTACAGGTTTCTGAGGTTCAGTGTGTCGTGGATAACAGCCCCCTCAACCACTGAGTTTAGACCAAAGAAATACTCTGTAGAAGTCAAATCACTTTGTCTACCCACAACACAAGAAAGCCTGTAAGAAGAGGAGGTTTTTTCAACCTCCACAGAGGGCTGTGGATCAAGGGCAACCACCAGCATCACCTCCTAAGGGAACAGACTTTTGCTCGTCAGCAGAGACCTCCCGGCAACATGCTACCTCCGTGTTCCTTAGTAAATCCTCTACCGAACCGAGTGAACAGCCAGCTTTCTGCAGCCTGCCAGGCCCACCCCCACCGCAGGAATCCACCCTTCCCACTTACTTGGGACTGCTCTTGGAACCGTGCCCCCTCCAAGTGCGAGTAGTAGGCTCCCAGGACGTGGTACGCTATGGCTCGCATCTGGGGGTCATAGCTGCTGAGGGCTGTGACAGTTAGGCCCAGGGCATTAGAATCCAAAAATTTTCGACAATCCACCACAAACTCTACAGGAAATAAAATACAGCATGAAGCACACACGATATGATTTCATCATTCTTGTTAACTTGGAGAATTAAATTTTCTCTTGCGTTTTACCAGTATCAACTACATGTGCCAAATAAAAGGAGTGCACGTCTCTCTCCAACTCCTCCTAACTTCTGCTGAAGTTTGACAAAAAATAAAGTCTTCCTTTACGTGGCAATAATGACCATAACTCCAGGCTCTAAAATGCTCATACGTCGCAACCATGATAATTTCATTCTCATAAACATCCAATGAGCCAGGAGAATGGAGGTGACACAGAGACCTACTGTGGAGACCCCAGCATGCCAGGGGCCTGGGCAACACAACTGGGGATCAGCAGAGAAAATCCACCCCCAGCTTCCACCTTGCTCTGCCCTCCGCTGCGGGCGCCTGTCGATAAGCATCACTGAGGACAGCATACATGACAGTGAAAGCAGGGAAATACAGCTGATGCCAACCAGCGCACAAAGGACTCTCACAGCCACCGTGCAACCCAGCTCTTTCTTAAAATAAACACAAACCTCACAGAAGAGCGGTTCACCAGGCTTAAGCAAAAGCTACGGTCCAGAGAGACTGCTGCCTGGAATCCAGCTGCCATTTGTGAGGCCTAGAGAAGCTGACAATCACTGCAGGAGAGGAGAAGACTCAGATGGAGAAGGCCAGATACGCGAGGAGATGTGCCTTGCCGCAACCTAGAGGGCTCTCCACCAATACAACTGAGGATACTTCACCCCTCTTTAATGATTATTTCTTAATCTGATCATGATAATTATCCACAATGATGTTCTCAAGATTGAGTGACCTGTGGCTTAATTGGGAACCAAACACAAGTCAACTGAAATGACTACTCCAAATGAGTGATCATGGAATATACCATCAATAAGAGACAGTGGCTGGGCGAGGTGGTGCACGCCTGTAATCCTAGGACTTTGGAAGGCGGAGGTGGGTGGATCACGAGGTCAGGAGATCCAGACCATCCTGGCTAATACGGTGAAATCCCATCTCTACTAAAAATATAAAAAATTAGCCGGGTGTGGTGGCAGACACCTGTAGACCCAGCCACTTGGGAAACTAAGGCAAGAGAATCACTTGAACCAGGGAGGCAGAGCATGCAGTGAAATGAGATAGTGCCACTGCACTCCAGCCTGGGTAACAGAGCAAGACTCTGTCTCAAAAAAAAAGAGATAGTCCATTGATGACATTTTTAAAAGTTAGGGAAAGACCAAGCATGTTAAGCAGGGACACAGAAGACACAAAGACCCAAAACCAAGCTCTAGAGATGAAAACTAAAATATCTGAGATGAAAAATGCATTGGATGGTGAGAGGGTTTGGATTTGTTCCCCTACCCAAATCTCATGTCGAAGTATAAACCCCCATGCTGGAGGCAGGGGCCCTGGTGGGAGATGACTAGATGGCAGGGCAGATTTCCCCCTTGCTGTTCTCATTGACAGTGAATGAGTTCTCACAAGAGCAGGCTGTTTACAAGCACGTGGCACTGCCCCACGTCCCCCTGCTCCAGCCAGGTAAGACGTGCCTGCTTCCCCTTCGCCTTCCACCATGATTGAAAGTTTCCTGAGGCCTCCCCGCCATGCTTCCTGTATAGGATATGAAACCATGAGCCAATCAAACCTCTTTTCTTAATAAATTATCCAGTCTCGGGTTCTTTATACCAGGGCAAGAATGGACTAATAGAGATGGGATTATCAGAGATCAGACACTAGTTTCAGTTTCTAAAAGGATTCGTGAACTTAAGACAGCATTAGAAATTATCCAAGCTGAAACACAGAGAGAAAAAATAGGAACAGAACATTAGTGTCCTGGGGGTATGTGTCCCTGAAAAAATATGAGGAAATAATGGCCAGAACTTTTCTAAATCTCAGCAAAACAACTATAAACCTAGAGAGCCAACATACTCATTAACCGGAAACATTAAGAAAATCATGCCAGCATCATTACAATAAAACATACACATGAAAGAAGAAAACCACACCAAACAATCATGATCCGATTGTTTGACACCAGTGATTTAAAAATCTTAAGAGCAGCCATATGGCACACAGAAGAATGAAGATAAGAAGAATGGCAGATTTCTTGTCAGAAACAACCCAATTCAGAAACTGAGGAGCAACTTCTTTAAAGTACTGTAAGAAAAAACACTCTCAACTCTGAATTTTATACCCCATCAAAATCCTTCAAAAGTTAAGACATTTTGCAGACACAAAAAGGCTAAAAGAATTGGTCACCAGTAGACTTGAACTATAAGAATTCTTAAAGGAGGCCGGGTGCGGTGGCTCACACCTATAATCCCGAGGCCAAGAGATCGAGACCATCCTGGTCACCATGGTGAAACCCTGCCTTTACTAAAAATACAAAAATTAGCTGGGCATGGTGGCGCGCGCCTGTAGTCCCAGCTACTCGGGAGGCTGAGGCAGGAGAATTGCTTGAACCCAGGAGGCGGAGGTTGCGGTGAGCCGATATTGCGCCATTGCACTCCAGCATGGGTAACAAGAGCAAAAAAAAAAAAAAAAAGAATTCTTAAAGGAAGTATTTTAGGAAGAAAAATAATGACACAAGATAGAAATCTAGATCTACACAAATGAATGGTCACAATGTGGCAAATATCAAATATTTACACTTCTTTTAAAAATAATGACAATTTGAAACAAAAACAGTACCGTAGGGTTTATAGCACATTGAAGTGTAATGCGTAATAAGAATAGCAGAAAAGCCAGAAAGAAGGAAATGGATCTATACTGTTACAAGGTTCTTATACTATACATGAAGTGGTATCACCTCACTCTAAGATAAGCTCTAATAGATTGAAGATGTGTACTATAAACACTCAAGTAACCAGTAACAATATGCATGCATGCACTCACACACATACACAAGTTGCAGCTAAGTCAACCAAAAAGATAAAATGGAGTCAGATCAATAATCACATTAAATATAAATGGTGCATCCGCTCCAATTAAAAGGTAGAGATGGTCAGATTAGATAAAAAGAAGAACCTTGGTACATGCTGCCTTCAAGAAGCCCACTTTCAATATCAAGATACAGACTAAAATTGAAAGGATGAAAAGAGCATAGACAGATGACTCTTGGGCATAGCAGTTTAGGAACAAAATTTTCTAATTCTCTTATCTCTATTTTTTTTTTAAGACAGAGCCTCCTTTGTCACCCAGGCTGCAATGCAGTGGCATGATCTTGGCTTACTGCAACTTCTGCCTTCCAGATGTAAGCAATTCTTGTGCCTCAGCCTCCTGAGTAGCTTGTACTACAGGCATGCACCACCACACCCAGCTAATTTTTGTATTTTTAGTATAGATGGGGTCTTGCCATGTTGGCCAGGCTGGACTCAAACTCCTGGCCTCAAGTGATCAGCCCACCTTGGCCTACCATAGTGCTGGGATTACAGGCATGAGTCACCATGCCTGGCCTAATTTTCTTATTTCTCATAAGTGACTGTTTTTGATAAGAGGGGAACAGAAATCCAAAAGCTTTAAAAGCACCAAACTGGATAAAATTATATTGTTTTAGAAAAGATGGGATAATGGGTTTAAGAAACACCTACATAACTACGTAACAAATACAGGTAAATGGAATATATTTGGGAAAGAGAACAGTCTAAACATTTAGTTTATACTCACTAAACACAGCTAATACCCAGCTGGCTGGGATATTTTTAGCAATCACTGACATTCTAAGACAAATGGATTTTCCACGTGTCCATGAGGAAAAGTCAATTTCCTGTTTTGGGCTCATCTCTGCTACTCTATGAAAATCTTGGCTTTGTAACACTTATGGAAAAGAGCTGCCCTCAAGATGTTGAAAACATAACAGGCTATTTTAAAAGTTACAAATGCCCTTCTCTTTGTTTCAAGAACCTCATGAATAGCAACTTGGCCTTAACAGACCTTCAGATCAAAATGGCTTAACCAGGACAGTTATTAAGGACTGAAATAAAAAGTATCCCCAAACTGGGTGTAATGGCTTACACCTACAATCCCCCAGCAAGTTGGAAGGCTGAGGTGGGAGGATTACTTGGGGTCAGGAGTTCCCCTGGCAACACAGAGAGAGAGCCTCTACCAAAAAAAAAAAATTATCGAGGCATGGTGGTGGCACACTTAGTCCTAGCTACTCAGGAGGCTGAGGCAGGAGGATAGCTTGAACAGGAGTTTGGGTATACAGTGAGCCACAGTCAAGCCTCTGCACTCCAACCTGGGCAACACAGTGACACCCCGACTCTTAAAAAAAAAGGTGCCTCAGTTTTAGTGGGTTTCAGTAGTAGCACAACTGTGCTGCTGGAGCATCAAAAATCTTCCTTACACCTCTTCTTCCATAATATCCCCCAGAGACACCCCACTGGACTAGAGTCACCACAGTGAGAAGAGTCAGAGGAACCTGCTGGTCGTCTGGTAATGAGGCTCAGAGAATTGCAAACGGGGCTTCCTGTTCTGCCTGCCTTGTGGCATGCGTGAATTATAAGCTGTAGATTTCAGCCCAGTTCTGTTGAGGACAAGAGTTTGCTGTGGAAAAAGCATTTGTCACTGCCATTGCTAACAGCCTTGGCTGGCGGTTTCTTGGCCAAGGACTCAAAGAAGGGAAGCAGTAAGGTTAAGAAAATAGGTTTCCATTTTCAGCAAAGGGCTGAAAATGGAGCAATGAGATTGTAATTACTCTCAAGACTGGCAGCCACACAGAAAAATTAATCATATGCGCAATTTAGGATTGCAGTTCGTTTAGCAATACGTGGACCCAGGTGCCACTGCAGGAAGTAAAAATATACTGTTGAGAATTTCTACTACACTCTGCACAGCTGATTCTCATAAACAACACATGGGATAAATGCAGCTTGGTAGAAAAGATGACATGATGTGTGTCGCCATTTACGTGAAGTTCAAATACAGGATGCTGGCCCCTTCTAGGGAAGAAGGGGCGTGAGGAGCTACTTATTGTTCTATGCCCTGATCTGGCTGGTGGTATCACCACCAGTATACAAATGATATGTGCACTAGAACTGACACTGTGCACATATAATTTGCATACTGTTCTATGCGTCACACTACAACTATTTTAGTGCCAGGAATTTGCCCCTTCCAATGAATGGGTGTGCTTCCTTTCAGCAGTCGAGGAAATCTGTTTAAAAGCAGGCCTCCATTGTTTGTTCAGGATGACAAGATGCCCAGAGCAACATCTCAGAAGCTTACTTTTCCGAGAGTGGTTTGGCTTGTTTTGTTTTGGTGTCATTTCCCTCTCCACCTCTTCGCCTTTTGAAATGTTCTACTTTGATGTGAATTTTTCTTGTAAATTTTTGGCTACTAGAAATCCTTTTCAAGATTGGGAGGACAAGCTCTGCACATGTTTGCACCTGTATTAAACCAATACAACTTAAAATAGGATATATTTGGGAAATTTAAAGGAAGCTGGTATCTGGTACATTTTCCTAACTCGAAAGACCATTTACTAATGACGGCTCTTCAAAAAAGTCCTCCGAGACCAAGAAAAAAAAGAACACACAGTAATCCAGATTTCATGAAAATTAACATCCTGATTTTGCCATTAAACATTTTCCAAGCCTTTTTCTCCTGAAAGTTCTATTGTGAGACAGAGGATAGATGAAATGATTTGCTATAATTCACTAAAGTTAAAACGTCCAGTAGTCTTGCAATTTTTAGAGTATAGAAAATTTCTTTCCGTGTTTGATGAGTAACAGACTACTTAGCCAGCACCATCGAGGCACAGAGGAAATCAGAAGAGCTTCCTAACCACAGACTAGGAGATCTGCCACAGTTAGCCTGCTGCCAAAAATCGCCATCAGGGCAATTAAGATATCCATTTGCTATTACCGTAATATGACATTTGTATGAACTCCCCCTGCTCGCTTGCAAACAAAATCCAGCTTCAGCAACAGAGCACAGTGCTCACCAAGGGGAGCCAGAGCCAACACAAAGGCCTATTGATGGGAAGATCTCTAAGAAATCCCAGCCTCTTTGATCTTTTTAAAAGGGATATAAAGGGCACTGATAGAGGATTGGCAAATCTATTCAGAAGTAGGCGAATTTGTAGAGAAAAAGAAAATTTCAAGTTTAAAAAGGAAGAAAACAAGATGAATAGTGGAACATGGTCTCCCTAGTGCACCCAAATCTCCCCAGGGATGAAGTCTGGGAGTTCATTCAGGATCACGTGAACCAGCCCAAAGCAAAATGCGTGTCTCCACGCCCCCAGCACACCCCACTGGAATCTCAAGCTAGACCTAGGAAAACAAGAGGAACTGTAACAGTTCTCCCTCCAGAATGAGGAAACCATGGCCAGAGGCAGAGCAGGAAGGGGGTCTTCCCTGTATATCCTTCAGCACCTGCTGAATTTCAAACTATGAATGTTAAAAATTAATTAACTAAAATCTCCCAATTCTGACAAGATGGAGTAGACATACTTTTTCCTATTCTTCCTAACAAGCACAACTAAAAATACTGAACATCATATGTAGAACAAACATAAGATGATTCCAAAAGGTAAAAAGGAAGCAGACGAGCCAGAGACCTTGAGACCCAAAGAAAAAGGTAGTGAGTCCTGGGTTGTCGTCTTGCCTCATTTGTCCTAGACTTAGATAGAGCTCAAGTCAGCAACCTGGAAACGTGGACAGGCTCTCACACACACAAAAGCCGAACAAAAGCCTGTTGTCTCTGACAAAAAAAGAATGGAAAGCCTGCCTAAGACAGAAAACTTTGAGAAAGTAACGGTGATACTTAGCCAACCACTTCACTGTGCCCCACTCCCAGCCACGCCAGCAAAGGTGGAGCCTAAACTCCCACTCCTGCCAGGCTGGAAGAAGGAGCTCCAAATCCCTGTTGGGGTGGCATCAGAGAATGCCAAGTAGGGAGGCAGGGTATTCCTCTCCTGGGCAGTGACAGTACACTCCTTCTGCCCCAACTGGGATGTCAGAGGAAGCCTAGCAGAGAGCAAGGACTTTCGGCATGCCCAGCAGTGACACGGCTGCCCCCACTTTTACCCCTCCCCACCAGGAAAGACCTGCGAAGTCCCAGTGGGCAGCTGGGACCTCCACCTGGGCAGCAGTCACAAGGGGGCCACATGGACTTTTCAACACATGGAGGCTTTAACAACCGACAACAGCAGGCGAAGCAGCATGAACCAGGACCCAAATCTCACACCTCATAGAAGAATGAGCTCAAAACAGAGCCCGGGCTTAAACGTAAAGAGTAAGACTAGAAACTTTTAGATAGAAACAGAAGAAAAATTCCTCAGGACCTAGGGGTAGACAGAGTTCCTAGATACCAAAAGCATGATCCATAAAGGAAAAATTGACACACAGGAATTCATCAAAATTAAAAGGTTTTGCTCTGTGAAAGAGCCTGTCAAGAGGATTAACAGATAAGCCACAGATTGTTAGATATTTGTAAACCACAAATCCTCCCAAGGACTAGTATCTAGAATACATAAAGAACACTCAAAACTCAATAGTTTAAATAAATAAATAAATAAAAACGAAATACAAACACACAAAAAAATCCCAAAACTCAACAGTACAAAAAACAAAAAATTCCATTAGAAAATAGGCAAAAGGCATGAACAAGCATTTCCCCAAAGAGGATGTGCACATAGCAAATAAGCCACAGGACATTCAACATCATTAGCCATTAGAAAAATGCAAATTCAAGCCACAGTGAGCTGTCCCTACACACTGTGAGAATGCCTCAACCAACAGACCTGACCAGCCTGGGAAGACCAACCTCAGTGTCTGTCAATGTGTGTTACATGGACATGTTTCCCTCTCCCCCCCACAACCCCTTTACCCACAAAGACTCCCACTCTGAGGCTACTAGACACAAACTATAATTTCCAAAATGTACTTCAGCCAAGAAAAAGGCAACCTCAGCAGGCTAACTCCTTTTCAGGAATCAAATTTCTCATTTCTGTTGGCATTTGCCCAGTAACTAGTAAAAATCCAGAAAATGCTCGTCATTAGGAATTAGGAAAACATCAAGGACAAACGGACATTCCCAGATTTTAAAATTACATTTAAAAAAAAATCATTGTATGTTCAAAACCCTAACTATGTCTTTGCTGAAAACCACTGGAATGAACAGATGAGAGGATGGCTGAAGATCCCTTAAGAATGATTTCCAAGATTCAGGTCCTCATCTGGTAATTATGGCAATAATTACCACAATCGACCTGACCTCTGAAAGTCATGCATAGCAGGCCCTGACCAGAGAGAAGGCTGCAGTTACCTGGCCTGGTCAGTTCACTGAAGAGCTGGAGGAGAAAGCAGGGGTCGTAGAGGCCATCAAGCTCCACCCTGCTCTTGTCTTTGAAAATCGGGTCCTGTGCATCCTGAAAGAGCCAAAACCAACAAAAATGTGTCAATCAACCTCACAAACGTAACACAGGTTGAGTATCCCTGAAACATTTGGGATCAGAAGTGTTTCAGATTTTGGAATATTTGCATACATAATGAGATATCTTGGGGACGGGAGCCAAGTCCAAACACACAAATCATTTGTTTCATATGCCCATAATATACATAGTCTGCAGGTAACTTTATATAGGAATTGAAGATACTTTTCTGCATGAAACAAAGTCTCTGTACACTGAACCTCAGGAAAGCAAAGGGTGTCACTACCTCATGTTAGTGCTCAAAAAGCTTCAAATTTTGGAGCATTTCGGATTTGGGATTTTCAGATTAGAGATTCTCAAACTGTATGACATAACAGTTTACCTGCTATTGCCAGACCTCAAATTATTTTGAATATTTCAGGGCATAAAACAAAGTGCTCTGTAAAAAGCAGTGCTTGCACATGAAGTGACAGGGTCCTTGGGATGTGCTGCAAAATCATCTTTTTGGGGGCTGGGGAAGGGAGTGGTATAAACAAAACAAGTGGGGCCAGTGCAGACCATGGTTGCAGCTGGTGGTGACTTACGAGGGTCTGGTCTCTGTACTTTTATATATGATAAGATTTTTACTTAATAAAAAGGTAAACAACAAGAAAAATGAAGCTGAGGGTGCAGATGGAGCCCCTGTGGCTGGGGTGTGGGGGGCCAGGTAGGGACAGAACAGCAGCAGCCGCACCTCAGGGGGCAGTAGCCTCCGGCTCTGGGGAAAGTGCAGGATGGTCTGCATCATCCGGTCCCGGTCCAGTAGGCAGAGGATGTCCCCGACGCTTGGCTGCTGCCACAGCGACTTGCCCAGGCTCCGGCACGTCTTATGATGCTCCACGGCTGCTGGGCCCCACAGCAGCACCCTAGAGCCAGAAAAGGGAAAAGAGACTGGTCACAGGCCCCGCCGGGAACAGAATTAATTACGGTAATGACCACAATAGGCAGCGGTTGTCAGGCACTGTTCTGGGCATGTGGCGTGTTACATCACTCAATCCCATCACAGCTTATGAAGTGGGTGGTACTGATGGTGATGCTGAGGGTGGGTGACAGTGTCGGTGACGATGACAGAAGCCAGTGTCTACACAGAGCTCACGACGTGCAGGCCCTGTTCTCAGCCCTTCACGTAGATCAATTCACTCAATCTGCACAACAACTCCATAAGGTGGGTACTATTATCATCCCCCTCGTGCAAATGGGGAAAAGAGGTGCAGAGAGGATTAAGCAGTTGCTCAGCTGGTTACCTGCCCAGATAGTATGCTGCAGGGCTGGGATTCAGACTCAGGAAGTCTGGGTACCATGCTAGACCACAGCGGCAGAATCCTGATCTCTCACTGCTCACACGTGGCCACAAGTGAACCAGGTCTGTCTGCACAGGCCTTTTGGCTAAGCCTACCATGCGTATGCTGTACACAACCTTCACACCACAAATGCCACTGCAGCTGTCAGAGGCCACCTTGCCCTCCTCCTAGAAAATGACTCCAGCCTCCTGCTTCCCCAGTCTCTTCTCCCTCTCCCTATCCACTGCGCAGCTGCTCCTGGAGCCCAGCTCTGATGAGGATCAAGTCTCTGCTGTCTCCCAGATGGAATGGAAATGCTTCTGTCTGGTACTTCCACCTTCCACTGCCAACCCATTAGGCCTTCCCATTACCTGCTTCCCTGCACACATTCTGCAACCCCGATAAGCCGGCCCACTCACCCTTTCCCCAAATGTCCTGAGTTTCCACCTCATGCATGCTGTTTCCCCCTCCTGCTGCCTCAGGCCCCTCTGCCAACCTCACCTCAATTAAATCCCCGACTGGCCAAATGCTAACCCTGGAACAAAGCACTATCTGTCGATCCCCAGGCACATAGGGCCTGGCTCTTGGTGCTCCTGGAAGAGCTGGTTTACACCATGGGGCATGAGTCAGCTGCCACTTTAAAAAGGGCTAAATTTCTGACAGTCTGATACCTTCAGCAGACAGGAAGACTGTGGCTCATTCCTGTAGGTTTTCCTGAGAGCACCGAGCCCAGTGCCTCCAGGCACTCAGGGAGCATCTATAGTGCTAAATTCTAAACAAACTTCTAAATCCAGACTCGCTTCTGTGCAAGTCAACAACAGTCACTAAAGTTAGAAAAGGAAAGAGTCATCCTTTTAGGGATGCTCACTGTTCACCCCAGTTTCTGGCAGGCAGGTAGCCCATGTGCCAGGCACACTCAGCAGACTGCCCACCACTGACAGACGGGAGAACTGCCACGAGTGTCCAGGGTCCCCAGCACAGCTCCCCGAGCTCAGGCCTGCTCCCTCATCTAAGGATGGGACGTTTACTTTGTTTGCGGAAATGCCCTGTGCCCCTTAGAGCCACAGAGCCGGTGAGCTGCACATCCTTGATTCGCTCTTCCAACTAGATTCCCTTCATAACCAGCCCTAACCTGCGACTTCCTGGGCAGTGTGGCTGGGCTTTCATTGCTCTCTGCGTTAGAGCATGTTCTCCTGCAGAAATGGGCAGCTGAAACAATGCCTCACTGTGGTAAAACCCGCCTGCGATTTGTTCTCCCCTCTCCCTCATATAAGGACTGTTGGCTGGGCATGGTGGCTCACACCTGTAATCCCAGCACTTTCAGAAGCCGAGGCCGAGGCAGACGGATCACAAGATCAAGAGATCGAGATCATCCTGGCTAACATGGTGAAACCCCGTCTCTACTAAAAATACAAAAAATTAGCCAGGTGTAATGGCACACACCTGGAGTCCCAGCAACTCAGGAGGCTGAGGCAGGAGAATTGCTTGAACCCAGGAGGCAGAGGTTGCAGTGAGCTGAGACTGCACCATGGAATTCCAGCCTGGGCAATAGAGTGAGACTCTGTCACCAAAAAAAAAAAAAAGGACCATTCTACTCCAGAACGGACATAACTGACAGAGCACCAGCCCCGATGCCAAGAACAGGGCTGATGCAGGAGGAAGGAAAAGAGTTTCTTTGCAAGCCCTGGGCGTTCTTAAGAGACGGAAAAAAGTGTTTTAATTTCCCTTTTCTTTGTTTTTTTGGGGGAGTGGGGGAGTGGGGTGGGGAGATAGCTTCTGAGCTGATTCAGCTCTGTGCAGTGGAAATTGTTCTCTCCTCCCTGTGAGCTCTCCTGAACAATCTTCCTTGGCCCAGTCAGCCCACATCCTGTCTGAACACACACACATACATATTGAGCAGATGTGCAGGTGCTAGTCCCAAATGGCAAGGAGAAAAGAAGGCTCTAGGGCAGCAAAGAGGATCCCAATGCTTAGCTGCGGCACTTGCAGAGGTGAGGCAGGGCCCATAGGGAAAAGTGTCACACCCAGCCCTGCAGGACCAAAGCCCGTCTGACCAAGAGACTGGGAGCCCAGGAAAGACAGACACACTCTCGCGCCTGTGTGTGCACACACACGCACCTATGCACACACGTATACACATAGGCAAGCACGCACGCACACATGCACACACACAGACATACACACGCATGCACAGACAAAAAAGTAGATTTTACGTAGTTAGGCCCTGACACTTCCCCTGAAATCCCTATGGCATAAGTCAGTCTACCTAAAGTAAGGGATGAGGAGAAAAGTTTTCAGAAAAATCAGTCAAACAAAACACCACAGCCTACCCAAAAGTGAGCCTGGGGCAACTCCAGACAGACAGGCACCCATGGGTCAGCTGGAGCCGCCTGCACAGGTGCCTTATGGCAAGAGGCCAAGCTTCCCCAGAGCAGCCTACGGGGAAGCTGGTGAGTCAGGGGGAGTGCTGTCCGCCTCACTCTTCCCCTGAGAACCAAAATGGAATGAGAGAAATTTCAGTCTGGAGTTCACTGCGTGGAGAGGGCTCTGCGACCTCAAGGCCTGGTCCACCTCTAGCCCAACACTCACCTGAAGTTGATGAGGCTGAGCTTGTTCTGCTCATACGCTCGAAGCAGAAGTAAAATCTTCTGGTCTACAAAGTCAACGCAGGATGGGTTTAGAAAGCTGAACCCGACACTCTCCTGCTGCTCACTCAAATGACCCAGACCATCTTCTCCCTGCTCTCACCACCAGGTCCTCACATCCTTCCCTTGTTTACAGCCTCCTTACTCACACCCCCAGGTCCTAACTCCCTATCCCCAAAACATCCCGCCCTTACTCCCTCCCCGTGCTCACACCCTCACATCCCCTGCTCACACCCCCTGGCCCTCACTCCCTCCCCCTGCTCACACCCTCACACCCCCTGCTCACACCTTCGGCCCTCACTCCCTCCCCCTGCTCAAACCACCCAGCCCTCACACGCTCACCTAGGACGCTAAGAGTGGCACCATAGGCCCCAAGAAGCACTGCAAAGTGGCTGCTCTCACAGACAGAAGGGCACATTTCCACCACTGTCAACATCAGGTCCACCAGCACTTCTGCAAGAAAACAACCGTGAAACACGCGGCCTACTGGGGTGGACACACTGAACACCAGTAGAGAGCCTTCCAGAGAACATTTAAATGCTTGAAGTCTCCTCCTCTGAGTAATACTGGTGTTTGGACTGCCACCTAATCCCTTCCCCACTTATTTCTGTCGTTGTTATTTTCTTTCTTTTTTTTTGAGATGGGGTCATGCTATGCTGCCCAGGCTGGTCGTGAACTCCTTAGCTCAAGAGATCCTCCTTGGCATCTCAAAGTGCTGGGATGATAGGCATGAGCCACCGCGCCCAGCCCCCCCACCGTTTCAATGAACACATCTCCACAATCTTCTTTCTTCCTAGGCCTTTGACAAGGCTGAATATCAGTCCCCGCTCATTCCCCCTCCCAAATGTTAAGCCAATACAGATTTTTATCCAGGCATGTTCTCCCCATGACTGTGCCACCAAAACCTCTACTCTGTCTCCTCTTGCCTGAATTAAAGGGTGGAGCCCTTTTTGATTTTTCTACTACCCATACCAGTGATGTAGCTAATGGTTGTCTTCAACTTATTAGAACAGTTTATTACAGTCCGACCCTGTGGTGATTGCTAATACTTCCGGGTGTTAATTTTGTCTCTAAACGGAGCGTGGCTTGAAGAAGGTAGGAACCCTTGGACTACCTTCTCTGACATCTGACCTGTGAGCACTAAAGTGAGCACTTACTGAAATAGGGATGGAGCCTACACTTGGGCTTTTGAAGTGTTTTAGCACTGAAGCGTCAACAGACAAGTTCTAACCATTTCCCCTTGATAAAAGTTTCAACATTCCCGAGCAGAAATTTCATGCAACTAATCAATTTCTCTCAGGTCAGACATCCCCACTTTTTTCCCACACCTAACTTCCCCTTGATCCCAGATTTTAACCTGAGCCCATGATACAGCACTAAGATCTCAAACACAACTTCTGTAAGCCAGCTAAGGCCTTGGAAGCAGGTTTGTATTTGCTGTTTGACCACAAGTCAGCAGAGACATTTCTTGACCCTGGATTTGACAGAATTAAAACATTCCGAGACTGTCTTGGTGATGCTTCCTTAGCTCCGAGAGCCCAAGGGAGATGAGCTTCAGTGCAGCTGGTGTAAAGAAATCAGGAGATGAAATCTGGATCTGGAATGAAAGGGTCGGAGTGAGGGGTCACCTTTTACTTTGCCGTCCGGGCTCTCCTCTCCATCAGACTTCAGTAGAGTTGGCAGAAACAGCGAGTGCTGCATGAGCATCATGTGGACCACCGGGAGCTGGATGAGCTTCGTGCGCACGGAGCTTTCTGGGCCGTACAGGAGCTGTATGGCGGCGAGGAGCGTCTTTAAAAATGTGTGGTCCTGGTACCGAAATCTAGGACGTAAGAGTCAAAGGGAAAAGAGCTTTCCTAAAGGGGAAGATTTTATTTTACAGAAAACAATAAAAATTCTTTTTCTCAGCATTTTATTGATTTGTTTGTTTATTTTTGAGATGGAGTCTCATTCATTCTATCTCCCAGGCTGGAGTACAATGGCACCATCTCACCTCACTGCAGTCCCAGCCTCCCGGGTTCAAGTGATTCTCCTGCCTCAGCCTCCCGAGTAGCTGGGATTACAGGCAGGCACCACCATGCCTGGCTAATTTTTGTATTTTTTGGTAGAGACACGGTTTCACCATGTTGGCCAGATTGGGCTTGAATTCCTGACCTCAGGTGATCCCCCCACCTTGGCCTCCTAAAGTGCAGGGATTACCGGTGTGAGCCACCATTGGGAATTTTACAGTGAATATCCTATACCCACCATCTAGGCTCTTCCACTGACACGGCATTACATGGCTCTATCACAGTCCTGTCTGTCCACTGACACAGGGAGCACTTCTGAAAACAAGGGAGGGATGCAGTGCATTTATTTTCTTTATGACTCAAACACTAAACAAACTTCCTGCTTAGTGGAAACACCAGGAGGCATGAGAATAGCTGCGCCTGAGAAAGAGGCGACACCTGAGAGGTGCCTCCCAGGTCACCTTGCCCGGCGTCCCTCCTTCCTCACTCTCCTCTACTCAGAACTTCCGTCAAATGGTTCAGAAGCCTTCTACATCCTAAATCCCTTCAAAACCCACCAAGAAAGGAAAGCAACATCCTCTAAAAAAAAGTGTTTTTCAGTCCTACATGAGTAACTTTAACCTGAGATGGAAAGAAATGTCATGATTCCGTGATGGTAACCTACCGTTGTCATTAACCCAGGACCCACCCTCACTTCTCTCTCTCCTCTTGTGTGAAATACTTTTCTCTGAGTAAAGATGGCCAGGGAAATGATGGGATTTGAAATGAAAATAATTCATGACAATCTGACTGCCCCAAACGGAAGAGTTGGGATGTATCAAGTGTCAGAGAGGATGTGAGGGAAAATGAACCCTCACATACACTGTGTTGCGAGTTCAAATTCGCTGGCTGGGCGTGGTGGCTCATGCCTATAATCCCAGCATTTTGGGAGGCCGAAGTGGGCGAATTATCTGACGTTAAGAGTTCGAGACCACCCTGGGTGACATGGTGAAACCCCGTCTCTACTAAAAATACAAAAAATTAGCCAGCTGTGGTGGTGTGTGCCTGTGGTCCCAGCTACTCAGAAGGCTGAGGCAGGAGAATCGCTTGAACCCAGAGAAGGAGGATGCAGTGAGCCAAGATCACACCATTGTACTCCAGCCTGGGCAACAAGAGTGAAATTCCGTCTCAAAAACAAAAACAAAAAATTTACTCAGCAACGTTGGAGAGCAGTAGAACTGAAGGTGCACCCATACTAGAAGCCAGTAAGTCCCCAACCCACCCCAAGAAACTGTTGCCTGTGCATCAGGAGACATGAGAGAGACCGCAAGACTATAAGGTGAGAGAATGAGAGAATGAGATGGAGAGAGAGAGGAAAAGAGAGATGTAAAGAGGAGAATAGGGAGAATAGCCTAGATGTTTGTCAGTACAGGACTGGCTAAATAAACTGGAATACAGTCAGAAGACCGAATATTCTACAGTAGTGAAAATGAACGACTTAGATCTACAAGTATCAACATGGGTAAATTAGATACATCTGAGCTAACAAAAGCAGGTATAAAGAATGATACATGAATGTAAAATGTTAAACACTCTAAATAATATCGTTTAACAACACTCAGTGTATGAAATACAAAATAATATACTGACAAGACAAAGCAGAACCTCAGAGACCTGTTGACCTTTGGTTAGAGAGGGACGAGAAACAGGACAAACACGGAACACTACCAGCATTTATGAAATGTGGGGGCTACTATCATTCTCTGCACATTTTCTGTATTTCTTAAATAGTCCTTTAAAAAAAAAAGACTGCTTCTCTCATCATCAGAAGCACCCTGTGTGTCAAGAGGCAAATCATCTAACTTCTCCAACATCTGTCTCTAAAAACGAGGTGACATCTGCTCTACCACGTGGATTATGCTAATAACAAGCTATCAAAGAGGCTGTGCATGATGAGCGACACTCACACCTTTACTAAAGGGCACCAAGAAAATGAAATAACTTACTTGAGTCCCGTCTTCACAAATTTCTGCCAATCACCAGGATCAACTTCATTAAGTGCATGCTATGAATAAAATAAGAAATACACATGAAACATCTCAATCTACAAAATACTAAAAGGCCCCGGCTGCAGAGCCTTCAGGAAGGAAGGCTCTGTGAAACCCGTGATCAAAGGGTTGAAAAGAGGAGTGCCGGTGTCCCCTCCTGCTCCAGTGGTTGTGATTCTACCCAGCAGCTCCTCTGTTCCGGCCTCTTTGTGCAATTCTTTTTTTTTTTTTTTTTTTAATATAGGCATACAAATTTATTAATGTACATGGGAAAAATCACTGAGCAGTTACTTTTGTTTGCACAGTTCTTGACAAACACGTGATAGCTCAAACTCACAGGAGCAAGAGCAGAGCCAAGATTCATCTTAAAACAAAAACTAAAATGCAGAATATGGAATTACACTTAGAGTCATTCGATAAACACAAAACACAGTCATCCAAACAATCCGCAAAAACACGCAGGTTTTGGGTTTTCTTTTTTAATTTAAAAATTGTTTGCTTATTTCTGCTAGTAGCACTGACATTTTATCAGCAGAATTAGGTTCATCAAACAGTCGAAGGAAATTTCCTGAGTAGTCCTGTTATTTTTTCCTTTGCCTACCATTTCAACAGCACTAACAGATTTGTAATTAGCCTTTTATTAAATAGTCAATGAAAACCCCTAGTGTGACACCTTCACCCAGCCCCCAGGACACAGGGTTGGATGACATGGAGAGGTCTGTGCTCCAGAGAGAACCGCTAAAGGCGGTGTGTGTGGAGGCTGCTGCCTTCCACCAGGCTGGCTGTGCCGTGGAGGCCACGGTTCTAGAAATCACAAGATCCAAGAAGCAGCTGGACCAATCATCAGCTGAGGCACATCTCACACTCATCACATTTTTTTTTTTAAGAGATTGAGTCTTGCTAGGTTGCTAAGCCTGGAGTGCAATGGCTATTCGTAGGCACAATTCACCACTGATCAGCATAGGAGTTTGAACCTCCTGTTTCCAACCTAGGCCAGTTCACCCCTCCTTAGGCAAGCTGGTAGTCTCCTGTTCCAGGAGGTCACAATACTGATGCCAAACTTGGTGAAGAAACCCGACAAGCATAGTGCACTATAGCCCAGAACCTCTGGGCTCAAGCAATCCTCCTGCCTCAGCCTCCTGAGAAACCGGAACTACAGGTACGTGTCACCATGCCTGGCTCATCACATTTTTAAATACATGTTGTCTTTGCCCCAGCATTTCCTGCAGCTGGACATAACTGGTCAAGTGTGCAGAAATGGACCATGCAAAGATGTTCATCATAGCATTCGTTACCATAATAAAAAACAAGAAAACCATCCACAGGTCCAGCATCATACAACTGTGAAATACGTTATGGTACATTTGCTCATCTACCACTGACCACTAACAAAGTCATGGCAGGTCCACAGTCACTGGGTGGAAACAAAAAAATCTCTAAATATGGTATTATGCTAAAAACAAACAAAAGACCAGGCTATACATAGCATGCATAATATTCCATTAATATATAAAATTACACATAATTTTATCATACACACACAGATACATAAAAAGATCTCTAGAGGGAAATTCACCAAACTTATAATGACATGGATTCTGGGTAGTTTTTTTTATTTTCTTCTCTATTTTTTGCAGTGTTAATACTTGCAATGAAATCATACTTTCAGCCTTATGATCACAAAACCCTGTAATTCTAAATTTTATGGGTGGTAGAGGAGGGTGGACATCACACAGTGGAATCTGACTCAGCAACTAAAACTAAGAAACTACTCATTGCCACAAGATGGGCGAATCTGGAAAGCATCACTGAACTGAAAGAGGTGAAACGCATCACAGCGCACACACTGTGTGATTATATATACTGCACAGTCCCAAGTCTACAAAGGTCTTGAAGAGGCAAAATAACCTCAGGGTGACAGGAATCAAAAGAGTAGTTGCTTTGGAGGGAAGGGAATTTTGGAAAGATGCACAAGAAACTTTCTGGGATGATGAAAATCTCCTTGGATAGGAATGTGGGGTACACAGATATATGAAATACACATATTTCTGTACATTTCAAAATATATAAACTCACCTCAAAAGAAAAGGCAGGGAAGGAGGGAGGCAACCCTCTAAAAGAGGCCAGTCTGTCACTCCATCATCAAGCTACCCACTGGGTGGAGGGGAATAATGACCAAATATTTCTAAATTTTGTGAAAACTATAAACCCACAGACCACGCAGCTCACTGAACCCAAAGCACAAAAAACTTGAATAAAACTATCCTGAAGTGCATCATTATCAAACTGCTTTAAACCATGTCAAAAAAAAAAAAAAATCCTAAAATCAGTCAGAGAAAAAAGACAATACACAGAGGAACAAAGGTAAGAAAGGCAGGTTTCTTACTGGAAGCAAAGCAGGCCAGAAGACAGAAAAGCAACAACTTTGAAATACTTAAAGGAGGAAAAAACTATCAACCTAGAATTTTCTACCCAGTGAAATTCTTCTCAACTTGTTCTATGAGGCCAGCATTACCTAATCCTTAAGAACAAAGACATTACAGGAAAATAAAATTACAAACATCCCTCATGTACACAGAAGCAAAAATTCTTAACAAAATATTAGCAAATCAAACAATATATAAAAATACATTAGAATCAAGCAGGTTTATCCCAGGAATGCAAGGTTGGTTTAACATTCAAACATTTGTTAATATAATTCATCTTAATAGTAGACTAATAAAAAAAATAAGACATTATATAACATCTCTAGAAGCAAAAAAAACATTTGACAAAATCCAACATCCATTCCTGATAAAAGATGGTTCATCAATTCTGGGCTTACCTGGCATCTTCCACTCTGCCCCAGACATTAGCCCCTCTCATTTCCTACAGGGCCATATTCATGTCACCTGGCTTGAAATGCATCTGAGAGTCCAGCATACTCTTTCCCACAGAAATTTAATCTGGATCTCTAAGAAAAGACACCTACCAACAACTCATTTAATCTAAGCAGCATCTGCTTCTCCTGATCTTGAGTACTGTCATCATCTTGCTGGCCACCACTGAAAGACATGATCAGCCACTTCACACAGGACTCCAAAAGGGTCCTTCTCCAGGCACACAGCTCTTCTGCCGACCCTTCCAGAGCTGATGAAATGGAGTCAGCCACGATCCACCTGTTGCAGGAGATGAGAGTCAGAGACAGAGAGCAGGCTTAGATCCTCTGACTTTACACATCCAGTATCACAAAGAGGCATATGGGATAGATGCTGAGTTCTACCCCCCACACTACCCACTCACAGGAACAACAGGCTTCCCTGGACTCTTATTCGAATGCCAAAGATATAGCAGAATTTTTACAAGGGAAATACTATTAGTACAGCAGGAAAAGGATATGTATCTCCAGATTTCGTCTAAATTAGGATTTTCTCAACCTCAGTGCTACTGACATTTTGGGACAGATTCTACCCTTTAGAAGCCAGAAGCAACACCCTCTCATCCTAGTTGTGACAATAAAGGATGTCAGACATTGTCCATCATCCCCTGGGAGAAAATCACGCCCAGCTGAGATTCATGGCTCTCAGGAAACCTGATCCAGTCATCCACTTGTGGAGATGTAAACGTTCCAGAAAGGATGGCTGGAAGAAGAGTTCTCATAGGAACTGCCTGATCACAGACAGGGCACAACAGCAATGCAGTAGTTTTTCACTGACTTACTCCATGAATTTAAAAAAGAGAAAAGTGAAGCTGAGAGAACATTCTGGAACCAACCCAAGCCTTCATACCTCTTGTGACTGTTTGGGGTATGCAGCAAGCTGGGCAGGCAGTCCATGAGGATGCTGAGATCCCTGGCTCGAGCAAACGGGACCAGCTGTGCCAGGATCTCCTGGTACGGCCCAGATGCTGGGGGACTGTCAGTGCTGAGAAGCCTGTTCTGTAGCTGCCTCCACAGGGTCTTCCTCAAGACAGGAATGACAGCAGAGGACACTAGGGCACAGTCACAAAGGAGAAGTCATCATACGTAATGGTGGACTGGAGCCAGCTTGGACCAGCTCATAAGAACTGGCTGCTATATTTTAGCGATCCTGTGACTTTGGCGATGCCACACTGGTGGCTTGAAATTGGCCACGGCAGGAGTACTGACACCATGAAAACTGGCACACCTGTCTCCTTCAATGGACCTCCCCATCTCATCAGTCAACACTCTTGACTCTTCAACCCAGGGGGCCCTGGCTACAGCCCCTATTTCTAAGCTCATGATAAGGCCATTAGTGCCAAGGTTCTCAATTTATATGGGATTTATTCTTCAAAGCCAGGGAATAGAGAGGGTAGCTGCCATGGTTTGGATGTTTGGCCCCTCCAAATCTCATGTTGAAATGTGATCCCCAGTGATGGAGGTGGGGTCTAATGGAGGTGTTTGGGACATGGAGGCAGGCCCCTCACCAATGGCTTGGTGGAGTTCTTGCAGTAGAGTGAGTGAGTTCTGGCTCACTCTATCAGTTCCCTAAGAGCCTTTTTAGCAGGTGCTAAAAAGCCTGCTACCTCCTGTGCCTCTTGCTTCCCCTCTGGCCACGTGATCTCTGCAGAGCTGGCTCCGCTTTGTCTTCCACCATGAGTGGAAGCAGCCTGAGGCCCTCACAGGAAGCAGATGCTAGCTCCCTGGTTCCTGTGCAGCCTGCAGAAGCATGGGCCAAACAAGCTTCTTTTCTTTATGAATTACTCAGCCCCAGGTATTCCTTTATGCAATATGAAATGGACTACGTGCCCAAGGAGAGGTATGTCAAGCACCACTGACTAGAAGACTCCTGGCTGCAGGGCGCTGTCTCACTGTTTAAAATCTGTCATCACTGATGCGAAGTTACACACAACAGAGGCAAAGCAGTGATAAAAAGCATTCACGCATTCAACAAAATGGAATTATATTGTATTTGGGGTAATTAAAAAGTGCCTCAGCTCTGGATCCCAGTGACTAGAGACAGAAGAGAGAGTGGAGCCCAAGCTGCCTTGACTCAACCTCAGCTCACCAACATCTCCCCAGAGTGCGGGGAACCCAGGAGGGACATGGGATGGATTCGCACCGAAGAACTCCTTCAACAGAACAGGACAGCCCTAAATAACCCCAGCTACTGACCCCACCCCTGCCAGCTGCATGTGGGGGAACTCAGACCTGATGGGCACGAGGGGCTGCACCTCAAGCCACAAGGTAGGAAGACTGGAGGGAGACAGGGAATTGGGGAGAATTGCTCCACCTTTCTCCACTTTCAGAGTTGTGTCAGACATTAGAAACAAACCCACATCCCAGAACCTGAAGTTCTAGGGTTTAAAAATGGCCATGGAGTTCACCTTCTTAGCCCATGCAACTGAAGACTCCCAGCTGCCCAAAGCTAGCCTTTCCCTTACCTCCTGCTGGGCGTGTGAAGTGGCCCTGCATCCTGCACTCGAGGTACACATGGATGAGGGGGAGGAAGTCATCGAGGTCCCCCTGGAGGCCGAGCCCTGGGCCAGCCCGCAGGCACCACTGCTCAAAGCACAGCAGGTGGGTGCAGCTCTGCTGGAGAAGCAGGGCGGCGATGCTGAGGGCCGCCTGCGTGCGCCGGGCCAGGCAGTAGTCAAGCAGACCAGCCCTGACTGTGGGGGCCAGCACAGGGTCTCTTTGCAGAGTGTGGAGGAGCACGGTGTCCAGCTCGTCCACCGCCAGTGTGGGCAGCAGAGCCCCCAGGCCTCTCACGTACTCAGAGGACCACAGGAGCTCACCACTCTGCAGCTGATCCTGGGGGCTGCAGGTCAGCAGCTGTACCAGGGTCTTCCCAAGAGCATTCAGGTGTCTTTCTTTCTTGGAGGATTTCATGGGTTGCTGAGTCACCAGGTGGGCCTCAGGCAGGCTCAGCAGGGCCAGGGTGACCTCACGGAGCTGGGTACCCCCCATGTACGGATGCAGCTCCTGCAGGGCCTCCAACTGCAGTGGGGTCTTCCGTGGTGATGTGGCCAGGCCTGCCCTCCTGTTCCGAAGTTCCTTCAGCACACTCTGGGTGACAGCTTCCGAGTACCTGGCCAGGAGTCCCAGCTGCCCAATGTTCCGGAGGATCGGGGCACTTGCCACCAGCAGCTGAAGGACCCCTGCACTAAAATGGGTGGCCAGAAGCTTCACGAGGACAGGGCTGAGAGTGTGCGGCGGGAGGGCCTGCTGCTCCAGAGCCAGGAACCAGCCCTCCAGGGTGGGATGCCTGAGGACGGCCATAAGCACCTCCTCCAGTGTCTGAAAGGCAGTGATGAGGCAAAGATGTCACACAAGGCACAGGGCTAAGAGAAGAAAAGCAGCTGCCACACACAAGTATTCACTGTTGTTAGTGGGACAGAGAGCAGAAGGCCCCTTTCCTAACCCATTCCATTCTCAAGCCTGCATTTCCATGCCCCTCTCAGGGGTACCCATGGCATCCCAGCCAAACCCAACCACAGCTGTCATCCCATTGTACCATACCGATCTGATGGCACTCCACCTGACCCGGAAGGACTGGACTGTGACCTGGCTAGTGCCCACCTACACTCGCCTGTGCATGTCTGAAGGACCCAGCCTGGGTGAATGTCCAGCATGGGAAAAGTGCTCTCTGTGGTCACTTGGTGTTGGGAGCGGCCGGTGAAGAAACACTACCATGTGCATAAGATCAATCGGCTGCTGGCTTCTCCTTGGTGGCCTTGCCCTCCTAAATAAATCCGGTTGAGGGACAAGGGTGTGTCTACTTACAGCTGGGGTGGGGTGATATCAGTTTAGATGAGACTGTGTGTCCAGGGAAAGTGGGGTGACATTAAGCCACTGTGTGTCTGTGATTCTGAATTAAAAGCAATCCTGTCTCCATGGTCAGCAGGAGCTGGGTCTCGAGTGACCCCACAAAACCCCAAAACTAGTTCTGACCTGGCCAACTGAGTAAACACTGAACAGAACACAGCTAAGAACCCTTGCTGGATTAGAGAATAATTTCATTCAGTCGTTCCTCACAGCCCTGCTGAACCAATTCTTCACCAATGACACTCCACCAGTTCCCAGAGACAGGAAGGAATTTTCTTTCCTTATTTATTCTTAAGGGAAGGAAAGAGGAGCCTATCACAGTCTCCACTCAAGCTCTGCCAGTTAAAAACAGCAAAGCACGATTACATATTAAGCACGAGTACATAATGCTTTACCCCAGGGTGACTGGCTAATAGGTGGTCCCACCCAAGCAAATACCTCCCAGAAAGGCAACTCGGAGATCGAAGGAAGAAAGTGAGTATTTCAATTAGATTGTGAAACAAAAAACAGGTCTGCCGCCGGAACCCAGTAAAACAAGTTACACAGCAAACTGTGGGAGAAATAGTTATCCTGGTCCCAATTAAACAGCCTGCTCCCCAAGACTCCTAACAGGAGAGAAAGGCCGCTGCTTCTTAGCAGTCTATCTCCTGCGTATTTCCTGTGGAAAGCAGTACCCGCTGCCCATCTTCCACTCAATGCGGGCCGTAGCTACTCAGTTTCTCAGCAGGCTCACCTCATGCAGCATGAGAGAAAGCTGTCTGCAGGGAGAAGCTGTCTGCACAGAGAAGAAACTGGAAAGAGAAATGCCCAAATTAAACCGCACACTGGGCAGAGCTAGAAGTTTTTATGATCTCTGCTGGAGTTTCTGCATTTCCCTATTTTTCCACAATGGATGCATGTTTTGAATCAGAAGTGGAGAGAAAGTCACTACCCATGACGCTGAGAAAAGGCTAACAGGCGACCCGTGGAGGAGGATGGCAGTACCTGGTCATTGGCCAACTCCAGCGAGGCCACAGACTCCATGTCCAGGAAGAGGTCAGCTTCCGCCCGGGCAGCTTCACATCTCTGCTGGTTCTGGGCATTCAGCTGCTCGCAGTGGACAACCAGGCGCCTGAGGAGATCCAGGAAGAGCTGCAAGAGGGTCAGGCCCGTGCTTCTGCCCAGCTGTGAGAACGAGAGCACAAGCCTCAGCAGGGAAGAGAAGGGCTCACAGCCACTAGGCAGTGGCTTCTAGGGCCCGAGTATTTGGAGCAGGAGACTCGGGAGGCAGGCTGAGAGGGCAACTCCTCACACAGAGTGTGTGAGACACTGTCAATGCAATGCCATTTCTCAAATAAGAGATGTGTCTTCCTAAGCTTTGGTGAAACACAAAGGTTGTTTTGATTAAACTGAAAGGGACATGCCCACCTCAAAACTTAAACAAAAAGCCCTCCAACCACATCAGGAGCAGGAATTCAAGAGCCAGCTACTGAACTAACAAACTTAAGAAAGAGGGAGGGCTGGGCGGGACACAGTGGCTCACACCTGCAATCCCAGCACTGCGGGAGGCTGAGGCAGGCAGATCGCTTTGAGCCCAGGAGTTCGAGACCAGTCCGGGCAACAGGCGAGACCCCATCTCTACAAAATCACAAAACTTAGGTGGGCATGGTGGCGCATGCCCATAGTCCCAGCTACTCGGGAGGCTGAGGTGGGAGGGTGGCTTGAGTCCACTGAGGTCGAGGCTGCAGTGAGCTATGACGCACCAGTACACTCCAGGCTTGGCGACAAAAAGAAGAAAAGAAGGCCTGGCAGTGCCACCAACCCAGTCTACTGTAGGAAGGACCTGTCTTGACCAGAGCCTCCCTGAAAATAAAGTCTGGCTGCACCTGGCTCCCATCTGCAGCTGCCGAGGGACACGTAGAGGCTGCAGCTGAGGTCCGGGCAGAACAGCACTAAACTGCGTCTGCAGTGGGCTCCAGGGAGCAAGAGTATGCCGAGCCGGGACCTGACTCAGAGAAGGCCAAGCCCTGGTGGCAGGGCTCTGCAGGACGTGGAGGATGGGGCAACGCTGACCTGGCTGAAGTTCTCCACGGTGCTCCGCAGGTAGAGCAGCACCTGCTTGGCCGCACGCAGGACCTGCTGCATGGGGAGGCATGGCACGGTGGCCTGCAGCTGCGCCTGGATGTGCTCGTCCCGGAGCGTCTGGCTCTCATAGGCTGTCTGCAGCAGGGCTGTGAAGGAGGAGGCTGAGGGAAGGGCAGCGGGTGGGGGGCTACCCTGTGGCTGCAGCAGCTGAGGGAGACAGCGAAAGGCCGGGAAGAACACATCACCACAGATGAAAACGGTCATAGGCAAGGGTAACACACAACAAAGGGACGTTTCACAAAGAAGCACAGGCTGGGCTAGGACTAACAAATAGGGCCCATGGGCATTCTACTTCAGTAAAGCAAGTAGCAAGGGGGCAACCCGCCCACAAGGAGCCCGCTCTGTGAGTGGCCTGCCTTCGGAAGACCTTCCCGGGAGCCGTGGGCCAAATATCTTGTTAGAAGAACAGAAGATAGGCAGAACACAGCGAAATTTCAGGAGCCCTCTGCCTCAAACTGAAGTTATTCATTTCTTCTAACATCACTACCAAGCTGCCTTCTTTATTTACTCCATGTGGCTTATGTTGCTATAACTCCACTTGACTTCTGTAGGCTAATAATACCCAAGGCTGTAACATGCCCTGAAACTTGGTGGTTGTCAAGAGTGCTCCCTAGGCCTACAGCAGCATCAGGGGAATATGTGAGAAACACAAATTCTCGGGCTCCACCCAGACCTGCAGGCTCAGACACTGTGTGGCTGGAACCTAGCAGTCCAGTTTGAATGGGCCCTCTGGGAAATTCCAGCATACCCCAGAGGATGAGAACCACTGCTGAGTCTTACTCCACAGAAGGACACACCCACTCCGAGCAATCACGAGGGGCAGAACGGAACTCTGAACACCCCCACATAAGCTGGTATCTGGCTACCACTGTGGCCTATGTGGGGAGGAAGGTGGCAACAACCTTATTGTGACGGCTCTGGAGCCAAACTGCCTGGGCCAAATCCTGAATCCACCACTGAATGGTGTTGGAACTACTCTGTGCCTCAGTTTCCCTGTGTATTAAAAATGTGGACCAACTTCTTAGCGTTGCAGTGAGGATTAAACAGCTGGCCGGGCGCGGTGGCTCAAGCCTGTAATCCCAGCACTTTGGGAGGCTGAGGCGGGTGGATCACGAGGTCAACAGATGGAGACCATCCTGGTCAACATAGGTGAAACCCCGTCTCTACTAAAACACACACACACACACAAAATTAGCTTGGCATGGTGGCACGTGCCTGTAATCCCAGCTACTCGGGAGGCTGAGGCAGGAGAATTGCCTGAACCCAGGAGGCAGAGGTTGCGGTGAGCGAAGATCGTGCCATTGCACTCCAGCCTGGGTAACAAGAGCAAAACTCTGTCTCAAAAAAAAAAAACAAAAACAGCCAAAAATACATGTAGTACACTTAGTATAGGACCTGGCATGCCTCCAAAAATACACAGAAAGCATGCGATCATTGTTGGCTATTGCTACCAATATCACAAGACAAGGAGGGCCTAAGCTGTCTGCTTTTTCGAATGTAGCTAAAACAAAATGCACACATAAAAATGCATACCATGAAGTTCATTTCTTGCACCACACACCACTGTAAATACTCTGCATTGGAGCCAGAATCCCATTACAAGAAAATCGATTTTGTTCCTTTCCTTCCCCACCTTTAGTGGAATAGACACTGATGGAGCCCTTGAGGGGCCAGGTGTGACAGCTGAGCAGTCTCTCTAGGGCCACGCTGAGGTTCGCAGAGGAGAGCCAGGAGACAAGTGCGCACAGACAACAAGGTAAGGAAAAAAGGAAAAGGCAAGGCTCCTGCCCCAGGCTGAGAGAGGAATTAACCAACTACCATTATCAGACAGCCAGTGGGAAATTTCACTTGGCTACATCACCGAGTCTTATGTGTTCAGCTATGTAATCTGAGCACCAGGGATACTACTTAGCTTCCTCTCTTATGCAGGGGACTTCAGGGTAAGAAACTTCACCCTGCTGTCTGGCTATCCAGCTGCACAGCTGTGGCCCAGCCAGCTGTGACCCCGGGAAGAACCCTGCACAAAAGCAGTAACCACAGCTGTGGCTGCAGCTCACCAAGGCCTCTCGGGCTTGCTCCGGGATCCAAAGGCTGTAGTATCTGTTAAACTGAGAGAGCTGGTGGCAGCAAGGCACCGGGCATGGAGGCTCCAGCTTGTCATACGCCTGGAGCAGCAGACACAGAGCCAGGGGGTCCCGCTGGGTGTGGAGGAGGTCGGTCAGCACCGCTGTCAGATATGTCACAACGTTTTCTGCTGCAAAGGAACGAGATGCACATGGGAAGAGGCTGGCTGGGCAGACCTTTCTGTGACCTACCAAAACCACCTTCTCTCATATACATGCAAGACCCAGAAAAATTCATGCAACTCCACAAGGGGATGGATAACCACAGGGAAGGAGGTGCTACTGCTGGAGACTATGCTAGGATCTGTTTTATTAAACAAGTAGCGCACAGTCAGACATCCGCTCCCGAAGCCCAGGAGTGAAGACCCAGGCAAGTAAGAGGCCAGGCAAAAGCCACCTGGAACCAGGACTCGCTAGGTGCTTGCCAATCCGTTTCCTCTGCCTTGGCAACAAGCCTCTCTTGTGGGTAGGCTGGGACCACATGCCTGGTTTAGTCACTTCCAGGCCATAACACCCCTTGCTTGACTGTCCACCCTGTCTTCCCTTTCCATGGTGATCTCGGAAGCCACATGCTGAGATGGCACAGCTACAAAATGGGAGCAGCCTGGATCCCCGAACAAATTCCTGGAGAACAGCTAACCAGAATAGCCACCTGGCCTGTACTTGACCATAGGAAGGTCTAGAAACAGACCTTTGTTTATTAAACCACTGACAAGTCAGGGCTTGTTACTGCAGCAAAGCCTGGGCTCTCCTGACCAATCACACTATCATAATCTGTGAGCACTTCCTCGGGTCTAAGTTGTCTGGAAAATATAACAAGTATGAAGGACTCATCCTTTGCATCAACACGTGGAATAAATGTTGACAAAAAACATCACAGTACAGAGGCTGTCTAGGCAGCCAGGCAAACACATTATTTCAGACTCATGCTGAAATGACCAATTTCCCAATAGCCTAGCCAGCCCCAAGATCCCTATGCCTATACTGCTAGCTCTGCTGGCTAGGTGGCTATCACTGTGGGGGTTCTGACCCCTTGTTGCCCTGGGTTCTCTGCAATTGATTGCGGAGCCCCCAGAATCCCACTTCCCACGCTGCAGAGACCAGCTGGCCTGATGCAGCCAGCACATCCTGACTGTACGCAGGTACCTGCTTCAGTGCCTGTCCCCAGAAGCAACTTATTTCTGGCTTCCAGGGCTGCGGGGACCACAGCACTGAATGGGAAGGTGAGCAGGATCATGTCTTCATTTAGAGAGAACCCGATTTCCTCATCCAAACCTTCGCTGCCCTCCACCAGGACATCCACCATGTCGAGGACATCTGAGACAGAAAGAGGGGAAGCCAGCTGACGTGACAGCCACCGAAGGGTTTCACTGCAAATGCTCACAGGGAGGAGGGAACAGAGTATGTGCAAAAAGAAAAAAGCCAAAATCCTCTCAGGGGAATATTTAATACAGTTTGACCCTAAACAAAGACATTGCCTATGAAATCTTTAATATCTTTGTCTGATAAAATGCAGGATACTCAGCTGAGGAAATCATAGGTTGAAGTTTCCTCACATGACACAGGAAGCCCAGGAACTTTAGCCCAGATATTCAGGCAAACAAGCCAAAATCTGAGAGGCAAAGTAGTGTGAGGGTTAAAGCACAGGCCAGAGCCAGAGTGCCAGGGTTCAAATCCTGACTTTGCTATGTAGCAGCTGTCGGAGCTTGAGCAAGTGTTTATACTAAACCTCTCTGTGCCCCAGTCGCCTTATCTCTACATAAAATGAGGAGAACAGTAATACCCTTCTCTCTTGGGGTTGCTTATGAGATTTACATGAGATAGGATTTATAAAGAGCTTAAAACCCTACCTGGCACATAGTAACTACTACACAAATAAAACAACAAGTGTTTCCCATTATATGAACACGTAGATTTCATATGCAGAGCACGCTGGTCTTTGCTGCAAAGGGACTGTGTGCACTTGGCCCAGGGCATTAGTGCAGTTCTTGCTCGCTATCTCTTAACACGTCACTGCAGCTTGGTCTTCAGACCTCTGAGCAGCGCGGAACAGGTCGGAACATACCGTCAATGTGGGAGATGGGAATGCTCACGTCGTCGGCTTCTTGCTTCGTCATGGTGGCCTGCAGCGTGCTCGCTTCTTGGACAAAGTCAGATGCTTTGTCTGTGTATGAATAGGGATTCGCCACCAAGGTCAACAAAATCTGGGCATTAAAGAGTCAAGTGGAAAACACTCAGATGGTCACAGGTGAAATGAAAAAGCCAGAAAATGTCACTGGTCAAAATCAAGAGAAGTGATAATATGTTCAATCCTTAATCAGAATAGTTTCACTATGAAGTTGGATCTATGCTTTTTGTTGTGGAATTTAAAAAAATATCTCCTTTTCGTACAGCACTGCTTTTAATACCGCTTTCGGTATTCTCCCATTCCCCTACACAGAAACGAACTCCCAAAAGGAAAAGAAACAGCATGCTGTAATGGATCCCTATCTCACAGATTCTGAAATCTCAGGACAAGAAGCCTTTTGGCGCTGGTGCATCAAAAATGCCCTGATTATGCTAAGGAGTAGTATAATTTTCTCTGAGCATGCTCCTTTATGTGGGGAATATGTGCTTACGCGTTCCAGAAACTGAATCACAGTCTCTCTGTTTTCTTCCACGGTGTTCTCTAAATGCTCCAGCCAGAGCTCCAGCTCCTTCCAGGTGTGCTCAAACACCCCTGTGTCCCGCAGAATCTGCCAGGAAGCAGGCACCGGTGAAAAAGTCAGAACAGAATCCAATTGCTTTCTTTTTGTTTTTGAGATAGGGCCTCACTCTGTCACCCGGGCTGGAGTGCACGGCACGATCTCAGCTCACTGCAATCTGTGCCTCCTGGGTTCAAGCGATTCTCCTGCCTCAGCCTCTTGAGTAGCTGAGATTATAGGCATGTGCCAACAAGTTTGGCTAATTTTTGTAATTTTTTAGTAGAGACAAAGTCTCACCAAGTTGACCAGGTTGGTATCAAACTCCTAGCTTCAAGTGATCTGCCCACCCTGGCCTCCCAAAGTGCTGGGATTACAGGCATGAGCCACCACACCCAGCCTACAGAACCCACTTTCTGTAGGAGTTCAAGTGGTTTCATTGTGCTCCCGCACAACATGCCCAGGAAGCACGCGGGGGGTGAAAGTTTCATCCCATTTTTCTCTGGAAGTTAGTCTTTCAAAATAACATCCCCATTGTTGAGGGAAACAAGGAAAATAAATCATTCTATTCTCTCTCAAAGACAATATAATCTGGCCAGGTGCAGTGGCTCATGCCTGTAATCTCAGCACTTCAGGAAGTTGAGGTGTGAGAATCGCTTGAACCCAGGAGCTTGAGATCAGCAGGGGCGACATAGTTGAGACTCTGTCTATGCAAAAAATAGTAATTAAAAAACTAGCCAAGTTAGTGGTGGTGCGCACATGTGGTCCTAGCTACTCAGGAGGCTGAGGTGGGAGGATCACTTGGGCCCAGAAGGTCAAGATGGCAGTGAACCGTGATTGTACCAGTGCACTCCAGCCTGGCTAACAGGGCAAGAGCCTGTCTCAAACAAACAAGACAATATAATCCCTTCTCTCGTGGCTGCATATCCTTTATCCTCATTTCCTAAATAAAAAGAAGGGAACTACTTAGGAGCCAAAGACCTCTGGATTTTCACAAAGACTCAGTTAAATGCATAAAACTTGACTCTTCATAGCTACTCAACCCTCAGCCTGTATGAAATTCTCCAAGATTACGAGCCAGTCACATCCTATCACTTCAACATGGACCTCGAGACTCAGACCTGAGGAAGAAGCATCCACTATTTCCAGCAGAACAGAAGCTGGTATGAGGCAGGACTTGAATGAGCAGAAGTGATGAAATGATTTCCCTAAATGATCTGACAGCAAAAACTCAGGGTCTACGAGTCCTCACAGCACAGAGCCCTGCAACAGCATAGGCTGGAGGAAGGCCTGACCGTGCCAATCTCACCTATTTGCAGTCAGTGACCATGAAATGTGGCTGGGGTCAGGTTCACAGCTGCATACCTGGAAGGAAATGGCAACCGATAGAGGTCAAGACTTAGCCACATTCTGTAAGCGGCTCAGGAGAGGCTGTGAGTGCAGCAAGCTTATCAGCACTTCAATGAAAGTGAAAGGTCAACCTCTGTACCCTAAACATAGTGCACCCCCAAGACGTTTGCTGCACAGCAGAAATGCGGTCGAGATGTCCTACTGCTATCACAAGACCTGACAGCTCTGGAAACAGGAGTCTCAAGGACAAAAAAGAGAAGGAAATAAATTCCTATTCTCTTCCACTTGCTTTGACAACCCATAGGCTCTGGGTGAGGGATTCCGGCAAAAAGGCTGAAAGTCCCGGAGAAGGCTGGAGACTGGAAGAGGCACCGCCTAATAAACCTCCCCGGGAGGCCGGCATCAGTATTTGTTGAGCCTTCAAGCTAGAAATGACCTACCCCCCAATAAAAAAAATTTTTCCAATTCACCAGACTGCCTCTCAGGAATGTAGTTAAGTGTAAGACAATAAATTAAACTGCCATAAAACCTTCTACTTTAAAACTAAAAACAATCCCAATACCTCCTGAATTCAACAACTGTTGACTAAGCACTTACCATAATGAAAGTCTACACAAAATGCTTTTCAGAGCTAGAAACTTGGAGAAAATGCTCACCTTCATGATTAGAAGCTTGGTTGAGGACTTCAGCTGTAAATGACTACTGGTCACAAACATTTTCATTAGTAAGTAAAATACTGATCGTTCACCTCCAATAATTTCCGCATCTGGGCCTTCCTAGAGTTTAAACAATATGATGTATTTTTAATATATATAATTACACATAGTATTTGAATGCATGGTTATATATTAGAAACATAACACGGGGCCAGGCATGGTGGCTCACACCTGCAATCTCAGTACTTTGGGAGGCCAAAGCAGGTGGATCATCTGAGGTCAGAAGTTCAAGACCAGCCTGGCCAACATGACGAAATCCTGCCTCTACCAAAAATACAAAAATTAGCCAGGCATGGTGGCGCATGCCTGCAGTCCCAGCTACTTGGGAAGCTGAGGCAGGAGAATCACTTGAACCCAGGAGGCGCAGGTTGCAGTGAGCCCAGATGATGCCACTGCACTCCAGACTGAGCAACAGAGGGAGATTTCATCTCCAGAAACAAAAAACAAAACATAAAGGAGACATCACTTGCTGAACACACAGTATGCTGCCAGGTCCTTACCTCATCACATTTTAACCACAACTTGACAGGAAGAGTAGCAAGAGTAAGCACAGGCAGCCCTGCTCCTCTGCCGGTGCCATCCCAGGGGCCCAGCTTACACTGACTCACAATACCCACCCTGTGAGGTGGGTACTGTTGTAACCCTACTTTACATATGTGGAAACTGAGGCACAGAGAAGGTACCTGGCTGTTTACTGGGAACCAAGGCACGTGCTGTGCTGTCTGGTAGATGGTGGGGAGGGAGGGACCCCAGGGCTATCTGAGTCCATCAAAAGACATCCTTGTTACTTTCATCAGGATGCCAGTGCTGATAGAATGGATTGCTTATGCATAACTTATCCTCCTCAAAAGGCTTTTGGGCTGTAAACACGTCTTAACAAGTATGTGGAGCTTCAGATCCCCAACCCAAACTCTGCTGAGCCCATGTGTCTCACTGCAGCCTTGGCAATGAGGACAACACAGAACATGGTGAAGTGCTGGTTAGCTCAGGCAAAGCCAGCAGATGTGTCTTCTAAGGATAAGGTGGGGCACAGGATATAAATTCACACCAGCTCTTTCACTTTCCAATGAAATTATCAAGATCCCTTGAGCCCAGTTCAGCTGGAGTGAAAACCAATCAACAGTGTCCAGCTTGTCACCGCCCTGGGATCGGTGGCAGTGACCTCACATCTCAGTGCAATGGTGGCTGGCAGGGCTCTGGATGGCACCGCCTGGGTCGCATCCTGGACCTGCCACTGATGGACAGGACCCTGCAGAAGGTTCTGACACTCTGTGCCGAGCTGCCTCATCTTTGAGCAGCATGAACCAAGCAGCCGCATGAAGCAACCGTGTCCCGCCCAGCATGCAAGTCAGTTCTCAGTAAGAATGACCCTCAACTATGCAGGGGAGCCTCAGGACGGGGAACGGAGGGAGAGGCACAGAGTCCCAGAGGCACAGCATTCTTAAGTCTTCCAGGAAATGTGGCATGTAAAAATGCCAACATACGTTTCCATCTATCACTTCCATATAAGATCTAAGTCACTGAAAATAAATCAGCTCAGATTATGAGAAGCACTTGGACAATGCTTAATTTTGCTTGATCACGTTCCCTCCTCCTCTTTGCACAAGTGATGCAGCATCCTGGGTTTAGGCCCAGGGTAACTATCTGTGACATCCTGATCTTCCCTTTATGATTTAACATTATGTTCTCCAAAACGTTCTAGAAGATATTTTATTAAGGACCCAGAAAAAATGCTGGCAATGACTACCAATTCTTTCACCAGCCTCAACCCTCTCTGACTTAGTAACTATTCTCATCTCGTTGATAGTTCTTCCAGGATGAGGACAAAGGAAAAGGGATGTATTTTATTATTTGAAATTGAGAAAAACGTATTACTTAAAAAATGAGAAAAACATAAAAATGAGTTGAGATAAATTAAACTCTCTGGACCCAGCAACAATGCATTTGCAGCAAGGCCATGCTAAGGACCCTATTTTACAAAAGCAAGCGCTTCCCAGGCCTCCTCGTCATGAATCAGGACCTCTGCTGTGGGTCTCCCTAAAATGAGAACCGTTAACCTCTTCCATCTTGCCCTGTCAAGTTCTGAGTCAGTTAGCGATTCATCAGGCCGAGAAGCCCCCAGGCCCAGCAGGTTAGCTTAGGGCAGAAAACAGGGAGCTGTGCTTCCTACCTGTGCCTTTAACCACAGAAACTTGCTGGCTGGCAGCTCCAGGGCCACCTTCAGCATGTGGTGCTGCAGAATGGGAGGCACCTCCTCTTGAAGGCCCTGCTCAGAGATGATGCCTACGGGTGAAAAAGAGGCAAATTGACAAAAGGCATGTGGACGCGGGTGTCCAGAAACTGCTGCCTGGCCAGAGGACAAGGAACTCACCAGAACTCACCATGGAGAAAGGTAAGGGAGGATGTAGGGTTCCATTTCTCTGTCCTGTGCTCACCCTCACATGGCACATCTCACCTGATGCCCCCCGCATGCCCTGGTCTGTCCAAATCTTTCAATAAAAAGCCCAAATCCCACTGTCTGAGGCCTTCCCCTGCCCCACAGCCCACACTGACACTGATCCCATACAACTGGAATCACTGCACCCACCATGAGCCCTCCAGGGGTGGGCTCTCGCTGACGTTCTCCCTTGCTCTCCAGACAGCAAGCATTTGTGGGCAGAGACTGCAGCCACCTGCGCCTGAGACTGGGTACTCATCCTCTACGCTGCTCTTTGGGTTTTTCCCTTGCTACTTAATACTAAAAGGCCACATTCTAGTAAATTTCATATTTCCACAGCAAAGAGAACCTTTCACCTTCAAATGGTTAAAAAGTGAATTGCAGCTTTTGAAAAGGAGTATTTCACTAGCTTACATAAATTCCAAGAATGATATTTTTGCAAGTCTTCTCCCATAGGCCTAGTTATAAAGAGGATCAGACAAACTTTACTATCCAGGAAACATGACCAGACAAGCATGTTACTTTTCCGAGTCTGAAACTGACTCAGTGGGGTCAAAGATGAAGTCATTATGTCAAAAGTGTCTCTGCATGAACAGATGTCCCTTCTGCAGAACTCGCGTTTCTGCTATACCCTCTGCACCTCTGCTCCCTTGAAAAGTGACTTTAGAGTTAATGTCACATGATCGGATTTGTGGGCCATCCATGTAGGTCGCTCAGCACTTGGAAGCTGGCTGGCTTCTTCCACTATTCTCACTGCTACCAAGTGTTGATCTGGTAAGGAAGACCAGCTATTTAAAAAAACACTCATGCAAGTAAAAGTTCTCAGGCTGACGGATGAGCAGGCAGCCAACTATCCACCAGCCTGCCTGATTCCTGGCTCCAGGGCTCTGCTCTGGTTTATCGGCACTTCCTCCACCCACACTGGCAGGAACAGTGGCAGCTTGTCTATAAGCCCTTGAAACCCACCTTTCAGGAGCTTGCTGAAGTCGAAGTTGTACTGCATGACCACGTGGGGGACCACCTTCTGGTAGAGGCATATGACCTGCAGCAGAACAGCTTTCAAAAGAATGGTTTCCGCATCATCTGCACCAAAAAATAGAAAAGGAAAGAAAGAAAAAGAAAACAGCTTGAATTAGGAAACATACTGGTTCTTTGTCCTTGAGCAGCTGAACCGGCTGTGGCACCACATTGCAGCCAACTGTATGCTGCACACTGAGGCTGCAGGCAGACCGCTCAGGACCCGGATCTGAGGTACTGAAGAGGTTAATAAAGATGTTTACACTGTTCAGAGGGTCTGGGTGAAAACCTCATGTCACTGCCGTGACCTTGCACAGGCTCCGGCCACTCTATCTCCCTCTGCTTTCGTGTCCTCGTCTGAGCACTAGGGATACACAGCAGGGCCTAGTTGCAGGGCTGCCGTGAGGATGAAATATGACACAGACATAAGGTACAGAGCCCAGTGCCTGACCAACAGCAAGGCTCTGAGCTCTGTCTGCACAGCAAGAGACACCCCCACACTGCTGTCCCTGGAAAGGCCAGAGTACATGCGCCTAACACTCAAGTTTTCAGAGAGACACAGAGCTTGCAAGAAGATGGTCACATTTCTAACAGATACTAAAATTCAATCTACGGTTCCTTTCCAATTCTTCTCCCTAAGCAAAAAAAGACAGACACATTCACAGGCAGAGGTGCCTTGAAACGAGATCGGCTCCAGGACCCTCTGGATGGTAGTTATCCTGGGCTGCCAGTGTCGCTCCATCCCATGCAAACAGCAGAGCCCCGACCCCCTGCAAGCCCTCACCGCACTGGCGAGCCTCGCAGGCAGCTGGGGGCCCAGCGCTCCTTTTCTTCCCTTTCTCATCACTCTGTTTGGTCTCTTGCTTTTTAAGTGACTGCCAGACCCACACAATAGTGTTCAGGTCTGGCAAAATCTAAAAGGGAAAAAGAAGCAAAAAATTAGTTGTATTCAACAACAAAGGGAGACAAATGAACTGAACATACTCACAAGATGCAAAACACGGGGGAGGTGGAGTCTACGGGAGAGTGTGTGAGAAGGAGACGAAGAGTGGTGGGAAAACAGCCCACGTCTGCTGTAAGCTCTGTTCTGCAGTATAATTTCTTTCTTTTTTTGAGACGGAGTCTCACTCTGTCGCCCAGGCTGGAGTGCAGTGGGGCAACGTCGGTTTGCTGCAACCTCCGCCTCCCAGGTTCAAGTGATTCTCGTGGCTCAGCTTCCTGAGGAGCTGGGACTAGAGGCATGCACCACCATAGCCGGCTAATTTTTTCTATTTTTAGTAGAGACAGGGTTTCACCATGTTGGCCAAGCTGGTCCCACCTGCCTCGGCCTCCCAAAGTGCTGGGATTACAGGCGTGAGCCACCGCGCCTGACGGCGTTCTGCAGTATAATTTCTAAAAATGTGCACAGTAAGAATTTGGTGCACAGGAGAGTTCTGATGATTAAAACAAACCTTTTAAGCCTCACTCACCTGAGCAAAACACACAGGGAACAAAGAAACACTTTCTCAGGAGCAGCTCCAGGAAAGCTCCCCTGTGTGACTGGGGCTCTCAGAGCAGCCAGCCAGTTAACAGAAGCCTGGTCCTCAGCCATAGGAAGCAAGAGGGGCTTCCTGAGCCACTGCCTCACTTCTCACTGGCCTACAGTGCAGTCTGTGTGTGCCTGCAGCCACGCGTGAGGGGTAAGGACACAGCCTACCCCTCAACAGCATCACCGTGGCTCCCGATTAAACATGAGGTCCCACCAGAGCCAGAACCCCTGTGAGAGAACATGTATATTGTCTAAATTCTTACTCTGCACAAGGACTCTTGGACCACGCTCTGTGACACCACTGCCTATAATCACAAGCGGTAGGTCTTCTCAGCTGACCCTCAGCACCCCTGCTACCACATTGCCCACTGGCCTAACCCTGCAGCTCCAAGGACACCTCACTTGGCTTCTGCACTGTGCTCCCAGAATGGCCTTTCCACCTGGCGAGGTCTGGAAGGAAAGCTCAAACCTGGGCTGGAGCCTACCTTGCTCAGGGCTTCTCTGAAGAGCTGCACGAATTCTTCCATCATCACTGCTGTGTACACGCCTGACTCCTGCCACGCCTCTTTATTCAGGCAGTGGTCAATCGTTTTTAATGCCCTCTTCAAAATGACAGAAATAAGGGATAAGGCCGTGTGCCTCACGGACATGCTGTCCAACTGAGAAGAAAAAGAGTTAAATGAACAAATGTCTCTAGGATACACTGGTGGACACAGATTTGCTAAGCCATGGACTTGGCTGGCATTTGTCCCTCCTCAGGTGACTCGCAGGGGAAGCTGCATGTAACAGCTGGTCTCTATACTGTGAGAAGAGGTGACCTGGGTACCTCGCCCTCCTGACATCCGCAGTTGCCAGGGAAGCGCCCACTAACGGCAGAGTCCAGCTGTAGTTTCATTTTTGTCATCTGCTCTTTGGTGAGCCTTGAGACAACCACTCAGCTGTCATGAATGTTCTCTATTAACAACAGATCTCACCAGAACCCACTACTTCACCACTACTTTTTTTTTTTGAGTCAGGGTCTTACTCTGTCTCCCGGTCTGGAGTGCAGTGATGTGGTCATAGCTCACCCCAGCCTCAAGCTCCAGGGCTCAGGTAATCCTCCCGCCTCAGCCTCCCAAGTAGCCAGGACTACAGGCACCTACCACTCCTGGCTAATCTTTTTTTTTTTTTTTTTTAAGACATGAATCCCACTATGTTGTCCAGGCTGCCTCAACCTCCTGGCCTCAAGCAATCCTCCTGCCTCAGTCTCCCAAAGCACTAGGATTACAAGTGTGAACCACTGTGCCTAGCCATTTTTTTTTCTTTTGTTGCCCAGGATTCTACCACTATTAAAAATATTAGTATCAGGTGGAGGGATGGCAAAAAGAATGCATCAGGTGCTTTAGAATTAAAATCCACCTCCAAGCTCAGTGGCTGGTAACCCACATCACAGGCCTGTGACATCCAGAGCGCTTGACTTCCAGTAAGAATGATGGCTGGGAGAGTCGCTCACTGCAGAGACTAGGTAGGGTTCAAGAACTGGCGCTACCACCAACAACAGGAAAAGAGTCCCAGCAGCATCAGGTGATGGCAGCTCCCAGCCCTCAGGAGAAACGCAGTATCCTAGGGCCCAGCCCAGACAACGCATGCAGAATCTGCATTTCACACGATCCCCAGGAGAGCCCTCCGACACCGAAGTCTGCTGGGATACTGCAGAATGGCAATGAGGTAGAAACAAAGAGGTTCCTGGTTGACTTTTAGCTCAGTAACCACAACACCCCAGAGCCCCAGCATGCCGGTCAGCTGGGGCCTCACTCTGTGTACACTGCACACTCAATCAGAACTATAGGAACTATCTTAAGGCAAGAACGGCCCGGCCCCACAATCGATTCAAAGGCAGGCCCCACATAAGCATGCACACCACACCCAGGGAGCTGAGAGCACAAAGCTCAACCAACAACCTGGGGTCCTGCCTCCAAACGCTTTCTCATTTCCTGTTTCTAAAATAGGCTAAAGCTTCTCTTCCCGATTCTAAAATGTATACTATTAAAAATTTTTTTAAGAAATGAAAGAAAAAAGACAAACATCATCTAACTCCAGCCCCTAGATCCATAATTACATAAAAACACAGTCTTGGGTCTCAGAAAGGGCATCTGTGGAAGGAAGGCACAGCTGGGCTCAGTGGCCCTCGCCTGGCACAGGGGAGAGGAAGCTGTGTCCTCTGATACTCCTTCCTTGGAGCCACTCCCTGCAGGAGACAGAACACCCCTCTAGGGTCACAACCCTTTGTCTTGAAGCAACACTGTGAGAGGAGGAGAAGACAGGCTTTTCTCTCCCAGACTACCAGGAGCAAGCTTGGAAGGGAAAGGCACATCTGGCTGGGTGTGGCGGCTCAGACCTGTAATCCCAACACTTTGGGAGTTCGAGGTGGGAAAACTGCATGAGGCCAGGAGTTCAAAACTGGCCTGTGCACATAGTAAGACCCTATCTCTTCAAAAAGTAAAAATAAGAAAAGTAGCTGGGTGTGGTGGTGCACACCTGTAGTCTCCACTACTCAGGAGGCTGAGGTGGGAGGAACACTTGAGTCCCAGGGCTTGAGGCTGCAGCTAGCTACGATCACACCACTGTACTCCAGCCCAGGCAACAGAACAAGACCCTGTCTCAAAAAATAAATTTTTTTTAAAATAAAAAATAAGGGAGGTTCATCAGACTAATCCTTTCAATCTGGTTTTCCTATAAGTCCCTTGAGAAAAACAAACGCCTCCCACATTAATTAAAACAGCTGGGCAAGCTAGCTAGGTGCGAATTTTGCATATGATGATTTGACAAACACAACATAAGACCTTTCCGCCTACTCCCACACGGGCTTCCTCTCTACTCCCCACACCGTCACCCGTGCTCAGCACAAACCATAGAGGGGTATCAGAACATGGTGAATCTCACCACATGGTCTCAGGAGTGACTGTGCTCACCACCACAGGGCCAACCCCTGCCTGTGCAACCCACCATTGCCAACCCTACTCCTACTGAAGCCACACAACAACTCAGCCTGCTTAGAAGGAGGAAGACACACCTCCAAATACCTGGCCTCCCCCAGGTATCTCAGGCAACCCGGGGTTAGGAGGGGCTAGCAGGGCCCAGGACCCAGGTGTGCCAACAACTCACAGCCGTTCACGTAGTCCCATGATGCTGTGGTAAAAGATACGTGAACCCCTCCGAATGTGGCTTCTGATGGGACATGAGGACCTTTATAATAAACAGTGATGTGAAATTTAAGTACCAATTTCTTCCATGAACGTCCTCCAAAAATGCCTGAAAACAGCATCCTCCCAAAAATGCCTGAAAGAGAACATGTCCTCCCTAAAACGCCTGAAAACAGCTGGCCTTCAAAGTACATGTTCCCCAGGCATCTTAATACCATTCACTTAAACTATCAAAGAAAGAATCTGCTAGGTGAATTTCAGTCCTATCATGTTTGGAAACTCTAAACTAATGAGATTTTAATGATGATCTCTCCTTCTCCTGATTCTGACATTCTCCCACCCTCAGGCAGGACTAGAGAGGCTTGGAGGGATGCAGGGGTCCCCGCTGTGTGATGGAGCAGGGCCAAGGACATGTAAGTGTCTCTGCTCCAAGTGGACCTGTCACTCATAGCTATTTCAAACTACAGCCTCAGAGGCTCCCTGACAAAACACAATCAAATACATCCAGGCCGGCATTCTCAGAATAATCACATCATGCAGCCAGTGAGTTTAGCCGGAGACAGTTCCAGAAGTGGGGCAACCACACGAGCTTACGTTTAATGCTTGGGTGAACATGCTCTTATTGCACACCACGGGCACGGTGGTCACCATCACCATCGCCAGGAGCCGAGGCAAGGGTATGAACTCTCTGGTCTGAAATGCCCGGGAAATCTCCGGCTGAGCCTCATAGATCTAGGAAAAGCAAAAAAGAGATTTAGTTGGTGCTGGAAGTAAGTTTCAAACTTGAGACTAGCTGTCTTCAAAGGTGAATGTGAAAATGTCTTCAAAGGTGAAGCCATTCAATCAAGTAATCATAGTGATAAAGGTCCCAGACTCCCCACAGGCTGAGTGGAAGATTAACCCCTAAATTTACTTGTCAAAGACAAATCAGGTCAGGAGACTGGCTGTTAACAGAGAAAGGACCTTCAGAACAGAACTTGACCTGTGGTCTGCAGAGCCTCTTAAAACCTCTGATGGCAAATAAATCACTGCTAGAACTACCAATGGTATTATCAGTTCCTGCTGCACTTGACAGGCGCCTGACAGATTATGTCAGGAAGGGATGTCAGGAAGCCATCTTCTCAAAGCTGCCTGACAACCCTTTGGGATAGCGATACTTAACATGGAAACAAAAATGTATTCATAGGTTAAAAAACTGGACCTCTGAGGTTAGGTAATTTCCCTAAGGCCACATAGCTAGAAGGCAGCCAAGCAACGACTCAATCCCGGGCCTGCAAAGACCATACACTCAACCCTCCCCTACATTAGATGCAGCTCCCAATAGGGGTGCTGGCCCCAGGACTATCTGTACCAAAAAATGAGGGGTGGAGTACATCCTCCTCATCTCAAGGTAAATGTGGATACTGTGCTCCTAGGCACTCAAGCAGAATAAAAACTGCTTTTACAGATAATGCCAGGCCCAGGTAGAGGTACAAGAAACAAACCCAGGTATTTTACCACTAGGCACAAAAATCAGTGACAGAGGGTTCAAATGAGTCAGGCATTAGTGCCCCAAAACAGTCGGTGCCTGCATTTGTAAATGGGCAGATGCTGACACCATGATCAAAAGGAAGGTAACACATCCACCTAAACCGGCAGACCACCGCTTCAAGGCTTATCTCAAGTTTTTCTAACTAATCAAAACAGCAACCTTTAAAAACCATCCTACGAATCAGACATACATGTTATTTTCTTATGAGCCCAGATGGGGAAAAGATAATCAGGTATTTCATCAAGTCCAGTCTAACTATGCTGAGACTCAACAAGATTTCAGTCCGAGCAAAATCCTGATGAACAAGATAAACTGGCTCAAAAGATTCTAAAGGAACAAACCTCAAATTCAGCTCAGTGAAAGGCAAAATGCTATAGAAGATAAGGACACCAAATTTACACGATCTACAATATCCCTTTTTATCCCTGAAAGGTCTGCACGTTGCACAGTTTACCAGATCAGAATGTTGGCTGGTCCCCCAACTGCCTATGCCCTCGCCCAGGCTGGAGTGCAATGGTGCGATCTCAGCTCACTACAACCTCTGCCTCCCAGGTTCACGCAATTCTCCTGCCTCAGCCTCCCAAGTGGCTGGGAGCCTCCCAGGTGCGTGCCACCACACCCGGCTAATTTTTGTATTTTTAGTAGAGACAGGTTTCGTCATGTTGGTTAGGCTGGTCTCAAACTGCTGACCTCAGGTGATCCGCCTGCCTTGGCCTCCCAAAGTGCTGGGATTACAGACGTGAGCCACCGTGCCCAGCCTAGCTAACAGACTTTTAAATATCATGTTGTTTTACCTTGTTTAGTAGTTTGATATTATTTAGCCAAGCAGACTTCACTCGTGGGATAAAGGAGAACGTCACTTCCTGGAAGTATTTCTTCAGTAAGTCCGGGCACACTTTGAGGATGTTCACCACTAGGTCAGCCACCAGATCATCGTCAGCTGCAGTTTTCAAACCCAGCAAGAAGTGCAGGAGTGTCAGGTTTCCGCCTCTGTTAGAGAAAGAGATAAGAGGAGAGGTCAGCACAAAACGTTCAAAGCATCCTGAGAGCTCATGGTGACAGGCAGCTCTGTACAGTCGCCCTCAGTGCACACAGCAGGAACAGCGTGGGGAATTTCCCCCAGGACATAAAGTGGGAGTTCCGCAGCCTATGGGGTTCCAGCTTTCCCCTGAGGGCCTCTCTCTCATCCTCTACTTCTCAGTGACTGAAAAAGTCTCTGATTGTCCTGCTCCCATTCTTTCCTACTTCCCTCCCGAGTTCAATTCCTTCTAAAGAAAAGGAAGAAAACCATTCTCTCTCGACCTCAGCCACCTACCACTCTGCCTAGAAGTCAAGGCTACTGAAAAGAAAGGGCAAAACTGGCAGGGAGGAATCCATGCCCCAAATTTCATTTTGAAATTTTACTGACATCCCTCCTCCAGCCACACATGAAAACGCACTATGTAGGGCTGGATGCGGTAACTCACACCTGTAACCCCAGCACTTCGGGAGGCCAAGGCGGGAGGATCATCTGAGGTTAGGAGTTCAAGACCAGCTTGGCCAACGTGGTGAAACCCTGTCCCTACTAAAAATACAAAAAAAGTTAGCTAGGTGTGGTGGCCCCCGCCTGTCATCCTAGCTACTCAGGGGGCTGAGGCAGGAGAACTGCTTGAACCAGAGGTGGAGGCTGCAGTGAGCCAAGATCGCACCACTGTACTCCAGCCTGGGCAACAGACTCTGCCTGAAGGAAAAAAAAAAAAGCACTATGTAAATACATATGAGTGTCAGTATAAAAAATGCAGATAAGACATTTTTCTCTCAAAAGGAGGACTTATTTTAACTTTCAAAACATTTTTATTATTTATTTATTTATTTAGAGACAGAGTCTTGCTCTGTCATCCGGAGTGCAGTGGTGTGACCATAGCTCACTGCAGCCTCGAACTCTTGGGCTCAGTGATCCTCCAGCCTCAGCCTCCTGAGTAGCTGGGACTAGAGGTGTGGTGATGCACACCTGGCAATCAAGTTTCTTTTTATACGAAGTGCTCATGAGTTGCTGCAGGCTCCAGAGTGCCATCAAATTATTTCTTGACAAGAAATCTGACAAGAGCACAAGGTCTTCACAGAGGCCTTCTGCCTTCCCTGTTTCTAGCTTATTTCAAATTCCTTCATCTCCATTTAGCAGCTGAAAGAAGCAAGGATGGGGGAAAAAAATCTATTGTAGAAAAATGCTGAAAAGTTGTCTCAAAGTAGACAGTTTTCAAAGGTATGAGAAGATAACAAAGAAGCAGGTGAGCCCAGGAGTTCGGGGCTGCAGTGAGCTATGACTGTGCCACTACCTTCCATCCTGAGCAACAAAGCAAGACTCCATCTTAGGAGAAAAAAAAAAAAGTAAGCAGCAGGGAAGTCTGCAGAGACTGAAGTCTGCATAAAGGGAGTAAAACCCCAGGATCCACACAGCCAAAGCCCCAGGACACTAGGCTTCACCTGCCTCGAAGTTTTTTTTAGAAAATACACCTTTTCCTATCTGCTTGACCCTGGGAAGTCAAAACATCCAGAAAACCCTTGGACTCTGCCTCACATGCATGCCATAGTGATGGTTTCTAGGGTCCCCAGTGTCTTGTATCCCCTTATACATTAAGTAAAACTACCATGCTATATGACAGCTTTATATATAGTAAAATAATTTTTTTAAAAAACAAATTAGAAAGTCTAATTTTGATCAGAAAGCTATCTTTTACAAAAGGATATGAAGATACCCTTTAATATGAAAATGTAATGAACGAAACAAATATAGTTTGTGCTGACAAATGAAAAGGATATTAAATCTACAAAGAGTGCTAAAAATACTACACATACTTTCATCAACAATGTAAGAAAATGGAGAGCACTGACATTTCCGTAGCACACAATACATGCCAGACCCCGCTCTAGGCAGTTACCATCCACTTCTCTGCGACAGGCACTACTTTTATTCTCACTTTATAGATGAGATAATGGAGGCAAGGGGGATGCCTAACCCACCGAAGGTCTCAGAGCTAAGTTAGGATTGACACCCAGCTGTCTGCTCTCTTAACCTCCACCAGGGAGTGAAACTAGGGCCCAATACCTATCACTGTACATTTTACTGGGACACAGGTAAGCCTGCTTATTTATATCTATGGATGCTCTGATGGCACAACTGGGTAATCACAACAGACTTTGTAGGCTGCCAAGCCTAAAATACGATCTGGCCCTTTGGAGAAAAAGTTTGCCAATCCTTGCCCTATGCTGTAACATCAGCTTTCAGTGAACACCTGCTATGTGCCAGGCACGGTTATAGGGACTGGGGGCCTATGACAGACCAGCGTCTGTTCTTACCACTTCTCACCAATCTGATAATGAACAAGCAAATAAATAAATCAGCAAATAAATGAATGAACAGTCAGAAGCCTAAGCCAGGCAAAAGCACAGGGACAGTGGAGGGGCTATTTCAGAAAGGGCTGCCGTGGAAGGCCTCCCAGAAGTGGTGACATCTGCACAGGAACCGGAATAAGATAAGGAGTGAGCCACATGTCTATTGGTTAACAGGAAATGATGCAATTCAGCGTGCTCTCAAAGCTCTCCGTTACCATCCACAAACAAATCTCCTTCCTTTCCCTTATTAATAAACACTTGTCTTTTGCCCACGGCTTCAAAATTCACATAAATCACAGCTTACTGCAAACAGACCCATACCCGCAAGTTGATTCAATACGCTCATTAAATGATCATCTACTTCATGGGCCTAGTTATGGAGGACAAATGCTTTAAAAGGGGAGAACAGGGCGTGTGTTAAGCACAAGTGCAATACTCTATTCAACTACAGAAGTCTGCTGTTGTTTTAGGAGGAAAATGAGCTCATTCTTCCTGATGAAAGAAAAAAAGAAATGAGGTGGCCAGTGAAATCACAGTAACCTCGGAATCAAAACATGTCCAAAGTCAGAAGCAGACAGAAAAACTCCCACCATATTATTCCATTCTGAAGGAATCACCTGATTTCCTGACTCGCTGAAATTAGAAGTAAATTAGACTGCCTGAATCCCTGTGATATAATACTAAGATAGAACAGCAAGGAGTAAAAATAAGTTATTTACAATGACCAGAAAACATAGCCAATATTTTTATTGTCAAATGGGAAAAAAGCAGACGGATGAGCACTAGTAGGCATTTTTGTTATTAAAAAAAAACTACAGGGACCTATATTATATGACGACAGAAAGACAGTCTCAAAGAATATAATCAAAACTGGTAGATTTGAACTTTATGTTTCCTTACTGATGAAATGTCATCACAATTGTGAAATATGAAACAAAACAGAAAAAAATAATTTAGAAATCCTGACTCACGGGCAGCCTGTCAAGGACAGGCAGGACTGTTTAGTATCAGTTTGGAGCTGGACTTCCTACATTCCAATGCCAGCTCTGCCATTTAACCAGGTAAGTGTCTGGACCTCTCTGGAACCCTTTCCTCCTCTGCAAAGTTGTACTTGCCTCAGCACGGCTGCGAGGCCCATGTCAGGCCCAGCCTCTCTGGGAAGGCAGATGCCTTTTCTGAGCTCCAGTCGACAAACACTGTCTCTAGGTAAACACCTTTAGTACTTCTCTGGGAGAAATTGCCCATGATCTACCTGAGTGTTAATAGACAGCTACTCTCAGAACTCTGCCCCGAGGACACTAAACAAATAGAACTGTCCAATCCTGAAATGAGCTAGATAACATCCACAATTCCAGCCCTAACCTACTACCGTTCCACTAGACACTAGACACTCATGTATGTGATGACTTCTGAGGAACACACACACCCTGGGGTCCACAAGAGTGTTACACTTTACCTGCCAAAGGTACCCAAAGACGCATCATAAAAATTGATTCCGTGCTTGAGCGAACAGCAAAGATCCGTCAGGAAGTTATGAACGAGCTCCCGCACCATGGTTTTCCCTGCTTCTTCAGCAGAAACCTATGAAGATTTTTAAAAATTCAATGAAAATTCCAAGCTCATACGCTTTTGTAAGAGATACAGAATAAAAACAAGGACAAAATCAACTGCCTGATGACAACTTAGATAACATTTTAAACACCTGATATCATCCCAAACAACAAACGAAAACAGAAAACATTTTAAACCCTTGGTATCATCCCAAACAATAAATGAAAACAACAGCAGCAACAAAAGATACGCGGTCAAGATACACGAATACTCCGAAGAGGGGCGTGTTTAAACCTGTGTTTGTAAAAGCTTTAAAGTGATCTAATGTCTCCTGTCCATTTGAATAAAATTCCACATTTGGGAGTGTTTTGATCCAGCCTCTGAGGCTTGCCGGTACTGGAGTAACAAAAACATGTTCCAAACAAGAGGGTCTGGGCAAGTCTCCAAGATAAAAGGAAGTAAAATAGTAGGCTCTTGAGAGGTGAGTTATTGCAATGTTAACAGGAAGTCTGTGCCTTTATTACCCTGGCCAAGTCCATGTTCAGTAACACCCTGAGGAAAATGAAAATATACACTGGCAGTGTGAGAGCAGCTGTTTTAATTAGGCACGAGTTAACTAGTACAAAATCAATTAAACATGCCAGCAGGTGAGGCTCTGAGACGGTCAGGGACCCTGAAGTCAGAATAAAAACAAAGACACAAGCCTTGAAACTCCAAGCGGACATGAAAGAATGGAAGGACGGGAAGTCAGAGGTGAAGCGAGAGGAGAGGGCCGGGATGACCCTGCGGGTCTAACAGGAAAGTGCTGCAGGGAAAACTAAGATATGGCTCAGCCAAAGGAAATCATAGTTCTCTAATTAAAAAAAAAAAAAGGAGTACAGTTTACTAGCACGATTATTAAGAAATTAGGGGGGAAAAATCTTAATAATACAGCCATATAACGAGAGGCAAAAGAAACAGATCAAATGAGGGGACTTCACGTCTGCTGCAGCGTTGAGAATCCTCCCTCTCCCCACCCTGAGGATCAAATTCCAACCACGAGGTCCACGAACACCCAAAACTGACTGCACCTTGACATCTTCCGGGCTCACGTCGGTGATCCCATTCCAGCTATACAGCGATGCTATGTGGGTCAGCAACTGCCCCGTAAAGAAACGCACCTTCTGGGTTTTTGTGATATTTTTATTGTGAACTACCTGAAAATAATAATAAAACAAACAATGTTCATGGAATTCAATTATTTTTTAAGTGGTGCTTACTGTTTTCTCATCATTATAAAAATAATGGATGCTAGTAGCAGAAAATGTGGTTTAAAAAAAAGAAAAACATCAAGGGAAATTCACCAATATTCCCAACCATGCTAGCAAACTTAGTTACTATTTTGCTATATTTCCTTTCAGTCACCACCTACACCCACACGATATGCATATGTGGTGTATGTGTGTATGTATTAGTTATTTTTTGCCTTTTATTCATGTATGATTATTTATGAAGCATAAGCCTTTTCCACATCATTAAAAATCCCTTTAGAACATTTTGGGGGACTAAACCCCATTCTATCCTATGAGTAGACCACAACTTATTTAACCATTCCATTCCCCTGCTGTTTACAATTAGCTGTTTCTAAATTCTGGCTATTCTCCATAAAGCTGTGATCAGCATCCTTGAACAGAGTCTTCACTGCATCTGACTCTGGACTTGACCCTGGTTCCTCCAAGAGGAATTGTGGCACAAATCCTCAGCTCCACCCAAACCTACCCCCAGAATCCCTAGGGCTGTGGCCCAGGTATACATATTTCAAATACATTCCCTAGCAGTTCCGATGCAACCCTCGTCGGGGTCCATGACACTATTTAAGACCTCTGACACATCCTGTCACAACAGTTATCTTCCACAGGGGATACAACACTTACTCCTCAACAAAGTATCTGACTCAGAACATCCCTGCTAGCACTGAACACCATTGTTTTTAAAAGTCAGTGCTATTTTAGTGGGCAAAAAAGAAAAAAAAAATCTGTATGTCATCATTTGTATTACTTTAAATTAGGGTTTCTCAATCTCAGCTCTACTGACATTTGGGGCCAGACAATTGCTATGGGGCCGTCCTGGGCATTAGGACATCTGGCAGCATCCCTGACGTCTATCCACTACCTTCCCAGTTGTGACAAAATGTCTTCAGAGATTTCCACACATACCGTAGAAGGCAAAATTGCCCCCAGTGTTTCTTACTGATGATCTAAGGTGTTTCCTTTCAGCAAGTTTTACAATATTGCTCAGATGCTCACAAAAAGGCAGAATATGGAACATGACACAAAACAACATTTTGCTAAATATGTGAATGAAGCATTATTTATAAGTTTACAGCTCACAATTATTACTTCGGGTTGCTGTGAACTGTGGACCAGCAGCTTTGCTGCTGCTGTAATACACAGCGGCCATGTCTGGACATCACCGGCTGCTTCAGCTATTCTTTAACCTGCCAGTCCCAGCATATGCTCATCAACAAGAACAAGTTTCTGCTTAAGGAAGTTTTCCACTCAACCAGTACGACAGTCTGCGTAACATAAGATGCTGTAGTTCTACAGTCCTGTAAAACACCAGACAGCATCTCATTCCCAAGGGATAACAGACAACAGAAACACTGATGACCAAGCACATACCTTTGTTCTCAGTGTGGATAACAAAATATTGACGGTAGAGATCCTATCTTCCTTTATCCCTGAGCTAAAAATGCAAGGAATAAATTCTGAAAGTAAAAGTTTCAAAGCATTAAATTCAAAAATATTTTGAAAATGAGAATGAGAGAATATTACTGTTTAACTGTTACAGCAAACAATGCTATTCACCTTTTTAGTTGTTTTTTTTAACTATACCAGTTCTCAGTAGGAATAACCACTTCCGTGACATAAGAAATCAAGAAGCCAGGCAGTGTCTCATGCCTGTAAGCCCAGCACTTTGGGAGTGCTCCCAAGGTGGGAGGATTCCTTGAGGCCTTCAAGACCAGCCTTGGCAGTGTAGTAAGACCCCATCTCTATGAAAAGTTTAAAAATTAGCTGTTTATGGTGGTGCACACTTGTAGTCTTATAGTCTTAGCTACCTAGGAGGCTGAGGTGGCAAGATCACTAGCACCCAGGAGTTTGAGGTTGCAGTAAGTCACGATCGCACCACTGCACTCCAACCAGGCACAGAGCAAAACCCTGTCTCCAAACAAACAAACAAAACGGAAGAAAGAAGAAATGAAAAGCACCTAATGGTGAACCAGTGACAGAACTCTTAAAGAAGTTCAGTAGGTCTTTAGCTCCATTGTACTTTTTTCTCACATTGAAATTAATTAAAGGCCGGGGTAATCGCTCACGCCTGTAATCCCAGCACTTTGGGAGGCCGAGGCCAGCGGATCACCTGAGTTTAGGAGTTCAAGACCAGCCTGACCAACATGGAGAAACCCCGTCTCTACTAAAAATACAAAATTAGCCAGGTGTGGTGGCTCATCCCTGTAATCCCAGCTACTTGGGAGGCTGAGTCAGGAGAATCGCTTGAACCCGGGAGGTGGAGGTTGTGGTGAGCCAAGATTGTGCCATTGCACTCCAGCCTGGGCAACAAGAGCAAAATCCCATCTCAAAAAACAAACAAACAAAAATAACAACAACAAAAAATTAAATAAATACTATTTGAAAGAGAATGTACAGCGTAACAGACTAGTAAAATTTCTCTCTTGCTTAGACTTGCTGAGATGTGTTTAAAGAGATGATCATCATTTTACAGGCTGACATTAGAATGTTGGGTAATTTAGTTTATTTACTTTCTGTTTTCTCTTCCTACTTTTCAATCCCCAGGGAAACAGCCACCAGGGCTTGACACTATCATTAACACAGTGGTGGGCAGAAGCAGCAAAGCAATTACGAGTTTCCTTGCTCCACACACGCTTACTGAGCACACAGAATCTCTACAAAAGCACATTCATTATTTGCAAAAAAGGCAAAATCAGAAAATACCAGACAAACCAAAGGAATAAGTCAAAGCCTCACTACCGAAAAGTTAGCACCGTCCACATCACCTGAGTTAAGTACTAACCTTCTGAGGTATTCATGTTATTGTTTGAGTAAAATGAGATCGTACTTTACAGTTTTATAGCTCACTTTACACTGATCATCTAACACTAAAAAACTCTGAAATCATTAAGTACAGCATTTTTTTTCCTTTTTGAGACCAGGCCTCCCTGTCCTCCAGGCTAGAATGTAGCGGCACAATCCTGACTTACCACAGCCTTGACATTCCAGGTTCAAGCAATTCTCCCACCTCAGCCGCCCAAGTAGCTAAGACAACACACACCAACATGCCCAGCTAACTTTTTTTTTTTTTTGTAGAAACAGAATCTCACTATGTTGCCCAGGATGGTCTCAAAGAATTCCTTCGCTCAAGCAACCCTCCCGCCTCCACCTCCTAGAGTGCTGGGATTACAGGTGTGAGCCACCACGGCCAGCCGCCTCCACCTCCTAGAGTGCTGGGATTACAGGTGTGAGCCACCACGGCCAGCCTCTATAATATTTTTAATTACTGCATTCCATCTTATGACCAGTTTTTAATTTGCTCAGCTAATCCCTTACTGGTGGACAGTTAGAAGTCCCATTTCTAGCTAATATAAAGAATATTCCCTAATAAAACCTCTACTCACATCCTTAATTATTTCACCGGGATAATTGACTAGACATGGAACTGCTGGATCAAGGATCTTAACAGTTTTTTATCTTTTCTTCCTTATCCATGTGCAACCCCAGTCAGTGCCAGCAGCCTACGGGCACACAGGCCAGGCAATGGTTCGGGGCTACAGTTTGCTCTGGCATGGGGTACTATGAGAGGCCCAGGGGGACAGGCCCATCATAAATCCAAACCCATGCATGAGCATCTTAAACGTTTTGATGTGTACGGCCAAACTTCCCAGCAGCAACATTCAACTGTAGCACATTCCAGTCCCCTTCAACAGTGTAAATGGTACCACCTGTCCTTGAATAAAAGGCCAGACAGCTGAAATGACCCAGGGGGATTTTAAAGAAAACAACTGGCCCTGGCAGCAGCAAGGCATCCTGAACTAGTTCCCGGTAACAAGCAGGAAAAAAAAAATCTGTCTGTGGCATCATGCAGAGACCACTTCTACCACAGCAGTGACGGAGGCCTGCGCAGACCAGGCTGACCACACACAGGGTGGCCACCGCACTCTTCTCCTAAATGGGGCCGGAGTCACGTTCCTGGGGCAGTTCAGATCTCCCACCCTGGGAGGGAGGAAAAGTGCTGGAGACCCAACCACCCTGGGTACCACACCCTGCTACTCCTCCTCAATAACTCCCAGAGTTCCGGCCAGGACTGCTCCTCACCTCGAGACAGGTCAGGATTCCAGGGAATCTCACTGAGCAACTGCCATGTGCTGAGCTAAGTGCTGCCATTGATCATCTTACTGAATCTCTTGGTAAAATGCAAGGAGCCCTAACAGATTAAACAATCCCAAGCCTCACTCTAGGGTAACAGCCACCAGAAGGTGGTCAAGTTGGAATTCTCTGAAGCCCTGTTACTGATATTCTCATAACACAGGGCTAAGCCACCAAAGAAACTAACTTTATTTTTTAAAACAACAGTTCCCAAGGAAAGCCAGGTAGCCAGGGCTGAGTCTGAGTATGATCCAGAGCCATAAAGCCTCCTTCGTTTGCTCAATGCCTCTCTAGGGTCCGCATTTATCTTCTGTTACAGCATCGCTCAGCATTCCAGACGGCAGAACAGGCACACCTCTGTTCACTCTGACCAGTGATATCAAAATGGTACTGACCAAAGCTTTGCACCCCCTCACCCGCCTTCCTGCCCACACGCTTCAATCTGGTGTACAGAGCAGCTGCAAAGGCTGCAGACATTGTTCTAACTTGGAAGAAATGGTTTGCAGCAGGTTTTTCAAAACAAATGGGCTTTCCTAAGGGACAAAGGAGTACACCTACCTTTCACTTCCAACACTTGCACTATAGTGCTGTCATCACCCGCAATTAGAAAGGAGAGAGCAAACTGAACATAGGCCTGCCGGATGTCGTGCACTCCCTGGAGGAGAAAGGAGACCTCCATGTCACATGCATATTCCACATAGAGGCAAAGGAATCAGCAACACAGTGGCCATGCACGCCCCTCCCGTCTCAACATCATCAGCCCCCCAGCCTTGTCCCCAGTCACCAGGGGATGCATGTCTGCAACCAATGCTCACTCTTTACGGAAAGCAAATAGTTTTTTCTATTCTCTTTCCTCGGTAATCTTCTTTACTCTTCCTTCTCTTTCAAGCCTTATTCTCAACACAAAAGTATGGGTAAAAAATAGCTGTGTTCCCTTCCCTAACTAAAACACATAAATTTTAGTTTCCTGGCCACTTTGGTGTACAGCAAGACTCTCAGCCTGCCTAGATCCATCTCCTCCCACTTGCTGATGAAAATAACCTATGTTTGTGAAAATCCAGAGATGATGAAATGACTGGTACTGCTTTCAGTGAGACATCAACGTGGTGATGTCTGTTTTTTACTGGATATTATAAATAACGTATCAGCTTGTACCACAAACCAAAGCACAGATGCTGTCACGTCACCAACCCTGTTAGGGCTTCCCTGGGTTGTAGCCAGCAGGCATCAGTCACACCCAGGGCAGTGGGCACACCTGCAGAGGGTCCCAATGCCGTGACAGCAGGCAATGTCTCTAGGGAAGTCACTGATCAGTTTCCCCTCCTAGTATCATTAAATCAAAGCTGTGTCACATCTCCTTGTTTCACATCTAAGGCATGGGGTCATGCCAGTCTCTCCTCAGCTGTTCCAGAACGAGCAGGTATACCTAGATCCTCCACTTCTTACACCCAGCACTATTCTCTACTTCAGTTACTCCACGGGTACCTTCATTCACTGCCAAGAAATGTTAATATCACAACAAATCATTGTCCCAAATGCCTTGGAAAATTAAGGGGTAATCTCTGCCTTCCCGATAGTTCTGTTCCACTTAGTAGTAGCAGGAGAGGTGGTGGTGGTAGCATTGGTGATGATGAGAGAGGAGGACGACAATGTTCACCGAGCACTTGCTATGTGCCAGCACTACACCAAATGCTGCACACCCGTTATTGCATTTACTCCTCATCACAGCCTGAGGGAGAAATGCCACACCTCACCTATTTTACAGATGAGAGAACTGAGGATTCAGAAATATAGCTAAGCACCGTGGCTCGCACCTGTAATCCCAACACTTGGGGAGGCCAAAGAGGGCAGATCACTTGAGGTCGAGTTTGAAAATAGCCTGGTCAACATGGTAAAACCCATATCTACTAAAAGTAGAAAAATTAGCTGGGTGTGGTGGTGGGCACCTGTAATCCCAGCAACTGGGAGGCTGAGACAGGAGACTTGCTTGAGCCTGGGAGGCAGAGGTTACAGTGAGCAGAGATCGCACCACTGTGCTCCAGCCTGGGCGACAGAGCTAGACTCTGTTACAAAAAAAAAAATTCACTGGCGGTCACACAGCTAATTAAGTACCAGAATTGAGATAAGAAGTAATTGTACAGACTACCTATGTACAACTACAAAGAAGCTCTTCCTCCTTCACAGGATTCTGTGGCATTTTCCATTTTCATTTCACTTTTTCTGAGGGTGCAAGGACCATACTCAGCACCAGTAGGTCTCTGTGCACGTCTTGAATGAATTCCATCTCATTTTGCTGGGTCTGTGTTTCTCCTGGAGAAAAGGAAGGCTATCCAATCCATGCTCTCTGATATGTGGATCAAGGCCTCACACTCACTCCACTTATTGAGCCTATCACTGTCCATGTCACATAGCATCCCAGCAAGACCTTATTACACCAATGTGGGTTTCTTCCGAAACTGTCAGCTTCAAACTATCCTCTGTGTTCTGAGGACCTATCTGTGTGTCTCACCACAATAAGGAGTTTGAAGACAATGATCACTGGTGCTGAGAGTGTGCAGCACTTCCACAATGTCAGCAATGATCCAGTGCCTTAACCCACCAATTCAGTTTTATACAACACTCATTGTGTTCAAGACGCCTTCAACTCGGGCCAAAAGGGTGCAAAGTTACCCAAGATGTTGTCCTTGTCCTCAGGAAGCTTAAGCTGCTCCCGAGCTATCTCAGTGCCTCACTGTTCAAATAAACATGCCACCTAATTCAAGCAGTCACTTTTCTTGATCTCCACATGCCTTGTGTTCCAAATGAATGCTGATAAAATGCTAAAACTTGCCTGGCAAAATTCAATTCAATTCTGTCTTTTCCTTGCTAATGCAAAGCTCCTGTGCCTTTATTTTTTGGTCCACTGAAGTAACAGTACTGGGAGTCAGGGCCCTGGCATGCTGGTCTAGGTTTTCTGCCATTCTAGAGCTTTCTATCCTGCTGGTACATAGCAGAACTAGACCTCCTGTGGGTCCCTCCAGCAATGAATTTCTAAATGAAAACAGATTTGGTTATTACCTTCTTGCTTCCATCTTTTATGTCTCAGACAACTCCAAACTTCCTGCCCTGACATGATGGAGGAACTGGGTAAGATCCCCAGGACACAGCAGCTGCCATTGCCGTGGCCTCCAGGGCCTCTACCCTTCGTCTCCAGCCCACTCCATCAAAGCCATCCCACTCCTACTGCAAGTGGGCCACATGCCGACTCTTCATTCCCACCCTGGGACCTCACGGGGCTATCATCCCGGGAAGAACACGTCCTGAACTCTTCAGAGCTTGTTCTGCAAAACATTGTCTAAAATAGACCAAAACATATTTGGTAAAACTGCTCTTTGGCACAGGATTTTAACAATGCTTTCTTTGGCTGGATGAATATTATCTATAATCTTCCTTCTTCATGAGGATTTAATAATTTCCTTCAAAATATTAACATATATTCATTAAATAAAAATCCCTGTCGGCACTTTGACAACTAAATGGCATTAAAAAAAAAAAGAAAAAGCAGGGGGTGGCATGAGGGAAAAAAAAACCTTAAAGACTCAAAAGGGACCAAAGATATTTAAGAAACATACCAGGCGAATGCAGTGTGCAGACTTTGTTTGGATCCTGATCTGAACCACAAGGTGTAGAAACATTTTTGAGACAGAAAAAACCTGAGACCAAACTGAGGAATAGATGACAGCGAGAAATTATTAATGTATTAGGCGTGATAATGGTACTGTGGTTTCTGTTCTTTAAAAGGTCTTTTTCTGTTAGCGTACATGCTGAAACATTTATAGTGAAGTATGATTCATGTCTGGGATTTGCTATAATTGACTGCCCCAGAACAAACTGAAAAGGCGGAGGGGTAGGGACTCTGGATGGCTGGGACAGGGTTCCTCACGCTGCTCTATTTTTGAATGTTCTTAACCCTTCCTTATTAAATGTAAGGTCTCAACTCCATTTCCTATAACACATAAGGTATCTAAGATACTTATTATAGATTACACAACCAAAGTAAAAAAACTTTCAACTTGACTGTAACTCCCATTTTACAGATCCTGGAGAGGTAAAGTAACACACCCTGAGACCCTGAGATGAAACAGCTCGTGCGTGGCCTTGCAGCCGGGGTTCAGGACGGGAAGCCCTAGTCGGCCTTTCCCACGTTGTCTGGGCTCCTGAAGTCTATTTTACTTAGATGGCTGGGAGGGCTGAGATCGAAAGAGACGGGGTGAAGAGGGGAGGGCATCTGATGGATAATTACTGCCAGGCTTACTGCCAGGTAAGACCAAAGAACCGTGATATTTGCTCTAGTGTGCAAATAGCACATTCTTTTTATTGGAAACCTATTTAAATGTCAGGAGCCATTACTCATTGAATGGAATTTGTTGACACATTGATAAAGCGTAGTATCTAAGAGACATTAAGACCTGGAATTTTCTTCCTTAGAGAATATCTTATTTGTAATTCCAGTAAAAGCCTCAACACCAGGCCAATCTCACAGAGCTGTAAAAACTATTTGCCATTATCAACCCTTTGGTCCAATTCCTGGCAATGTAGAAACTCTTAGTTCCCAGGGACACCAACAGAACAAAGCAGTACATGGTTACAGAAGTGAATTATTCTAAGGTGGTTCTCCACCGAGGCAGATGGGCTGATACCTGTCACCCGTTCTTTACGTTCGGGAGGAGGGTGAGACTCTGGCCAGGGCTGTCACAGCACTGAACTCCAGCAGGGGAGCCGATATGGCAACCAGAAGAGGCCCTTTGACAGACAACCTGCAGCCGGCACCCACGATAAAGGATGTCCTCTTTCAAGTAATCCTCAAACTGTGCCTGCTCCACAAGAAACTTTCTAAACCCAAGTGAATTTCAAAAGCTACCAGGGAATTTTCCTTCACAGGTTTCCTGAAAACCAACCATCCACACTCCCATTCTCTTGGGTACAATCCAATCCTTACCCATAACAAGATTATAACTGGGAGGGAAAAATCACTTATTAAAAAGTCATAAAGGTCTTCTTTGAGGATATCACTGGCTGAGAGCTTCAAGGGCTTTCTCTGAGGTGGGCAGAGTGGGAGCAGAGGACTGGAACACGCTCCAAGCTTCAGGGCCATGGGCACATGGAGGGTATTTTGTTTACTCAGGAGAGGAGATACCCACAAGCTAAGTCATCCTCACAGCCAGGACCGCCCCACGCCACTGAGCCCCCGGAGGCATCCTCAGAATTCCCCAATGTTCAGCTCTGCCGGGTGCTGGCCCATCGCCAGCCTGGAGTGAATCCTGTCCTCAAAGACTGATCCTGTGGCTGCTGAGACACACCCTTCTGCACAGACACCTCCCATTTCATCTGTGTGGGGATCAGGGCCAGAGAAAGGAGGAGGAACCACTACAGTCCTCCAAGGGAAGGAAACCCATGGAAAACACAGACACTCAGGTCCCCTCACCTTTGAATCCCTCTTGGTCACCAGGGTGTACAAGGTCTTTTTATTCAAATCAAAACGGCTGCAGACGTCCCTGGCAGCTTCCGGACCCTGGGTCACCAGGGCAGCCATCAGGCTCAGGCAGGCACGAGCCAACCTGCACAAGAAACCAGAGGAAACGAGACACGTGAGAAACACAGAAGCCTAGAGCCGCCTCTGTACAAAGCCCGTTGCAAGAGGACACAGAATCCCAGAGTCATCTCAGCACAGAGCCCGCTGCAAGAGGACACAGAATCCCAGAGTCACCTCAGCACAGAGCCCGCTGCAAGAGGAACACAGAATCCCAGAGTCACCTCAGCACAAAACCCGCTGCAAGAGGACACAGAAGCCCAGAGTCACCTCAGCACAAAACCCGCTGCAAGAGGACACAGAAGCCCAGAGTCACCTCAGCACAGAGCCCGCTGCAAGAGGACACAGAAGCCCAGAGTCACCTCAGCACAGAGCCCGCTGCAAGAGGACACAGAAGCCCAGAGTCACCTCAGCACAGAGCCCGCTGCAAGAGGACACAGAAGCCCAGAGTCACCTCAGCACAGAGCCCGCTGCAAGAGGACACAGAAGCCCAGAGTCACCTCAGCACAGAGCCCGCTGCAAGAGGACACAGTAGCCCAGAGTCACCTCAGCACAGAGCCCGCTGCAAGATGACACAGAAGCCCAGAGTCACCTCAGCACAGAGCCCGCTGCAAGAGGACACAGAAGCCCAGAGTCACCTCAGCACAGAGCCCGCTGCAAGAGGACACAGTAGCCCAGAGTCACCTCAGCACAGAGCCCGCTGCAAGAGGACACAGAAGCCCAGAGTCACCTCAGCACAGAGCCCGCTGCAAGAGGACACAGAAGCCCAGAGTCACCTCAGCACAGAGCCCGCTGCAAGAGGACACAGAAGCCCAGAGTCACCTCAGCACAGAGCCCGCTGCAAGAGGACACAGAAGCCCAGAGTCACCTCAGCACAGAGCCCGCTGCAAGAGGACACAGTAGCCCAGAGTCACCTCAGCACAGAGCCCACTGCAAGAGGACACAGTAGCCCAGAGTCATCTCAGCACAGAGCCCACTGCAAGAGGACACAGAAGCCCAGAGTCACCTCAGCACAAGTTCGCTGCAAGCTGGCTGTGTTATTTGCTACCCCCAAATCAGAAAAAGGAAGGAAGACATGCTTTTTTTCTAAGGGGAAAAAAAAGCATAAAGATTCAAAATAAGGCTAAAAATTAAAACTAAGTAGGACTAAGAATATAAAACACAAAATATGAAGAAGATGGACATTTCTCTCTGGAGTAAGCCATCGTGCAATCAACAGACCAGCTCAGTCCCTGTGACTGCAGGACACAGAGGACGATGTCTTCACAAAGGCCGCTCCTCACCTAGGCTCTTGGCTGTCTTTCCATTCTGTGGTTTTGTCAGCAGCTGTGACATGCCAGGCCCTGTTCTAGCTGCTGGGAAGGTGGCATTTTATAACACAGGCAAGGCCCTGCCGCATGCACCTTGGATTCCAGTGAAGGGAGTCAGTCAACAGATACAGCAGCAAGGACAGTAGCAGGCAGGACGAGAGGGACAAGGGGTAAGAGAGGAGTCAGGGACAGCCAGGACTAGTCCACAAGGAAGGGGGCAGAGACTCGGTCAACATGGCTACGGAAACAACTCAGCTCTCCTTAGGCATAAAGGTAAGGACCAAATGCACTCGCAGAGACCGAATGCAGACCAAGCCCCAAAGCGTGAAGGCAGCCAGCCTACCTGTAACCCGAGGCATACAGGGACTCACAGATGAGCTTCATGTGGTTGTTCATCAGCTTTTTCACGATGTTGGTTCCCACAACATGAAAATGTGACAGATCACTTGCTGTCCGCAACAATATGGCCTCGAAAACTTGAAATATTAATATCATCTGCAAAGACAGAACTGAAACGCTTAGGAATCCTCTCATTTCTTTTGCTCCTGTACATATATGCTCCTTTTGTCTTAGCCATAGTCACTTGCAGGCTTAAAGCCTTCAGCGTGCAGGATGAGGCCCACCCAGATCCTGAGTCAAAAGTGACACAGGCGGGAAGGTGACAGCTTGGCAGGCTGACCTTCAGGACCCAGGCTCTGCAGGCAGCCCTGCTCCCACAGTCCAGCGAAATAAAGAATGGCTTGTTTACAATTATAGAGAACCAAATGAGAGAAGAAAATTCTCTTAATGGCTGGGCCTCATTGCTTTGGAGATATTCAGGTCTACACCCTTATAGCAATAACCCTCAGATATCAACAGCTACATAAATATCCCCAAGTTCAATCTTTTTGGAATCAGAAAACAATCATCAGTTCATTATGTGTTGTGAGTCTGTGACACCACGTGTTTATCTGTTTTCATTTTGTTTAAATAAATCACATTAAAACTGAGTATATTTTGATTAGGAATTTACGATCCTTCCTTCTGGCATCATTCATCAAATGTTGGTAATAAGTGAGAATTTTCCACTAAAATGCTTTCAAAGGTCACGGAGGCAAAAACAAATCTATTCCTATCGCACAGGGACAAAGCAGCATTTTCTACAGAGAGTAGGTCATGGAAATTTATATCACACATTTTTCCTCAACAAACTTAACAGCAGCACGAGCTTTTCTTCTCTTCATCAAGCCAGGAAGGAACAACATACTTCACTTTCAGGTCGTTTGTCTCCACTCAGGAGCTGGAAAATTTCGGCACACTCAACAGAAATCTTTATGTAACCTTCCACAACATCATATACATCTTCTTGTGGTAGCTTCTTGGCAGCAGACACAAACGCTTCCAAGCCTGAAATAAAAGTTATGTTTAAATGTTAACAGAGTCAGTCTCCTTAAAAACAATCACAGCCACCACTGCAACCTGCCTTCCCTGTTGTGTGGCCTTCCCCAATCCACCTACACTGCACAGAAACTACTGTGAACGCTACCAACTTAAGTGTTTCTCTCCAAAATTCATGTTGAAACCCTAAGCCTGGCCGGGCATGGTGGTTCACGCCTGTAATCCCAGCACTTTAGGAGGCTGAGGTGGGTAGATCTCCTGAGATCAGGAGTTCAAGACCAGCTTGGCCAACATGGTGAAACCCTGTCTCTATTAAAAACACAAAAATTAGCCAGGCATGGTGGCACATACCTGTAGTCCCAGCTACTTGGGAGACTGAGGCAGGAGAACTGCTTGAACCCAGGAGGCAGCAGTTGCAGTGAGCCGAGATTGTTCCACTGCACTCAAAAAAAGAAAGAAAAAAAAAAAAAGAAAAAGATAGAAACCCTAAACCCTAACAAGGCAGTATTTGGGGATAAAGCCTTTAAGGAGATAATTCAGGTTAAATAAGCTCATGAGGGTGAGGTCCTAGTCTAATAGGATTGGTTTTCTTATAAGAGAAGGAGGAGATATCAGAGAGCTCTCTCTCTGCATGTGGACAGAGGAAAGGCCATGTGGGGACACAGCAAGAGGGCAGTTGTCCGCAAGCCAGGATGTGCCCTTACCAGGATGTGACGAGGCTAACACCTTGATCATGGATGTGGACGTGGCCTTCAGAACTGTGAGAAAATAAATTTCTCCTGTTTAAGCCACCCAGTGCACAGTATTTTGTTATGGCCATCCTAATAGATTAATCCATACAGACATTATGAACACACTTAGACACCATGAAGGCAATACAGGAATGAGACAGACGGAGCCAATGTGACTCCCAGGTTTGAGTACTCCCTCTGGCAATGACTGGCCTGGATCCCCTTCTAGCTTTTGTTCCCGCAACTATAGAATGGGTATCAGGAAAAACCATCCAGAACATGGTAATGAAACATTACCAAGAGCATTACTCACACGACATCAGTTCATTCTCACTGCAACCCTCCGCCCCAGGTACCAGTACGTTTTTCCCTAGGTACTAGCATTTCACAGATGAGGAGACTCAGGCCCTTGTCCAAAGGTATGAAGCTTCTAAGAGGCAGAGCCAGGACTCCAATCCAGGCAGTCTGGCTCCAGAGCCCATGTTCTCCCTTCACCAGCTGGACAATGCTATGGAGCGGACACCTGCTGCTATGAGTGCAGTGGCACACAGAGTGTCCGTGCTGCACCTGGTCCACGGTCAGCATGTGAAGCGCGTCAGCTGACATCGGTGTTCTTCAAAACCCGAAGCGGGGGAACTCCACTCAAGTATTTCCCCATAAGGCCACCCCAGAAGTTCCTCACACAAAAATCTCTCAACAGCCTGAGGATCCTACTACCCTTATACAACCTCCCCACCCCAACCACTGATCTCTGAATCTGAGATCAACCCCACCCTACCAACTGAGAGCCACCTGTGTGCCTGCTGCCCACAGAATTCTCCAGCAGAACCTGTTTTACAAAACTGCCTCTCTCTGGCTCTACTCTTTGGCCACACTTCTCAGAACTAGGAAGACAGGGCGTGGCAGTGGGCTGGAAGCCACATGAGAGCATAAGCTAAAGGTGACACGTCTTATTGGGGGCCTTTATCTCTTCTGGGGGAATAGGGACTTTACCTCACTAGGAAAAAAAAAACAGAGGAAGGGACTAAATATTTCTATTAAAACACACTTAGGAATTATCAATACAGTAAAATGTAAAATACATTATAGTCTTCATAGCAAGATGAGAATAGGGTGGCCTGTTTCAGGGTGTGCCTGGGCATCCCCAGGGCCCTTCCTCCTCTGCCTTGGGGCCACAGGCAATGGATCTAATCCCTCTTTGCCATCACCCTAGTCGGCACCTCTGAAGACCAAACACTTCCTCAACCTCCAGAAATTAGTTTCGAGATCCTTTTGTGTTCAGATCACTCTCTCTGTTCCCTTGAAGTATGAGGCTCAGCATAAGGCTTGGCACTGCAGGTAGGCGCCACTAGCTGAGCAGAGCGGACCAACACATCCTTCCTCTTGGAAAGCAATTCCGGGTGTCTCAGATTCAGGTCCTGATGCTGCTAAGCAACATCTGCCTGGAGACACGTGAGCAGGACCTTATGCCAAAGACACACCAAGTGAGAACATAAACTGGCCACACTCCTGAGCACGCGTCCCCGCTCGGCCACTTACTAGCGGCAGGGTACTGAATAAGGCACTGAATGCTGGGCTTTGGGTAACTCACCTGTATAATGGAACAAGAACAGAACGTACCTGACAGGGTATGTATGAAGCATAAAAAGGCTAATTTACACATAACGTACCCAGCATCGCACTGATGGCAAGGAAAACCCTCAAAACATAAGAAGCCCCCCAGATGTCCTCAGCAGCAGCAGTGAAAATCCGGTCACATTCGGCCTCTGCCAGCCTCACAAGGTGTTTTCAGATCCATTTTATGCTGCAACATTTTCCAAAGCAACCACTGTCATTCCTTTAACAGTCACTAAGCGAGGGCATCTGCTGTGCCAGGCGCTCTGAGCACGGGGGCCAGACTCCATTGCTGCTGTCTGCAGCGTGGTCCGGAGGTGATTATAAACAAGAGCTAAGGGTGTTCTGGCCAAGGTCGCTGTGATCACAGGTGCTCAATCGGCAAAGGCACCCTGGAGTTGTGCATAATACCTACTCTGTCCCTCAAGAAAACACAGAATGTAGGCTGGGGGCGGTGGCTCACACCTGTAATCCCAGCACTTCGGGAGGCCAGGCGAGTGGAACATGAGGTCAGGAGTGGAGTTCGAGACCAGCCTGACCAACATGGTTGGTCATCTCTACTAATAATACAAAAATTAGCTGGGTGTGGTGGCATGCACCTGTAATTCCAGCTACTCTCGAGACTGAGGCAGGAGAATTGCTTGAACCTGTAAGGTGAAGGGTGCAGTGAGCTGAGATCCCCCTACTACACTCCAGCCTGGGCAATAGAGCAAGACTCCGCCTCAAAAAGAAAAAAAAGATGAAAACACAGAATTCAAGTGATAGCAAGGGCTGTTTATGCAGATAGAACAGTGCTACTACTTACTCTTTTTTAAGGATTAGCCAAACTCTAGCATGCAACTCTTGGCATTCCAGGGTATTACAGGGTAGAAACCGCTGGCCTGTTACATTTGCCATCCCTTTATGGGTTCATCTTTCCATACGCCATTTACTGGGCACCTACCAGGTATCACAGGGGGTGCCTGAGACACGCTGGTGAACAAATCAGAAATGGCCTCAATCCATATGCTGCTTACAATCTAATGAGAGACCAATGTTCACTTCATGAATATTTACTAAGCACCTACCACAATCACTTAAATTAATACACAAAGCACCTGCAGTAAGTGCTATGAAGCAAACATCAAGAGTGCAATGAGGGCTGTAACTAGGGAACACGATCTAGATTAGAGGGCTAGGAAGGCTTCCTCTGAAGAAGTAATGCTGAACCTATTATTAATAATAGTAAAAATAAGTATGGGGTGGGCAGAGGGTGAGACCACATTCCAGGCCTGTTAAAACACCCTCAGGTACCACGTACCTCTTCTTTGGAAAGCTTGTGCTTGAAACTGTATGTATGCGATTCTACTGACTGATATCGGCCTCCCCCACTTGACTTTTTGTAAGCCCCACGATGGCAGGGGCTTTCTGAGATTTTTAGTCATCACTTTATTTCTACCCTAGCAAATGATAGCCTCTACTAATACTTAATGAATACTGAAATACATATTCTGTGCTAAAGTATCATCTTCCTATGTGACTAGTAAGTGTAAGTGTCAAAGTTCAAAAACAGGCCAGGCGTGGTGGCTCATGCCTATACTCCAGCCCTTTGAGAAGACAAGGTGGGAGGACTGCTTGAGACTGGGAGTTCAAGGCCAGGCTGGAAAACATAGTGAGATGCCATCTCTACAAAAAAAAGTAAAAAAACATAGCTGGGCATGGTGGTGTGCACCTGCAGTCTCAGCTACTCTGGAGGTTGCGGGGAGAGGACAGCTGAAGCCCAGAAATTCAAGGCTGCAGTGAGCTATAATCATGCCATGGCACTTCAGCCTGGGAAACAGAGCAAGACCCTGTTGGTTTAAAAAAAAAAAATCTGTAGGACAAAAATTAGAAGTTGAAGATATAGAGGCGGTTAATTTAATAAAGTTTTTAACCTGGGAGAAACGCTGCCACTGTTTTATTTTAGAGCGATGCATCCACATGGCATCACGTTCAATTGCGTTTTTCCCAAACGATGTTACTTTCCAAACGATTACAAGTAGTCGTGAAGGGTGGTCACGCTTTATAAAAAGTGCAATTAAATTATAGAGGCGGCTCCATCTCAGTCACCGGACCATTCCTGGTCAACTGACAAGTAGTTGTGGGGGCTTCCAGCAGCTTGTTACAAGTTATCAAGTCAGTGTGAGTGGTGGGGGACAGACGCTATTTAAAACCGTGCCGACAGCCCCAGAAGTAGCAAACTGTCTCATGAACCGTCCTCAGGACTCAGTAGAGAAGGGCACCTCATTTACTTTCCTGACAACTGAAATAAAGATGTTTTAGACCTCGCTGAGGGATGCTGCCTGGGCAAGGGACATGTGTTGTAACATGAAACGGTCCCAACCAAGCAAGTAGGGGCCCTCTCGCCGTCGCTGACAGCCCAGGATAAAGAAGTACAGAGTAGTCCCGGACCCCAGTTTTCTGCAAAGCCAGAGGCTTGGTGCTGACCCTAGGTGACCCGAAAGCTGCAGAAAGGAGAGGCTGTGCCTGGCACACGGAGGCGCCTCGCCAGCCCGTGCTGCCGGCCCTGCGCCCGCCGCCCCGCACTCACCAGGCCCAGGGCCCTGTGGGTCCTTCAAGTGAGCCTTGAACCGCACGCCCGTGAGCTCTTCTTTGCGGGCCCGCTTGGCTGCGCCCGCGGAGGAAGCCGCGCCGTCCTGGCCGCCCCGGACCTTCCTCTTGGGGACCCCCATGGCAGAGAGGACGGAAGCGAGACCGAAACAACACACCTGGGGGACCCGGCAGGAGAACAAGCACAGACAGCAGACACGCGCTCCAGCCCCACACGTGGGCAGGAAGGGGCGGGGCTGGCGGAAAAGGCGGGGCTCGGGGAAAAGACTGGCGGAAGGGGCGGGACCGCGTGGCGCAGGGACCGACGGAAAGGGCGTGGCCTGTGGAAGGGCGGGCCGGCGGGGAGCCGGAGTCCTGGGTCTGCAGGTGCGTTGGCAGTCCGGGTTGGCTCGGGGAGCGGACACGCCTCCCGGCTGCGGGGTTTGGGGTCCACTGGGGCGCGCTCCTGATCTCGGCGGCGCTCTCCGGGGCTCTTGACTGGAAGAACTTCCAGATCTTTCACCCCTGGCTCGGGGACTGCGACGACCCGGGCCCCGGCGCGTCCGGGCAGCACAATGAGTAGTTCTTGACCCGAGGTCGCCCTGACGGTGTCACTTGAAGAGCCTGCTTCACACACAACAGGATTTGATATTTTGCCAATTTGAGGCTCCGATGACTAACGGGAAGGTGGATTTGCCTTGGCTAGGTGTCAGACAGGTCCCCTTGTGCGGGTGCCCCTGACTTCGACCCCAGCTTTTGTCACGGCCCGAACCAGGTCGACTGGTCTGGTAGGATGTCACTCCAGACTTCCTCCACCCCAGGCTTCCTCAGACTGATTGGCTTTTTGGTGGGGGCGGGGGGAAGGAGTCTCGCTCTGTCGCCAGGCTGGAGTTCAGTGGCCGCGATCTCGCTCACTGCAACTGCCACCTCCCGGGTTCAAGCCATTCTCTGCCTCAGCCTCCTGAGCAGCTGGGACTACAGGCGCGTGCCACCATGCCCTGCTAATTTTTTATTTCTAGTAGGGACGGGGTTTCACCATGTTGGCCAGGCTGGTCTCGAACTCCTGACCTCAGGTGATCCGCCCGCCTCAGCCTCCTAAAGTGCTGGGATTACAGGTGAGCCACCGAACCCGGCCTGGAGGGTGGGAGGAGAAGACTAAAGGAAGTAACGTCTGTAAAATCCCTTGCTGCACAGCCTAAGGCCTCCACATCTAAGTTCCCGTCATTAAAATGGAGACAGCAAAGCCAACCCAATCCTGTCCTTGGGGCTATTATGAACAGCACATGATGCAATGTGTGAAAAACCGCTTTGACGTGGAAAAAAGTACAGTGTGTTTTTGGAAGATGTTATTGATTTGTGAACCGCATTAAATGCTCTGAAATAAAATGAAATTAAAAATAAGTAAAAACAGGCTGGTACATTTTTTAATATGACTTCATCGAAACTTGAGTATGTGTCCAAATCAGTCATGAACCCGCTCATTAGATAAGTAACTTGGTGATCACTGCAATCCTCCATCAGAGAATTGGTCCTCTAGTCTAAGAGAATAGTGTTTCATATTCTGTAAGCAGATGTGTTTTGAACATCTGAGGATGTGACCTTTTGTGGACTGTTGGACTTTCAGAGTTTCTAATAGAAAAAGCATGTTGTGTTGACACTGAGCCCTCTGTCCTGACAAGATTATTGTGCCTGTGGAGATATCTATGTTGTAGGCAGGTCAGAGAGAGGGTGTCCCCCTCAGCAGATTTGAGCTAATGCAGCAGTACTGAGAGGGGGATATACTCAAAAAGCTACCTGTAAAAGATGACACTCATTAGTGAAGACAGACTTAATTCTGACTGATTATCCATACTGGTTGTTGTAAATAGATGCTCGGTGCTGCAAAGAAAAATTAGCACTGAGACAAAGGATCTTTCAGCAATGCAATTTTTACTTTCTGGACTGCATGAAGGGTACCTTCGCCAGCCATCGTGCCATGAGAGTACAATGAACAAAGGAAAACAAATTTATCCCTTACACATTTGCAGTTGTCTTTACTCTCTGTCTGATCTCCTTTGGTTGGAGCCAGACCTCACAATCTAAACTAAAACCCGACTGGTGAATAACTTAAAACTTTTCTAAACCAGTAAAAGCAATGGAGAGCTGGGACGTGCCTGTGAGCACGTCCAGCACAGATACCTTGGTTAAAGTGCAAGGACAAAGAATGTATTACGTGCCTGTAAGTGTGGCATGTTTTACAGCTACATAGGACAGGGCTTAACAAAGTTATTAGCACACTTATTCTTTAACAAGAAAGGAAACTTTAAAAAGGAACTTTTCTACTTCCCACCCTGGTCCTCTTCTCGGGTTAGTCGCTAACAGCCAGCTTTGTTTTCTGCCATGGTGGTCCCAACCAAAGAGTTAGCAGAGAGAGGCAGGAAACAGTCAAAAGCCCTGAGTTCCGTTTCTGTATGACCTTGGGCAAATGACCATCTCTCTGGGCCAGTTTGCTTTACAAAGAATTAGACAGCAGGAGGAATTTCCCAGGATTACCCAGCTGATAACTGGTGGAGCCAGGACTCACCCAGTGTATCCTAGTTCCAAATTAAAAGCAAAGCAACAGAAGTTGGCAGTGCCCATCACAGCCTTAGCCAGAGATGTGTGTGATGGCATGTGTGACTCAGAAGTACAGCTGGATGCTTTAGATTAAATGCCACGGATCATTGATGCGGGTTAACCCTTTGTTCAGATAGGAGGCTCCCCAATCTCTGGAGGGTGACTTGGCTTTCCATATCAAAGCCTTGCATTATTCGCCTCCAGGAGCATTCTGGTTTGTTGGAGACTATGTGGTACTGCTCCTCGGACATTCTAAGCTGAGGAAAAACACCCAAAGTGCCTTGAGTACTTGTTCCCTCTCTTTGAAACTCTTTGCCCCGAGCTCGTGGCTCAGATCGTCACTTTACATGACTCTTCCTGTTTCTACCTCACTGTCTCCTGACCTTTCTTGATTTCCTTTGATTGCCTTTATCATCTACTAGTGATGCTAAATATTCATTTGTTTGTCAAATTATTTTGCTACAATGTGCACCAGATAACAGTACAAAACAGAAGTCCAGTGCTTCATTCCTGAGGCTAAAAACACCAGGGTTCATTAAATATTTTTTTGGTAAATAATTGCCTGTAATTATGAATACATAGATGCAGGTTTTGAGCTTGTTTAATGTCTGTCTAGGGTAGGTTAATTATTGGAATGCTGTCAAAAAGCCTCAGGATGCAGGTTTCTTTTTTTGAGACAGAGTCTTTCTCTGTTGCCCAGGCTAGAGTGCAGTGGCAGGATCTCAGCTCACTGTAACCTCTGCTTCCTGGATCCAAGTGATTCTCCTTCTTCAGCCTCCCAAGTAGCTGGGATTACAGACACCTGCCACTGCGCTTGGCTAATTTTTGTATTTTTAGTAGAGATGGAGTTTCCATCTTGGCCAGACTGGTCTCGAGCTCCTGACCTTATGATTCACCCGCCTCGGCCTCCCAAAGTGCTGAGATTATAGGTGTGAGCCACTGTGCCCAGCCTGGATGCAGGTTTCTGAGACTATGAAATGTGAACTGACCCCTGCTTTATCGTAAATTAGACCCAGGAAGGATTCAACCTCTAGAAGCCAGTTCATCTCCAGTGGATACATTTCTTATTCACACCTGTTAGGTGTATGTGTTGTTCCTTAAGCATTTTAATTTTATAAGGTTGAATTCAAGTTCTGGAAAGAGGTAAAATGACAAGCTCAATCTGAATCCATATCAAGTTCAAATTCATATTAAAGCATGTTTATCATGGATGCTCAGAATGTGAGGCATACCAATTATTGTACACAAGATGAAGTTATTTGTTGGTTTACCCCATGATATTTCATCCAGATAAAAGCTCGTTGATATGATCACAATCTAGAGAGGAGAGTTGTGGAGTTGCTTTCTGTCTTCTGATGTGAGTTTGAATCGCTTTAGTGACGAATGTTTTAGTGTGGCATTTACCAAGATCGGGACAGTTCAAGTATCTGCTTGTTTAGCAAGGAAAAGAATAAACCATTATTTCAAAGATGGTCACTATAAACCCCAGTGAAGGACATAGTGTCCACAGTCTAGAAAAGAGAGATAATTCTCTAGCTTCTCCTCAGTTCAAGTCAACAAAACACCAATATCCACCAATATACGCTGTGGGCATTACATTATACAACCAGCCATAATAGACCCCAAAAAGTATAACACACTATACCTTCTCCCAAGGGACTTGTAGTATCTTTCAAAATATGACGCACCTGATAAATTCCTCAGCCATAAAGTGGTTAACCAAGAATCCAAGACGATATGAGATGTTGCAAGTCCATGTGAGAATTAAATGAATTATTTGATGCACTTCTTACTGAAATTATAGAAAAGCAGAGGGGAAAAAAACCCAAAGCATCAGGCTTGTCTTTTTTTCTTCTCTGAAGCAAAATTGAAGAAGTAGAAAATGTTCTCCTCTTGCCTAATATTTAATAAAATGGCCACAAGCGTGAAACTAATCTTTTTTGTTGGTTTTTTGTTTGTTTGTTTGAGATAGGCTCTCACTCTGTCACTCAGGCTGGAGTGCGGTGGCGCAATCTTGGCTCATTGCAGCCTCGAACTCCTGGGCTCAAACCATCCTCCCACCTCAGCCTCCTGAGTACATGGGACCTCAGTCGCATGCCATAACACCCAGCTAATTTTTGTATTGTTGTAGGAATGGGGTTTCATCCTTTTTGACCAAGCTGGTCTCAAATTTCTGAGCTCAAGTGATCTGCGTGCCTCAGCCTCCCAGGGGAGCCACCGCACCTGGCCAGAGAGGCCAATCTTGATAAGAATGATGACAGAGATGAAGTTTGTCTCCTTAAATCTTTCCAAGTCCACTCCACTCACCCGCCTCCTCCCCGCTGCACCCCTCCCCACGGCACTTTCTTGTTGCCCCCATCTTCCAAAGTCCCCACTGCTGCAACTTTGCCAGAACTAATCTTCCTGGGAAATGCCTCCTCCAGAATTATTGCTCTCTAGGCTAAATTCCCCTTCTTGCCCCTGCTTCTCCTCTATAACCTGTTCCCTTACAAAAGTGTTTTTAGCCAGCTATCAGAGAAAAAAGAAATTTGATAAATTCATCATAAGGTGGTCGTAGAATAATAGCAATTTGCAGCCTACCCACAAACGGTTTTACACTTTAAAAGAGAACTCTAGGAGATCACAACACCCCAGATGAATTTCTTGTAGTTGTGATCTAGTCATGCTGGTGCTGGGGTG